GCCACAGTAGGGTGGGGTGGGGGCGTGGTCGATGTTGTTCCTGCCGTATGTAGTCTCAATTGAGGCAATTTGCAGGTTGTTATTTTGTTTCAGGATTGAGATGCTTTGGTCAATACCAGCTACATTGTACGTTGCAACCGGCATTGGGATGCTATTGGAGGAAACTGGTGGAAACCTATGCAGAACATGGGGGGGGGGGGGGGGGGGGGGGGTGGGGGAGAGAACATACACAGTCCACACACAGTAAGGCGCTCGAGTCAGAAGTCGAACCCAGTTCCCTCTTGCTGTGAGACGCACGTGTTGCCGACCATTATAGGCGCTCGCTAACAGAACTTGCCCCTACAGTATGTTAAGGCTATACGGGGGATCTTTGTCTTTGTGGTTCCCCAATAAACAACAATCACGGAGTAGTTCTTAAAAAGCCACATGCGGTTCCAGAGCCGCTCCAGAGCCGCATGCGGTTCCAGAGCCGCTCCAGAGCCGCATGTTGCCGACCCCCCCCCTGGGTCTACACGGAAACCACGGGGGGAGGGAGGGGGAGTTGCTAGTCGCAAGAAGAAGGTGACTCAATTCACGTATTCATTGTCCCGTGGTTTTGGCTTCCACCAAAAAAAAGGGCTGCGAGCTCTCTCATCGTGGCGAGGAATTGATTTAAACCCAGAAGTCACGACATCAAAAACCACTGAGCCCGCGTGCGCGCTGATTTTAGTGGAACACAGATAGACACAAGTTTCTCGTTCTCATGTTATATTCGCACTGTCTTTTTGATCCGCTTCTGTTTCGTTTGCGGGCCGTTGAATACCTCGCTTGTTAGTTGTTGAGATATTTCCTGCAGTATTGATTATGTTTTCGTCTTTGTGGTCGTTGTTGCTGCTGTGTTCACGCACCACAACAACCTGGAAACTGGCTACACGGGGTCATGATCCGTGTAACAAATAAAATAAACTTAGTATCAACAAGTCCACCGGTGGGGATGAAGACGTCCATGCGCTGCGTTTGACTTCAGAGGGCTGCTCACTGCACTGATCAGTGGTGATGGTGAATCCAAAGACAGATCGTGATACAATTCGCCACTGGGTTATCCGTGGCAGGGGATCCTTTGAACTTGGGTTTCTAAACACAGTGCGCTAACCTAACCACTGCGCCACCGCTCCCCCTCCCCATAATAACCACCACACGCCACCAACCATTGGACATTCAAAGATAAGCCACAGCGGTGCAATTGTGACCGTGGAACCCAACCTATGGACCATATAGTGAACCACTTCAGTCTGAGCTTCTTCAACGGAGGAGGTGGAGGAGTAGCAAGACGACACGATCTCTCTCCTGAAGCCCCTCTCGTCGGTGGCCAGCAGCATTTCTCACGTTGCCGCCACCGCACGCAAAAGGAGTAGCACCAGAAGCCACCTCACCTTGGAATCGCTGGTACGTTGCAATTTTTGTCCGTATTTAAACGCAGCGGGTGGAAGTCCGAATGGGGAAGCGCGGCGTGGGGTGTATTTTTAAAAATGCCGAAACTAGCGGCGTTGCACATCTGTGCACGGGAGTAGAGAGAGATAAGAGGGGGCGTGGGGTCGCCTGTGCATTAACGTGAAGTCTGAGAGCGGCAATCCAATATCCCCAGGTCCGCCTGTTATTTAACGGCGGTTTAAGGGAGCAATCACGACAACGCTAGTACAGATCCATAATAGAGCGGTGTTTTTGGGTTATAGCGCGTAATATTAACGTGTCGTTAAATACGCCACCACCCTACACGGCCAATTAGTAGGGGTTATCACATAAACAAAACGTGCCAATTCATTTCGGGTTCAGCGCACCGGTGTGTTGGTGAGTAAACCCAAAACACATTTATATTTACGCGATCTAACTCAGAAGACCTCTGTCATGGATAATATTGGTCGCGAAAGCCTACGTGCTGAAGCTGTTAGAGATAATCCAATAGGGGCGAAACTTTACCCTGCAGTCAATTGCCGTTGTCGATTAATTAATTGCCATTGTCCGACATAAAACGGGCCAAATTGATCAAATAATTGCTGCCTAAAAATCAAATCTGCGTTCCGCGGACCCTGCCCGAGCTTCCTTGTCTCATCCCGGCCACTCTCGCTAGGTTCGTGTTCGGCTTTATGACCCCCACCACCACCTCCCACGTGTTGGAGTGAAAAGTAAGAGGAGTGGGCGGGAGTGCAATTGCTTGCCCACGTCCTACCTCGCTGATCTCGTCTAGGAACAATAAACCACCACCACGCGAACTTCAGTCATAATCGCAGCGGAGGATTTTGGCGAAGCCATCGAACAAAGATTGGCACTGCCCATCGCGCGCTTTCAGATGAGCCTCTGCGGCCGTCTGGAACGCTCTTCCTTCCAAAATTAGGAAGCCACTTGAGCTATGAACATTTAAATCTAGATTGAAAACGTACTTCTATACAATTGCCTTTGGCGTTTAGTTTGTTGTCTTTCTCCCGCAAACCCCGATTGGTGCGGTTGGCTACGTACGGTGGGAAATGAATTCAACGTACAGTCCATATTCACTGCTGGCGGAAAGACATCCACTTGAGGGATCTATATTTTGCAAGTGCATCAACAACATAGCACAGAGGTCGCCGGTTGGGTTCGATTTCCCGGTGCGATGGACACATTTCTTAAAATCATCAAACAATAGGGCGAGTTTCTTAAATACCGTCCCCTCTGCCCACCCAGCAATATAAATGGGCACACCACACGTGACGTACGCCCCACCTCTTCCAAAACGCCTGGTCACCGTGGAAGAGTAGACCAATTTAGCCTCTAGACTTGACTTTTAGCGGAGGCCCTTCTGACAGCAGTGGCGTGAGCGAGCACTCGCCCAGTAAGCGTGCAACGTCGAGCCAACGTTAGCGTGCGGTCGGAACGGTTTGGATCGGCGTTGGCCCAACGTTTCGTGTTGACCTGTGTGCGGCATGGCACTTGTGCGAGCGCGAACGACGATAGCGCCACCTGCCGTGCAAGGCTCTACGCGGCTGGAGAGTTGACGCGATTTTTACACCGGCTGCTTGATTCGCCACGCATTGAGAGTGGTGCGATTTGTCAGGTTGACGGCATTGAGAACATCGATTTGGCTGCACTGCCGCACAAAGAAGACCCTCGGTCTCTGGTAACCTGTGTGCATCAGGATTATATCATCCAAGCGCTATCCGGGCGGAAAAAAAACACTTAACACATTCGTCATTAACACTGCGACCGCTGTCAGAACATGCAAAGGGTCCGTCCATAAAAGACGTCACGCGATTTTGGCCGATTTTTGACCCCGCATGGTCACACGGCGTCACAAAAAAATCAGACACCCCTCAAATATGACGTCACAAAGATCTCCCCCCCCCCCAAATACTATATTTCCATTTTGAAAATAAAACATGCTTCAAATCGCTTTAAACTATTGTCATTGTAGTGCGTATTTAATATGGCGCTGCACTCTGATGTAGGAGAAAACATTTATTTAAGAGGAGGCGCTGGAAAGCTGAAATATAGCATAAAATTGTATCTCTATCGGTCTCTTATAATTTCAAATATTAAAAGTAATTATAACTATAAAAAAATACTTGAAACTTTGACGAAGCAAAATGGAGAGTACAATTATAACAACCACATATTCATTCCACAGAATGAAAAGCCCTGGTAGAATCATTAAAATCAAAATGTTTAATACAAATCATTCAAAAAATGTACAAAATTAATGCTTCTCCATTCTCCCATGGAGAAGCAAAATGCTCTTTCATGGAATAAATAAAAGGTGACCTTAGCAAATTGAAATAATCAAATAGTTAATAACAAAAATGATTTAAAATCAGTGTTGTTACAGCAATTATATTATAATCTTGGTTCTTTCGGTAAAGTCACGTGACTTTACCGAGAGAACCAAGAATATGAATCCCTGCAGTCACGAAAGCTTTAAAGCAATTATATCGTTTATATTTATTTAAAGTTGCGCATTTTGATGTGACGTCACATTTCTCAACCCCCCCCTCGTCACCCATCGTCACGAATGTCTGACCCCCCTCTAGGTGTGTGACGTCATTTATGGACGGCCCCTAAGGGTCTCGTTACAAAAGTTGTCTTTACTTTCAGCCTCAGAAAAAAAAGTGGGAATCTAAACTTCACAGTGATTCATATTCTTGGTTCTTTCGGTAAAGTCACGTAGTCGTCAGGCTCGTGAGCGAACCGACGACGTCTTGTATACCAGGCGAGGCAGTTAACATCCCGTCATCGTGGTAGCCCAAATGCAGCTGCATCCCAATAATCGTGGACCTACTGGCACCTGCCACGTAGAATTCTCACCACAACACACATTGAGATGGGGGAAGGGGCTCTTCCCACGCTCATCATAACGCGTGGCCACGCCTGTGAAGCGAATTAAAGCAATCATGATTACGCGGGGTCATGGTGATGTTGGGGCAAAGACACAGATCCCCTGTATAGCCTGGACACACTGTTGGGGAAAGTGTTGTTAGCGAGCGCCTATGAAGGCCGGACCGGTACACGAGGGGGTGGGTGGCTAACACCACGCTTGACCGCCTTTGTCTCCCCAGTGGCGATGTTTATACACCGCCACTATTTGAGGCTAAGTCGACCTAGGGGAGGCCCATGGCCGGTTCAGATAATCTTTACCGGTGTTGGTGGCCGCGGGTCTCGCCGGGTCGCCGTAGCGCAGCGCGCTAACCGCTACACCACCGCTCCCCAAAACAAACATTGGTGGCAAACACAAACACACAAACACACAAACGCCACGTATAGCCCCATTGCCCCACTAACTCACGACCCCACTCTCGCCCCTGTTGCCCCGCCCACTCCCCCCGCCCCTAAACTAACCCCGCCCCCACACTTTGCATATCGGGGGGTGTTGGGGAGAGTTGGGGGTGGTGCTTCGCGCCCCTCTCTCTCTCTCTCCCTCACGCGATTGGCCGCGAGTCACGCGTCACGCGGCGAAGCAACCTATCGGCCAATCGGGTGAGCGAGTACGGAGGCCCACCAATCCCGGCTGGGCTTTTAACAGTTGAGCGGCGAGGGTCCCCAGGAGGAAGAGTTTGGTTGTTTTGGGGCGGCATCGCCACCACAACAACTACCACCACCACCCCCTCCAAACGCGGATTGCCGCCCAGCCGAGGCCTCTACCTTCAGCGACGAGAGTAAAGGAACAGAAGCATCCTCGAGCTGGACGTCAACGCAGGCGAGGTGATCGAGGAGCTGTGGGGGGGCGGGGGCGGTGGTGGCGGCGGCTTCCAGGCGAGGTTTTAAATTACCCTTAGGCCCAGATTCTCGGTGTGGGGTTTCCTGGATGTTCTCATGTTTTTGTTGGTGTTAAATTGGTCGTGTCTGTGTTTAATTAGCGTTGCATCGCGACTGAATAGGTTCGCGTGTAGATGCTACGTGGATTTGCCCTTCACCCAGCGGTGATTTGATCAGGAACCAAGTGGATGACTGCCCGGGGCTTGTGTGGCTGTGGCTGTAACGATTCCCGCTCACGGCCACCACCGGTGGCGAGAAATCTTCACCTGCCCTGGGCCTTCCCCCTAGGTCGACTCGGCCTCAAAAACATCGCCACTGGGGAGGCAAAGGCGGCCGGGCGTGTTGCTGGCCACCCACCACTTGGTGTGCTGTGCGGCCTTTATAGGTGCTCGCTGACAGCACTTGCCCCTACAGTCTTGTTGAAGGTTATCAGGGGGATCTTTATTTTTGCTGTTTGTGAGCGCCGGTGTAGGGGAAATGGTCTGCTGTTGGTAAAGGGTTGATAAGCCATCAACGAGAGACGTCGCCAACCTCCATCCAGCAGCGCATGATGGAGTTGTTCACCTATTGCCGTAGTGAGTTCAAATCGTTATGGTCACAATTAATCTAATCGTTTCCGCTAGTGTCACTAAAGTATAATTAACCACTTCTACAGTATTAACGTTATCGTGACCATCACTGATCGTCATCGCCATTATCTCCACCACTTATCATCACTACATTATCACCCTCATCAACTCCACTGTTATCATTTCACTTCATTATCAATGCTCACCACTGGTCATTACTGTTAACCACTATTCAACATCACTGTCATTGTAATCATTGCCACTTGCCAACAGCACCATCATTATCGAACTATTATATTCACTACCCTTTCATAATCTCGGAGTATTTATAATTAAAAACTGCATTCGCGTATCTGTAATCACAGGCATTTGCATTTCTGTCATCAACATTGTCACCAGTATTCAGCATCGTCATAATTATAATTCCCTACAGGCAAATACACCGAGTACCGAATGATCAGGTTGCACTCCTCGCTGTTCCATCACCAATGTATTTACGTGACTTTGCCACCGGAACTTGACTGGGTAGCTGCCAGCAGTATACGGTGAGAGTCACCCACTGCTGATACTGGTACTGTTTCGCCTTTTGGCGTTCTCTCGTCTGGCACTGGTGAGACACGGCCACACAGAAGGCTCTCTCTGGTGTTGGCCAATCTGTTTCATATAATATAAGAATAGGTTTTTCCCATTTTTTCTGGCAACAAAACAGGTGTTAAGATGTGAAAACACCAAACTGAAACCTTTTACAAGGAATCATGTCTGCATTAACCACAATGCTTGTGGTCAGAATGCAAACAAAAACATACTCTGATAATATATGCATTAAATTTCGATTTAAAGCTTTCGTGACTGCAAGGATTCATCTTCTTGGTTCTTTCGGTAAAGTCACGTAGAATGAGAATAAAACAATAAAACTAAATAAGACAAAATTCTCACGACGTTTCGGCCACAACACAAGTAGCCTTCTTCAGGTGAAGGCACAGAACTGTCGTGACTTTACCGAAAGAACCAAGAAGAGAAATATATGCATTGTCCTTGAAACTGATTGGTCTACACCAGAGACAGCTTTCTTTTGAGCCTCGTCTCAAACGGTGATAGACCAGAGGACGCCAAAAGGCGTACAGCCCAAAGACAATGCCACTATCAGAGTAATGAGCTCGGGTGAGCGTCTACATCATGGGACCTCCTTTGCCAGTACCAAAATATGATAATAGGTTTTTCCCCTTTTTTCTGGCAACAAAACAAGGACAATGCATATATGATCATTGTATTTTTTTGCATTCAGACCACAAGCATTGTTGTTAATGCAGACATGATTCCTTTTAAAAGGTTTAAGTTTGGTGTTTTAACATCTTAACACCTGTTTTGTTGCCAGAAAAAAGGGGGAAAACCTATTATAATTTTTTGGTACTGGCAAAGGAGGTCCCATGATGAAATATAAGAATAGGTTTTACCCTTTGGGAATAAAACAGGTGTTCAGATGTTAAAACACCAAACATCTTAACGCCTGTTTTATTGCCAGAAACGGTAAACCCTATTCTTATATTATGATACTGGCAAGGGAGGTCCCATGATGCATCTCAGAAAAATGCATATATTTATCCACTTAGGCAGCTGAACTCAAGTGAACTGGTGGGCTTAAGGCTTCTGTATTTATACTATTATTTATATTAGTGGAAAATTCTAGAATGTTCTAGAAGTTACTCCAAGTTAACTCAGCACTGAATCTATTTGGAATGTTCTGGAAAATAGGTAAATTTCAAAATATCACTGTCCTGGTCACAAAAGAAAAGTTTTGTAGGGAATAATAGACATGTTCTACACTTTTTAGGCATAAGCAATTACAAAATAACACTACCCAGGAACAAAAATTGTGTTACATAGTGTTACAGTGAGGGGAAAAAGTATTTGATCCCCTGCTGAGTTTGTAAGTTTGCCCACTGACAAAGAAATGATGAGTCTATAATTTTAATGGTAGGTTTATTTGAACAGTGAGAGACAGAATAACAAGAAAATCCAGAAAAACGCTTGTCAAAAATGTTATAAATTGATTTGCATTTTAATGAGGGAAATGAGTATTTGACCCCTCTGCAAAACATGACTTAGTACTTGGTGGCAAAACCCCTGTTGGCAATCACAGGGATCAGACGTTTCTTGTAGTTGGCCACTAGGTTTGCACACATTTCAGGAGGGATTTTGTCCCACTCCTCTTTGCAGATCTTCTCCAAGTCATTAAGGTTTCGAGGCTGACGTTTGGCAACTCGAACCTTCAGCTCCCTCCCTGTGGGCAAACGTACAAAATCAGCAGGGGATCAAATACTTTTTTCCCTCACTGTATCAGAGCATGTTTGTTTATATTTTTGCCACAAGTACGTGTGGTTAAAGTAGTCTTGATTCCTTGAAAAAGGAATCTATTTCGTTTATACATCTTAACAGCAGTTTTATTGTTATAAAGGGTAAAAGCTATATTTATTTTTCATACTTTGGGGTTTTATTGTTAATATGACATGTCATTTGAGTGGTGGTGGTTGCAGAGTAATTTCATATTTTGAGAAGAGGTAGTTGAAGTGGTTGTAAATCCAACCTCCAATAAGCATGGTTGGCTATGTACAGTGCGAAAGATTTTCTACATATATAAAGGGAGTGGATGTGGTTGTGATTGACGTGACAATGGTTGTATTTTGAAGCTCATCTGTTTTGTAACCAAGAGGCATTCGTACTGTTGTTTCAGATTCTAAGAAGTTTGGTGGCTCGTAGGAACCGAGCACACTTAACTTGGATCGAGTCAAGTTCCAAAATTAATGGACAACAATTCTTTTGTTATTTCATACCACAATCACTTACATTACATGAACGATCGGCATTTATAACGACTGCCTCATTTACAAGCCTGTAAATGAGGCACCGCGCAATGCAATTATCGCAGACAACGCAAGCCCTGCGGAACTCCATTGCCATTTTTTGAAGCCGAGCAATTCGATGGACGAAGAGGTGGGCGCCTATGCGCCCAGCCTGCCGTGGCATGGGACTGCCAGGCTTGGTGATGGCAGTCGGACACCGGGGGAGAACGATGGGCGGCTGTCTCTCGGAGAGATGGCTTGCCACTGCTGCTATGAGCTGCTTCTTGACCCAACCACGCTGACATGCGGACACAGCTTCTGCCGCCACTGCTTGGCGCTCTGGTGGAACTCCTCGCGCCGTGCGGAATGCCCCGAGTGCAGGCAGATGTGGCAGGGATTTCCCCGGACAAACATCGTGCTGCGGTATGTTATTACCCAGCGCTGTCAATGTACAGTTACATAACGGCACGCGAACAGCAAAACAGATGGCAACAAAACAGATAGCAAAGAAGTGGCTGGATGGCTCGGTGTCAAACCTTTGTTAAAGCATTGAGCCAGCATCGTTGAGAATTATGGTTTCCAATCCGAGGTTCAGCTTGGCATGTTTGGCTACGTACGATGTGAAACAAGTTCAACATACGTCTGTGATCAAGCCGGGTCCTTAAGTGTTGTGAGTAAATGGTATTAGCTTGGTCACCAATAACTGCACAAAAAGTAATTGAATTTGGTTTTCAGGTTATTCAAAAGTTTTGTCAGCTTTGAGGTTTTTGAAATATTTGGTTTAATTGCTATATTGATTACATCTTTTGTAGTGGGGCAATTTAAACTGGGCAGCACTTGAGGATATGAACCTATTTAAGAGATCTCACAAGTATATAATCTTCAAAATGATAGCCAATGGCTGGTTTAATATTACATTGCTTTCAGTTAGAGTCCTGAATGAACATTTCTGCATTTAATGACATTGCAATATAGAATATTTACAACTTTTTAGTTATTTCACATTTTGGCTATGTGTTGTGGCCCTATCCGATGACCTTTTTAAACTTTGTTAATAAGATTGTTTTGTATTAGTCAGCAGTGCTCTAATGATTTACAATGTAAAGTCTTCACTGTTACATCATTAAGTTCCCTTGAAAGACTATTTGCATTTATAAGAAAATATATATTTTATTTTTGTGCTGATCCAGTCCTTTAAGTTTGCAATAAGAACATTACACTTAAATGCCATGCATTCATTCAGTGGAAAATATGCTGCTTAATATTTTATTTCATTTCCTCGTCAACTGTCATAGGCATTTATTTAAAAAAATGTCGATGACCAAATCACCCCGATCCCATCACATCTCAAAAGCGAAGGAGTTGATCCTTTGATAGTGCTTGGAATTTTCGACCACCATGCATAAACATGTTGTCATCGTCTGTGGGACTACGTAGTGGGCAGCAGAGGGCAGTGCTGCAAAAAGCATTGTTCGACCGATCTTTGTTTCTACATCTGTGCTTCCACCTTCAACCCACACTCCACACTGAATAGCACGGTGAAACCTGGTCAAATCACCTCCGCACATTGTGAGTGACCCTAATCCAGCAGTGGTTTGATAAAAGTGCCGTTTACATACAAAAATAATACATTTCGTCCCTTTGTCAATCCACCAATGAATGATAGATTTCCCATGGCATGTCGGTCATGGTAGTTGTTGACCAATGTGGGTTTGTAAAATCCATGACTGGTTCGTATCACAATTTCTCTTGGGACGTCCGGGTTTTCCCTCCACATTTACAAACACTCGTTTATAGTATTTGGCTGCTATACATTTCCAAATGATAAGCCACTTCGTTGAGCTATCGTTTGTGGCCGAGTCGCTTCTGAAAAAGAGCTCAAGTGGGCCTTACCTGGTTAAATAAAAAATAGATGTAGGTTTTTTAAAGAATTTCTCACGTTAGCTGTGGCTGAGAATCAAACTTGTGTATCCTGATTCGTAGTGCATTGCACTAATCACTGCACCCTCACACTTTATATTGATAAGCTTTGAAGGTAATGAGTGATAATGTTATACATCAACTCTGGATCTGTCATGAACGTTTTTTTTCTCATCAGTAAATTTGCTTCCACTCAAAGTATAATAGTAGTAGACACTCAGCTAAGTGTGCTGAAACTATTCATCGCTGCTGACTTGAAAACAATAATTTAATGGAGTAACAGGAACCTGCTTAATTTCAACTTGAAATAAAGTCCATTACATGTTTTTGTCGGGCAGTGGTGACTTCCATGGTCAAGGGCTAATTTTGCCACATTGAGTCTCTTACCCTCATTCCCAAATTTGTTGATTTGCCATTTTTCAGCATCCAAAATATATTTTTCTTTAACTTTATTATTGCTTGACTCTCGGAATTCCCTTCCATCATCTCTTTTTGCAGGGTCCCATAACCCTTTGTCAGTTATTCGAACGTGTTGGTATCTGCTCTGCTGTCATGAGTGCCCTTGGTTGCTGGCTTCTTTGCATGATCATCCTTTGGGGATCAGCGTTTTCATAAAGGTTTGTTATTAACTCCACTCGTCAAAGAGCACTAGTTTTTTATGGTCATGGGAAAATACCACACTGTGTGTTTTGCAAAGGGTTAATGTTTGTCAATCCATGGCTGGATGATGGCCCCCTCACAATGTAGATCATAGGAGTTGTATGACCATACTTCACCAATGTGGCTGATGAAGGCAGTGAGCATTGACATGTGATTACAGAAATGCAGTACAATATTTTTTCTGCACTGCCGTCTCCAGGCCACATCGTCAACCCGTAGCCTGTAGAGCATCCCTTATTCAAGACGGTCGCCCATTCAAGCACTTCCAAGGCATAGCCCTGCTTAGCTTCCGATGTCTGATGAGATCTGGTGCAATCTGGGTGATTTGTTCAAAGGCATGCAAAAAGCGTACCTGGAGTGAAACATTGTTTTAAATATATATACCAATGCTTATTTTTATAGTTGTATAAAATTAACACGAGATTTTCCCACGGTGCTTCCCAGTGACACTCATGCTTTTCCGCATGTCTCTGCATTTTTTTTTTTTAGGGGCGCGATAGAGAAGTTGTTTCCCGAGCAGCTCTGGCACAGACAGCAGGAGGTGCTGAGCAACGGCAAGACGGCACAGACCCTGGCGGCGTTTGAGCAGCAGGGCCAGGAGCAGATCAGCGCCGCCAACGGGCGTCCGGCGGTTCTTCGCCAGGGCACCGCGCGCAGTTTCTTCTCGGGCGTTCTCACGGCGCTCACCTGCGTCGCGGTGCGTTTGCCCTGGTGGCGTGAGATGCCTTGGCGTTTGTCATGGCGGTGCTGTGCCATGGCGGTGTGAATGTCATAGCCCACGTTTCAAAAACCCTGTGTACGTGCCATGTACTGATTTAAAATTGGTTCTGCGAGAAGTGATGATTTAAGTGGTGACATTTGAAGTGGTAGGTTAAAGTCCTGGGTTTAATGTTGCATTTCTTGTGGATGATCTCACCCAAAGCCAGTTGAGCAAGTTTTTCTAGAATACCTATTAGTTGTATGCAGTGGTGAATGAATGTAACATGTTACAGTGCATTAGTGAAATGTTTAACATTACGGAATTTACCTTGACATTTCTGAAAACAGCACTGCTAATGCTTCTGGATAATGATGGTGTTGCAGTATGTAACAGTGCTACGGTGACGAGATGGTAACTACCTCAACTGGTATGCAGGAGGTCGTGACCCTAACACCCGTATATTTGGAGTTTACATGTCTTTCTCACCACGGTCGCGTGGATTTTTCTCCAGGTCCTTTGGTTTTTCCCTCCACGTTTAGAAACTTGCGTTTAAGAGTATTTGGCTGCTGTAAATTTACACGTGATAAGCCACTTCCTTGAGCTATCATTTGTGGTCGCGTCGCTTCTGAAAAAGAGCAAATAGCTCGGTGGGCCTTGCCTGGTAAATAAATAAAGTTAACTTTTTTTATCTCAGGGTTCTGCATTAATATACAAAATATACACATCTCAGAAAAGGATGGTCTCTTGTGAAAACATCAGGTGAGGCAGAAAGAGGCAAGAAGGAAACAGGCCAGATAGGGGGATGAGATTACAATATGGTCAAGATAAGTAAGAAAACACTTTGAGTGACGGTGAATCATAGGCTGGGGTGAATAGGAAAGTGTTGAGCTTTAAATTGAATGGGAAGGATCTCGGCAGACTCCTAGTTCAGGGATTCCTATACAAAGTGCGCTTTCATAGAAGAGCACTGAGCTGAGGTTGTCTGGGAGTTTTGACAGGAGGTCTTGGCTAAAGCGGAGGGCACGTGGAGAGTAGTATATGGAGAATATGCATCTTATTGGGAATTGCAAACGAACATCGATGGTTAATAAAGCTTGGGGGGGGGGGTATATGCGCTTGCGGCCCACCAGGTGATGCTGCTGGTGTACCACTGGAGCAGCGGAGACACGGGCGAGGAGATGCTTGTTCACAAGTCTCTGAGCAAGTGGACGAGCAGTGACGTGGGGCTGTGGCTGGAGCAGTTGGGCAGCTGGACTGTACCATACCGGGAAACTTTCCAACAAGAGGGTGTGAATGGCAGGTCAGTCTGCCACCACATGCAGGGTTAAGGATCGGGTGGCAAGTGTCTGTGTTTATATTTTTATTAAAATCCTGTTAGGATTTGGGAGTAACATTTGTATTTGAGACTACTTGTTTTTAACATTGTGGTGAATGTAGTAATTTGTAGCTGTAAGGGTCACATATAAAAAGACTGGTTCTCGCACGCACAATTCATTGCATTTATTGTGAACATGGCATATCAAAGTGTCGTTCCATACTTAGTTGATACTTTTACAGAAATTAATATTTGTAAGTTGTTAAATTTATTCACGATTTGGGGTTGTGAATTTGCCTTGTTTCTTCTGTCTCATTTGCATAGTTTTATTATTTCGCATTTATTCTAAACACAACGGCGTATCATTTGTATTTATTTTTCCATAAAATACCTATTTTCACATGCAGGATTCGAGTGTAAGAATCGATTTTAACCAATTAATCTGCGTCATTATGTACCCTATTCCTTGCTTGGAACCCCCATGTAGGGTGGGGGGGACGCGTACACTCACGCTGGGCTGATGATTTATTGCAGGCTTCTATTGAGCCTCACGGAAGAGGAGCTCAACCTGCCACCGTACGGTATCGAGAAGCCGGCTCATCGCAGAGCTCTCATCACAGCCCTGGATAGCATGATATCTTTGGGAGTCAAGCCCCCACACAATCTTTGGGAGTACAAGGTAGAGAAGAAACCTCGTTTTTCGTTTTGTCTTTACCCCAAGTTTGTAACCTAATTGTGCTATCGGTGTCTTGTCAAGAGATAAAAAAACACATCAAGATCCCTGGTAGAACATTGCAAGCCCTTATGTTAGAGAATGGCCCGGTAGACAAGGATATCACAGAGCTACCACTGATATCCCTTCAAGTGACCTCTGGTCCACGTTGTAGGGGTCGGCACATTTCCACCCACCATGCCCCGGAGAGTAATGTTTGTCGCGTGACCTTCAAACTGAAAATGTTTAATTATTATTAGAGCTGGAATTTAACCACATTAAGTGTCGAACCAAATTTTATGCGATGCTCTGTTTTTATCAGTCCTAAGTACCAAATCTTCATGTATAAATGTCACCGGTGTGTGTTATAGAAGGCAGCATTGTAAAAAGCGAATAAATATTTTCTTAAGTGCATTTTTAAGAGTTTTGTGGTGTCCCTTTGCAGGCAATGCATGCAGGAAAGTCTCTCTTCCTCCTCTTTTTGTTGAAAAGTTCACCTCGCCTTGCCATCTTCTACCTTTACCTGTTTGACTACACCGAGCTCTTCTTGCCGCTCATCCACACGTGCTGCCCCGGCCGCGTGCATGAGGAGGAGGCTGAACTCTTCCGCGGTGGCTGGGTAAGCGCACCGAGTGTGTCTTCACTCTTCATATTCACCTGAGTTTGTGCTTTTATGCATGTGGAATTTTGTGTGTGCTGCGCTGTGAAATGTTTAATCCTCTCTCGATCAAGTCATCTCAGTCGGTTAACCCATAACGCCTGGGTCTGTCCCATGGCGTCCTGCCCAGAGAACCTTCGTCGCTTGTGGCCTCAAAAGTGCACCTAGCCTAGCATAAGAGCTGTGGTGTCTTCACTGTGATTTAGTGGTGAACAGTGGCCAATTTGATGTGTGTGGCGGGCAGCCTGACAGTCCGAGCTGGGAGCAGTGGGCTGAGTTCCTACCCAAGGCGATGGTGATGCCCTACGTGCTGGTGGGGCGGTTCGCCTGGGAGTGGCTGGAGGTGCACTACTGGACAGCTCGCTTCGTTGTTATCAATGCAGCTCTGCTCACGCTGCTGGAAATCTTCGCGATCAAGCGCTTCTGTCTGCAAGGGGAGATCCGGTGCGGTGCCTTTCCTTTTTTGCAAACTTGATCTTGGCACAACGTGTTGCGTTGCAGGTTGTGTCCGCTGCTTGTAGGTGTGCCAGTAGTGTGGAAGGCCCTCTTCCAGCAGTGGATTGACAACAAAGGGCTGTTTATAATAATAGTAATGATGTATGTATATATATGATCATTTATTTAAATTGTATCTCAAAACGCTGTCGAAACATGGACAGATTTCAAGGCATGGGAAACCAGTAAAGTAGGAATGCAGCCATAACTCGTGCCAACAGTTGCCCAAACTTTTTTCTATATTTGTATGTTTGGCTAACTTAATGAATACACGTACATGATTTTTAACAAGCATATCCAAATGGATATTATCTTTGTTGTAGGAAGCCCGTAAAGCTATGTATTATGTTAAACCGTGCACCATTGTCTTAATTTTCAGACGGTTGCCCCGGACCCTTTGGAACGACTTCTGCCGCCTATTCTCACAGGGCGCCATGGTCACCATTTTCTGGCCGGTGCTGCCACAGTTTGTGTGTGACTGTCTCTTCTACTGGGCGTTGTACTTCAACCCAATCATAAACCTGGATCAGGTCACCAAGGAAGTCCGCCGTATGTTCACACAGGAAGCGTGAATGCTGGTCGGCAGATACGAGTGATAAAACGTAGGGAGTTTTTGCCAGGGATGCAGTCTGGGGGATTGTTTAATTGTGGGCAAATGAGCAAGAACAACATTATTTTGGAAGTGCGTGGTTGGCTGTAGCTGGATAGCACCATGGTAAAATGGGTAAGGATGGGGCTGCCTCCCCAAACATTTGTGGATTTGCACTGCTTCAGACCATGCTTGAGATGGGGAAACCCCCCCAATGGTGGGTGCAAAGCATGCAGCCATGGTGAGATCTTTTTTTAAAAAAAATATTCAAATACAGATGATTTAAAAAAAATGTGAAGCGCATTGATTGTGTTCTATTTTGTGCAAAAAATAAAACAAATATTTTGTTTTTTCTTTGAGCTGACATTTTCCAAAGATGTAATGGACAATAAGGTATATAAAAATTATGATCAACATAAACATAGGAAGATGTGATCTTTTTATACATGGCTTCCCTTAGCAAACATTTACTTCGTCAGCAAATGAGAATTTTTACTTTGCTTTCATGTACTATACAATTTTAACATCGATTACAATTTACAACGGCGGTCACAATGGTGTTAGGGTACTTTGCGTAAAGTGATGGTATCCACCTCTGATGCTCATCATCATCGTCATCAGCCACGATCAATCCACTGCTAGATTGATCCTCAGTGCTCTTCTCGATGTTTCTTAAGTACCTGGGCTGTAGACAGTGAGCACGGGCGAACATTTTGTGTACATTTTAGTGCCTCTGGGTTTTTTTTTTTAAGCTGAGAACCATCTAAGATTCCAGAGGGCAGCCTTCTCAAATGAGCGTACACCACCGTTAAAGTGTGAGTTGTGATTGTCCATATTCAGCCAAAATTGACTGAATTTTATGGCATAGTGCAAATAATTGTTTATATTCTCATGTTGAAATTTATGACAATCGATCTTTTTTTTCAGAATCTTGAGACTTGAAACGTAAACGATAATTTCTTAAACTGTGAAAACAAATGTTCCTTCATGTTTGTTGTTGGAACACAATGTTAAAGATTATGTGTTCAATGTTCATGCTTATATCATTGGTAAGATTAATTACAAATCTTCGTACTTTTCAATCCTTCCAATTCTATATTTGCCTTAATTACATTACAGTTACATAGAAATATTTTTCCAATTCCAAAGCAGTGGAGCAAATGGAACGAGGCAAAAACAGGGTATACTTTCTATAACAGTATTCAGTGCTACATAAATTAAAAGGAAAGATAAAATATTGATCTTTTCACGTAAAAAATATATAGACAATTTTCTTAAATTGTGGTAGTTTCATGTTGTACAAGTTATCTGCACATCGAATGGGGTTTCTTAAATAGGAAAACTAAATTCCTACGTGTGTCATAGAAAGTTTATAAAAAAAAATGTTTATCGTTTTTACTTTTTTTAAGTATGCGAACACACCTGCTAGCTCAAATAATTCAGTATGAAAAAATATGTTTAGGGAATACAAAGCATCTCCGCCAAAATAATTATACATGTTTATATCGTATGTCAAAAAGGCAAGGTAGTCATAACATGTGCACGATTCCAAAGTGATGTACACATGATTGAAAAGGTTTCCCTCTGGACTTTGGTGGAATGCACGGCACTGCATGATGGCCTTCCTACTCTGTCAGTCATAATGGTTATTTGAATGGAGGTGTCTAAGACAATTCGTTAATGTTAGCCATAAACTGAATCGAACTCAGGTTTCTGGGTTCGTAGCGCAATGCGCTGACCACTGTGTCACCGCTACACCCTGTAAAAAAGATGGACAACTAAAAATAGCAGAAAGTGTCCCTCCCTTGCCCCCCCCCCCCCATGCTCCCTGGCTAGAAGCAACGGTTGAGCTGAGCCCAGGTTACCTTGCTTGCTTTCACATGATTGCTAACTGCAGTGGCCATGGAAGACAACCGCTTGCTTGTGGCAGCAAATCGATCACATCGTACGGATCGTTAATGCTGCTGGTGTGGTGACGCATTTGTTGCGTGGAGGCACCGGTGGCAACGGCGTGTTGCTATTCACGGGCTCCGAAACATGCAAGCCAAATGCTTAGAATGTGCCCATACGTATGTTAATGTTATTTGAATTTTACTGAAAAAAATCTTAAGTTATCTATTTCCGCAGCTTATCGAACAATGTATGTTAATCCATGTAAATGATGTAAGCTAATTTCAACTTGTAAACTATTTCACACTTGACACAGTTGGATCTGTGTCGGAGACAAGTGTGGGTTTGTAATGAAGCTGCTGCTGAGTGGGAGTGGGTTTCCGGGAAATTCTAACGACTCTAGCTGCATATGAGGGCACGCAATGTGCAGGTTGGCACAAACAGCGCCTGCACACACTATAGTCATGTCACTGATCGATTATATTATGGTGCAGCAGCACCGGGTTATAATTTGAACACCATCTCGCCAGTGTGCGTTCTCGCGTTACGTGGCCTGTGCACTGAATCTGGGCATTTACTCGTGGGAGGAATGTTCTCGATGGATAATTTTGAATAAAATATGTAATTAAAAAAAAATGTGTTCATGCGTGTTCAACTGAGGTAATGTATGGTCTCAAACGCCTCTCTTTAGAACTGATATCTGTGTTGAGTTGTCCTTCTCCCGCACCCCCTATTAGCGCGGTTGGCTACGTACGGTGCGAAAGACGGTAGCGCACTGCTGCTAACCTGGCGACCCGAGTTCGATTCGAGTTTTCAAGTAATATTTGTGACACCTGAACCGGTCCTGGGCCTCCCCCTCATCGGCTCATCCTTAAATGAGTACCTGTCGTGGTGTGGAGTAACCATTGGCACTGGACAAAGACGACGAGACAAGGTGTGATCCTGGCCACATCTCCCCCTCGTCTGCCATGCCGGCTGTTCATAGGCGCTTGCTCTCAGCACTTGTCTCCCGAAAGCCTGGCAAGGATCCACGTTGGGTCTTTGTTCAAATTTATAACTAGTTTCCCAGGTTGTTGCACATCGCACGTGTCCCTAAAATATAAAATTCCCCGCTGTTTGAAGTTTGTTGGGTATTTGGTGACACAGTGGCGAGAGGTGTCGCCTAAAACTCGTGTGAAACGGTTGAAGTCTGGATGTTTTTTTGTGTGTGTGGCAGAGTTCGCTGTCCCTTTACTGAGAATGGTAGCGGCATAATTCTTGTTTACAAACTGCCACCCCACTTACATGGCATTCGCGCGAGGCAAGGCCGTAGCCATAGTCAACATTGGGGGGGACCAAATCTTCCAGGGGCTCTGGGGGTCCCCCTCCCCCCCCCCAGAAAAAAAATCTGCCACCCTTCCTCTTGCTCATGATGACACTGTGAATGAAAGCTGACTGTAATAAAACTGCTTGCACTTTAATCAAAGCAACACTAATAATGCTATTTATCATAAGAAAGTACAGCTACACACTACTATACGAATATGCATTAAATGAAAGCTACTGCAAATATTACAAATGCAGCGCAACATAAATGATTGACACTTTACTCAGACTTCACGTGGGCTTTGACAAATATAACGTAATAAAAACATTCACGTTAGTTCAATACGCCCGTGAGCACCATTGTTGGTCGCTGGGTGAATGTGTGGCTAATTCACTTTCAAAGTAACTTTCCAAATGGTTGATTCATTAGCAATCGCAGATCAGACCGTTTTCACCAAAAAACATTTGTTTCCGCTCGACAGTGATATAGCCGACGTAACACTCATTACATTCTAATATTCCACTTTAAAAAAATTTGAATGAAATGGAGAGACAGGTCCGTGTTTGACATTGATTGTACCTCCCCACAGCTGTCGAGAAACGGCTTCTGCTGGGGTACGGCAACACTACTTGGACAAACCACACTCAGAACTGCTGTACACCGTAATACTAGAACCGGTAGTAGTAATAATGGATAATTTGTTAAGTTTAGTTATGATTAGGATTACATTTACATTATGAGACCTCCTTTGCCAGTGACGATATAGGAATAGGTTTTACCCTTTTAACTGGCACAAAAACTGACACCTTTATTCAAGGCATCATGTTTGCAATAACCACAACACAAGCAGTCAAAATGCAAACAAAAAAGACAACTGATAATAATATGCACTGTCCTTGAATTTGATTGGTCCACACCCGAGACGGCTTTTCTTAGGCTACACACCCGAGACGTCCACACCTGAGACGGCTTTTCTTAGAGCCTAAGAAAAGCCGTCTCGGGTGTGGACCAATCAAATTCAAGGACAGTGCATATTATTATCAGAGTTGTCTCTTTTGTTTGCATTTTGACTGCTTGTGTTGTGGTTATTGCAAACATGATGCCTTGAATAAAGGTGTCAGTTTTTGTGCCAGTTAAAAGGGTAAAACCTATTCCTATAGGATTACATTTGCTAATTATTATTTTGGACGGCGGTGCGTGGTTGCCTGTCGTAGCATAGCAATTATATATTTTAATATTTTTAACATCTATATTGGGGACATTTTGAGCTTATTTGAATATGGGGGGGGGGGAGATATAATATATATTGGGGGGGGATTGACGCCTTCCCCGCCCCCTAATTTATCGCTGTGCACCGGCAGATGCTGCCGATGGTCCAGATGTTATAAGGGTCGGCTACAAAAGTTGTCTTTACTTTCAGCCTCAGAAAAAAAGTGGGAATCTAAACTTCACAGTGATTCCTATTCTTGGTTCTTTCGGTAAAGTCACGTAGATAGAAAATACATTTAAAATAAAACTAAAAGGAAAAGATAACCACGACAAATAATTAAAGCTTTCGTGACTGCATAAATTACTCATTGGTTTTTTTTCGGTAAAGTCACATTTAGGAATACCATAAAATTTGTTTTAATATAATTTTATGGTATTCCTACATACGTGACTTTACCGAAAAAAAACAATGAGTGATGACCACGGCGTTTCGATCGCAACACAAGCGGTCTTCATCAGGCGGAGAGCAAAGAGGGGGCAAGCCTCCAAATGCAACTGCTTCCAAGGGCTTTCTGAGTGAGCGCAGCTGTGCGGGGTTAACAGCATGGGCGGGGCAGCCAGCGCCAATGTAGGAGCAGAGGGACCGTCCATAAATGACGTCACGCACCTAGGGGTGGGGGGGGGTCAGACATGTGTGACGATGTGTGACGAGGGGGGGGGGTGAGAAATGTGACGTCACATCAAAATGCGCAACTTTAAATAAATATAGACACGTTCTACTTAATTAAATAGTATTTTTCATGTTTTATCCTACAACATCAGTGCAGCGCCACATTAAATACGCAATACAATGACAATAGTTTAAAGCGATTTGAAGCATGTTTTTTTTGGGAGGGGGAGTAGAGCTTTGTGACGTCATATTTGAGGGGGGGTCTGACTTTTTGTGACGCCGTGTGACGATGGAGGGGGGGGGGGGGTCAAAAATCGTCTAAAATCACGTGACGTCATTTATGGACGGCCCCAAAGCACCACAAGTACAGGTAGTACGTGACTTTACCGAAAGAACCAAGAATATGAATTCCTGCAGTCACGAAAGTGTAAAGTCATAATTTCACAGTGATTATTTCAATCACTAGGGGGGTAGTGTAGCTGCTGTGCAAACTCATTCAGTAATACACAACCCACACACCCCGTCGCATATTTTTTTCTAAAAGCAGCGAGCACTGGCCTGGGTGACCGTTACATGTTTGTGTGCCTCAAATTATCGGCTTTCCCTATCGGATTCAATATCGTGAGTTTTCTTGCACCAGTTTCTTGGGTTTGTCCCAAGGATTTTCCATTCAGTTCGGAGCCTTTTACTGATTTCTTTGAACCCTTTAGGACTGACGCGTACGCTCACCCACTCAAGGCTGTCTCACGCAAATCAACTTGGCTGTAGCCCAAAGCTCTCTCGAGTATTCTTAGTTTTTTCGGTAAAGTCACGTTGAAGAGAAACAACAAAATAACAAAATATATATAAAACAATAAAAAATTCTCACGTTTCGACCATAACTCAAACGGTCATCATCAGGTGTGTCGGTTTGCATAAATTTATTTTGAAAACGGCATATTTATTTATTTATATAAAAATAACGTTTGCGTCACGCGCAATGATTGGCTGTTTGCCAGGACTAGTCCATCTATTTTTTGAAAAGAGGAGGGGGGAGACGAAATTTGTTTTTATGTATGCTGTCTGAAAGCCACTGTAAGCGTGAACAATCAATCAAGAACTGAAATGATTTATCAAATCTTTCCAATGATTGCTAAGATAGAATCCATCTTCTCGGTTGAAATTGTCTCTGTGTTTGTATATGTGGATAGCCTCATGAACGAATCTCTCATGGAAGCCAGATGGCTTACAAAGAACCTCCGTCTTGGAAAAGTCAATGGCATGTGAGCCTACTGAATTAGAACAATGATCTGCTACGGCCGAGGTGTTGGTCCTACCGTGTTTAAGGTCTGCTTTATGTTCACGAATGCGGTCCGAGATATGGCGTTTGGTTTCTCCAATGTAACTACTACCACAGAGGCAACTTAGTTTGTAGACACCAGGGTATTGTATGTCCGGAATCACATCTTTTACAGACGGAACCAGATCACGGATTTTATGTAATGTGTTGAAACGGACCTGGATCTTGTGTTTATTCAAGATTTTGGAGATCTTTTTTGTGATCCCAGCAATGTAGGGTAAAGTGATGGTTTTGAAAGGCTCCTCAAGAGGGTTCTTCTTCATGGTTTGAGTGATAGCTTTGCGGATTGTATAGTCGGAGTAACCATTAGCCCTAAGAGCTTGGTGTACGTGCTTGAGTTCACTGCTTATGTGTTCCTGGTCGGATATGCATTGGGCTCTATGATACAGAGTCTTGATGAGAGAATTCTTCTGTGATGGATGGTGGTGGGAATCCGGTTTCAGATAAGCATCCGTATGGGTAGCTTTCCTGTAGACAGAGTGGCTCATTGAACCATCAGGTCTCTTTTTAATTAGGACATCCAAAAAAGGTATCTTGCCATCTATTTCGACTTCCATGGTAAATCTGATGGCTGGGTGTATGGAATTGATGTGGTCGAAGAATTGGTCTAGAGCAGGCCGGCCATGTGGCCAGATGACAAAAGTGTCATCCACGTACCTCTTCCATAAGGTTGGGCGCAGAGTGGCAGTCTGGATGGCGTCAGTCTCAAATTTCTCCATGAAAATGTTAGCTATAACTGGAGAAAGGGGGGAGCCCATTGGGGTGCCCTCTGTTTGTAGAAAGTTCCATTCCAAGTGAAGTATGTATTGGTTAAACAGTGTCTCACCAGGGGGGGTACCTCAGTGTTTAGTCCTTGATGAACCAAGTCTTCAATGATTGCAATGGTGTCAGGTACAGGAACCTTGGTGAATAAGGAAACTACATCAAAACTGACAAGCAGGTCGTCTGGGGACAGGGAAATACCCTTGATTGTTGATACCAGGTGAGTAGAATTTTGTACCGCAGAGGTGGTCTTTCCAGTGAAAGGACGCAGGATTTCAGACAAAAAACGAGCTAGTTTGTAGGTGGGGGAGCTGATAGTAGAGACTATGGGACGAAGAGGTGTATCAACTTTATGTATTTTTGGTAAGCCGTATAATCTTGGTGGCCTGGCAGCAGAAGGTTTCAACGAAAACTGTTTAGATTGATCAATTAATGCGGTTGAATCAGAAATTATTTTGTTGGTTTGTGTGACGAGGCTGTTGGTGGGATCTCTTTTTATTTTTGTATAACTACCATCGTCGAGTAATTCTTTAATTTTGTTGTTGTATTCTATTTTATCCATGATAACAGTAGCATTGCCTTTGTCAGCTGAGAGAACTACAATATCATTCCTCTTTTTTAATTTATATAATTCAAAACGCTCATCTTTGCTGAGGTTGCTAGCTGGCATCTTAGCGTTTTTGAGGGTTGCAGCGATTTCAGATCTTGCTACGTCTGCAGCGATGTGACCCAGGCCCCTGAGAGCAACGTCTACTTGGGCAATTATATCATTAACTGGTATGTGTTTAGGTGTGACTGCAAAGTTTAGACCTTTAGCTAAAACGGATTTCAGACCATCGGAAATAGAACTGTTACTGCGATTAATTACGACTTTATTAACGTCTAACTTTTTGGTGTGTGGGTCCGGTCTTTTGTTGAAGAGGTTAAATTTGGAAATCAGGTTTTCCTTACATTTGGTCGACATAGTAGCAGCTGAAGAGGCAGTCATATTGTCTACATGTTCCCAATCCGATGTGGACATTATTGCCGTCAATGATAAGTGTGATTTGTAGAGTGTCTTGTCTAACTGATCTAGTTCTGTGCGTATAAGTCTGATTTTTTCTGAGATAAGAGCTAAGCTAGTTTTGAAAATAATTCGTTTCGCATTAGAAGAAGTTACAGTAGCAGAGGTGAGTGTAAATGCGATTGGTATTACCCCAGAGTCGCGGCATCTCTTCAGGAAGGTGAGAGACTCGATCAGCTGAGCTTTCTTATCCCGGAGTTTGTTGAAGGATCTTAAAGTTATGTGAAAACCCTCCCCGTAGAGGCGATTAAATTTTGATTTAAGTCGAGGCCTGTGTGCGGAGGGAGGGGCGGAGCCGAAAGAGAAAAGGGGTGTGGCCTAAAACGAGGGGGGTGGGTATCAAGCAAAAGAGGCGGGGCCTTAAAATAAAGAGGCGGGACCTGAAGATTAGGGCCGGGGCCTGATGAGGGGCGGGGCTTGCATAAGAGGGTGGGGCTTGAAGAAGAGGGGGCGGGGGCTGAAGAGGAGGGGCCCTGAATATGAGGGGCGGGGCCTGATAGAGAGGTGGGCCGTGCCTGGAAAGGAGGGGCGGGCCTAACGATGAATCAATATTTAAGTTACTTCCAATTTAATTAAAACAGAGCCCAAACAAAACTCTAAACCACATTTCTCAAAAGTTCACAGCGACTTAAAAATAAAAAATCCGTTGTAATTGTGCGTATAGAAAAGTGAATTAAATGAAAGCATCGAATCAAATAAGCGTAGCGGGAAGCTAAAATGTAATGCCCGCAGATGCCGCCACAGGCCAACTAGTAAATAGTGTCTTACGATTGTCATCCTACAAGCCATAACTCAAATCGTCTCAAATACTACGGTCTTACCACATCTCGGATGTGAAGCAGGTTTGAGCCTGAATAGTGAGAGAATGGGCGATCACAACTCAACAGGTTTGTCCTAGACGCCTGTAGGGGGGGTGGTCACGCTGTGGGCAGCTAAAGCAACATCCATTGTTGTGTTATTTTATTTTATCTTTTTATTATTTTATTCTCATTCTACGTGACTTTACCGAAAGAACCAAAGAAGAACATCCATTGTCCCACTGTAATATGGTTCCAACGTATATGCTCTCATCACCTTCACCAACCCACAACGAGCCGCGGTGCCTGGGGAGGCCCTCATCCAGCAGTGGATTGTCAGGGAGGGCGACCTTACTTGAGCCCCCATCCATCAGTTCGTTGTCCGGCCCCCGCGCCTCTGATTTGCGCCGACGGGCTACGTACAGTTGCGAAGGAAGTTCAACGCCATACATCGCTGTCGGTCACTCACTTTTCAGAGGTAGGAGGGCCCACGTCATCCGTGTGCGAGGGCCGCCACATTTGACACCATTCAGGGGTTGATCGCAGCACGATTACGATGGGGGGGTGTTGCTCACTGTTTGTGTATCGTCGCACGGAAGGTCACCAGACTGAAGGTTAGCAGCGGCTGCACTGAAGGTCAGCAGGGGCCGCACTGAAGGTCAGCAGACCGAAGGTCACCAGGGGCCGCACTCAAGGCAAGCAGGGGCCGCACTAAAGGTCACCAGGGGCCGCCAATGTCCCGCGGCCTTCAGCCGGAGGCGATTGACGGGTGACCAATCAGGAACGATCGGAGTCTTCGAGCACGAGCCTACTAAGCAGCATCATCATAATCGCCAAGTGTGTAGGCCATCGGTTAGGGTAGGCCCGCGTAATCACACAAGCCTTCTCGCCTAACCAGACGTCTGGACGGACCTCACACGGCGGAGAGAAGACCCACGCATCATTTTGTTTTAAGTGACATCTCTCTCGGTCTCTTTTTGCCCCCCCCCCCCCCTGGCGATCAGTCAAGAGGAGGAGGGCCTTGCGGCGGTCTGGCCATGGACCCACTTTGTCATCGCGACCACGCGGCCCATGAACCCAACTGGACATTGGCGGCGGTCCAGAGGCCCGGTCAGCAGCAGCAGCTGCAGATGTGCGTGGCATGCGTCCTAGAGACTCTGGGCGACCAGGACATCTCGGTGGGTGGTGTAATCGTAACAACAACAACTGATCATTCCACGTATACAATAGCGGCTTTTACGCCAGCGATCTCACAAAATGCAACATGAAGCAGCAGCAGCAGACCACTCCGACGTTACAATAATTATAATATGAATACATTTTAAGAATCCATTTACTAAATTGATGGCCGAAGCGGCTTCGCAACGACTAATTAGAATATATTCTCTCCTTGGTGTACGTAAGCTTGCGTGTGCAATAATCGAGTACTGTATTGTGTATAACTCGTACCCATGTGTGGCCAAATAGGCCACACATGTGTGGCCTATTTGGAAGGTTAAAAATGTAGAATACAAATAGTGCGGAGACTCTTTAACAGGAGTGTGGTCCAAGATGTCTTGCAAACCCCCCGCAGAAACGAACAGGCAACAAAAATGTTACGAATTGTTAGGGGTCACTTAAATGTGGGTCACAAGACATCTAGACCACGCAGTACACAGCGAGTACAATGTCGACTGTGTGGGCGAGTGGGATGAATGTACTGTACGTTGAACTTCTTTCGCACCGCACGTAGCCAACCGCGCTAATCGGAGGTGCGGCGAGATGGGGTGGGGGGTGGGTAACAACACTGAACACAGAAAGCAGCCCTAAAGAAACGAGTTTCCAATCTACACTTAAAAGTGCATAGCTCCAGTGGCTTCGTAATATGGGAAGGAAGAGCGTTCCAGACGGCCGCAAGAAGCGCGTCTGAGACGAGGCATCCGTTGCGGAGCGGCAGGTCTAGCCTAGGGGACCCTCAGTGGCAAACATCCCTACGTGGCCCACACTTGTTGATGCCCGAGCTGCCTTCCAATGTAGGGTGTCATCTACAAGTAAGGGGAGAGAGAGAGCGGGGGGCGGGCGGGAGGGGATTTAATGTGTTTAATTACCAATTATAGTTCGTAATCTGCGAGTAATTAAAACAAATTCGATGATGTCGGCACGCACGAGACCGTTAATGTGCGCTGTGAAACAGACAGCGCGTATCGTGCAGTATTCATGGTAAATATACCCGCACTATTAACCAGGGCTGCCTTGGGTTCGAGCCAAGAACCTCTCCTTCAAAATTGGGCAAACGGAATGGTTTGAATGATTGGTGGTGCGCGTGTTGGTCGGATTCTCATTAACGACCAATAACAGTGGAGAATATTTGAACCGTTCCTGGGCCTCCCCTAGGTCGGCTCAGCCTTCAATTATTTCTTGATGTGATGCGTAAACCTGAGCACTGGAGAGACAGCCGGGCATGGAACTGGCCACCAACCTGCTCGTGTGCCTTGTTGGCTTTCATAGACGCTCGATAACAGCACTTGCCCCAACAGTGTGAATGGCTCCACAGGGTCTCTTTGTGTTGTCTCATCATCACTCTTAAGGTCTGCCGCAAGACCCTTGCTCTGTCCCGGCTTCTGGAGCGCTTGCTTCAGGATGGTGGTGGGCCCCTTGTGAGCCTCCTTGCTGCAGGGAACTTGGCAGCCGCCTGGAGCTTGGTGCACAACCTGACAGGTGAAGGTCACGGGCTCGTGAGCTCGACTAAACTTAATTTTTTATTTTACCAGGCCCCACTGAGCTATGTAGCTCTCTTTCAAAAGCGACCTGGCCACAAATGATAGCTCAACGAAGTGGCCCGTTGCGTGGGAAATGTATTGCAGCCAAATGCTCTTAGACGCGTGATGTTGATTATAAATGTGGAGGGAAAAACCGGAGGACCCGGAGAAAAATCCACGTGACCACAGGGGAGAACACGCAAACTGCAAATATACAGCAGCAGGCGTCAGGGTCGGGATCGAACCCACGACCTCTTGCATAGCATGCGAGGTCGTTAACATCTTGCCACTGCGGTGAAGGTCGTGGGCTCGTGAACTACCAGCTGAGGGTGAAGGTTGGGTGGGTGGTAATATTTTGCTTTTAAAATTGGTTTCTGAGCACAAGGTCAAAGGTCCAAAGCTTCAAGCAGCCAAAAACAAAGAGCATTCTTGAAGGTGAAATAGAAAAGAGTTCATGCGTTTCTTGAATTGCGCAAGGTTGCAAAAAATAAAAACTTGTGAAGAGGAGACGATGCGAAGGATTTTCAAAGGTGGGCAGTGCGGGGAATGAAGCATTGATGTAATATTTCCTTCGTTTGTTACACAACTCTAACGCTTACTCAAGTCAATTACTGAAAGATCACCCATGAGAATAATAGGGGGGTTGTGGGGAGGGTAGGTGAATGAGTGGGTAGGACTGAGCTGAATGTACATACATTATTAGCAATATCAACAAAAACTGGTACACCCCAGTGTCCACTTGACTATATGATAATCGTCGGCATTGATCTATCCACTCGTGGATGAAAGTTTTGCCAAACTGTCGTCCTCTCTCAAGGTCTTGTGTGACACGCAGGAGGGTTCTGGAGCAGGACTTTTGGGTAATTACATCTTAAGGAGTGAATTGCATGTGCAAAGGAAGCCAGAGTATAGCCTTGAGAAAATGCAAACGTATGAGAAGGTAACACTCAATTGTCTACACAGATGAGTTTGTGAACCCACTTGCTCTACTGGTATATCCTGACCAGAGCACATCAGGTTTAGGATTTTTGCCAAAGTCTGTGTGATCCACCAACTCTTGCCTTTAAAAGCTAAGGAATGCAGTATTTTGCACAGAATTGGAAGACATCAAAACTTGTGATGACAGGTCGAGGTGGTTTGAATGGGGTGCTTCAGGTCATATCAGTTACCAAAAAGTTTTAGTGGCTGATACCTTTATTACATAAGTGTTATAAAATTATTTTATTAGGGAATTATTTTCTGGATTGTATGAATGTGTGACCCCCCCCCCGTCTCCCTGCAGCGAATCCATAATTGGCGTGATTCAACGTTCATGATTTGATTCGGAAATCGATAGTTTTTATTTTATCATCTTGTATTATATGTTGTCTCGTTGGTACCGTAACCTTAGATTGCCATTATATACAGACATAGAGCCAATTATAATTGCATCAGGACTGTTACCTGAAATTGCAACTCTATTGCTCTCCAATGTCTTTGCGGGTTGCACCACACGGTATTCGGCACGACGTCCGACATTTCGGCATGTGGAGAGAAAACGTCAGACATCATGCCAAACGACGGCCTAAAAACACATCACAGAGCTGTACAGCACAGCCTCAGATACCGACACAGTTGTATAATTACATTGCGATTGCAATTAATTTCCAATGACACAAATACAATTGTAATTGACCCTAGGTCTGCTCACATACATACACACAGACACACGATTCAATGAATGCATCATGAGTGTAAGATTCTATTTTAAATGATGAATGTATGTATCATTTTATGCTTGCTGGAAATCATAACTATAAGTTTCAGCTGTAGCATAACTAGCCAGGCGGCGGTGACTATTCACGTGGCCTGGAGTCCAACACTGGAGGCAGCAAGGGTTGGTGGCTCATCGCACAAAGGTTTTGAAACTCCCTTCTCGTGGGCTTCGAGAAAGTGCCATACCCTGGCTTGCCAGAAGAAGGCAGTACAGGAAGTGGACTAATCACCATCTCCTTACATCTGTACAGTTATATAGTGTTTCCCCCTTGCTTGTGCAGATTTTCTCCATGTGCTCCGGTTTCCTTGCACACTTTTTAAACATCTTATAAATAAAACACAATGCAGGATCCTCCTGCAATAGAGTCATATGACTCGGTGGGGCTTTCCTAAATACGTAAACTTCCCCGCAGAAAATTCCAAGCTGTGAAACAAATGGTCCCAGCTTCTGCTAGTGCTTACGAGGACCGCGATGGTGCTGTTGATATGTCGTGTCTCCGCTTGTGCCTCCGTGTGCTCAGGGATGTTGACCGTTCTTCAGGATGTCCCAGCGCTCAACTTGGTGGTGGAAGGTGAGGAATGGTAGTAGTAGCTCCGAGCCATGAGGGGCCCAGGTCTCTTTTGTGAGGCCTAGGCACTATTACAATCGGCGGACTCCCATCCGCTGTTGTCTCACCAAATCCTTCTAGCTGCTCGCGCGGGTGATGGAGCTGTTGTCAAATTAGCTCAAACCTTATGGAACCATCGTTCCGCTGTTGCTTTGTTCATGACCTTCTTTGGTTTTAAATCGGGCGGTGGTGTGGCCCAGCGGTAGTGCATTCCCAGCTTGTTGAAGAGGTTCACGTGTTCGAATCTAGCGGATTCCCTGATTATTTCTCCGAGTGTAATAACGATGATGATGATGATAATACCACGCTCCGTCTGCTTCAGAGGGGATATCAAAGATTCCCCGATGTCAACCCATTGTGTGTGCCTGCATCTGGGTCCAAATTTTTGCCAAATTCGATAATTACACCACAAATTACTTTATACATAGCAATCATCACCCCCTACTGGCAGGCTAATGCTCCAGGTCACTCTTGAAAATGAGACATCCTGGTTTCTGGAGTTTTCACCTGGTTACACGAAATAAATTAAGCGCACCTCTCCCACAGTCCCACTTCTCCCGGTAGTACTTGTGGTCTGACAGCTGAAGAAACTGAACTGTGGCTCATTTGAAAACCAATGTAGACAAATTATTATCGAGCCTTCACCTCCCCCCGTTTCCTATGTGTACATATATTGTCAGTAGACCTCCCATACGCAAGCGTACGCATTTGGGTTTACCCCCCTCTCCATGCGTATGTACTAAATGGATGGCCCCAAACACCATTCCGATTTACGAAATTTCACTTTACGCCCGTTTTTCTGAAGAATGTATCCCTTTTGTAAATCGAGGGATACCTGTACAGTAAATCACTCAATATTTTACAATACCTGTCAACCTCTTATCAGTGCCTACCTTATTACAGACCAATTCAGACCTTATTGGTTACCGCGTGCCCTTAAAAATCTCAATGTTCATCCTACAAAGTCTCATCACAAGCGAGAAACACAAACAAATAAATAAACATTTTTTTTGCCCATATTGAAACGGCTGTACGCCGTGTGGACCTGAAAACTCAATTTCCCTGTACAAGAATACGGGTAAACCGTATGGGTTGACATGGTATGTTTTACACATCTGGTGCCTCAAAAGTCTGTGCCTTCAATGCTGCTGCATGATTGAGCAGTTTGACATTTTGTGCATTATTGCTACAAATAAATGTTTTAACATTTTGTTCACGATACATTAATAAATCACCTTCCTGTACACATTGGCCACCCTGTGCTGCTGCTGTTGTCCTGTCAATGGAACTGTGTGTGTTGGAACATTAGCACCTTAAATGTCCAATCCGCGTGTTGCCGAATACTAATTCTGTCCAATATTTGCGGGGGGGGGGGGGGGGGGGGGGGCGAATGCCGATGTCGCTGTCAGGACCGGTGGGACAAATCTGCATGATGAAGGTTTTCGGAAATGTCACCGTTGACACCGATGCTCGAATGACACGCGCATTTGTTAATAACACTGTGGTCGTAAAAGGAGAATTAGTATACAGCAGGCGACGTTTTGGGGGCAGTGGCCCTTTTTTACGGCGTACATGGAGATGCCAGAGAAGTAGAGGGACGTGGCGATTGGCGTTTCTTCTGAGACCCAGCCTCTGAGGTGTTCTCTGGGCCTTGGCGAGGAGGGTTCAGTTTGTTGTGTCATCTGCTAAAGCCGTGAATTTGTTTAAAAGTGTGTTTGATCAACAGATCATTGGATAATAATGCACCAAATATGGGTAGTCACGTCACCTCCGCCTATGATCTGATTGGAGATTATCATCCTAGGTGCCCACCAGCGGGAGCAGCAATCACACTTAGGGATAATGATTTGCATATGTCGCAGTGTTTGCGTAAAAGCTTCAGAAACTCAAACCGCTTTTTGTCACATCTCGTCTCGGCCATTCTAATACCCTGCTGTAGTCTAGCTAAGCGTACCCCTCCCCCTTCAATGTCACCTGTCTCTGTGCGGCACAAGGTGTATGCAGCACCTGCATGTGAAAGCGCATTCGTCTGCAAAATTTGTCCAGGTTTGGGTAACCATATTTTTTTCATTTTACAAAATGCGAAACTGTTCGGCACCCATCGCCGGTGAGGGTTGCCAACAACAATCGCCCGATAATTATTAACCCTCGTGAAACGCGACCGTTGTCAGTGCTCACTCAGCTCACGTGTCGGCTGAAGTCGGAGGATGTGGCGAGGGCGCTGCTGGCGATGGTGGAGAAGCAGGTCTGTGCCTCACAATGCACCCACACGCATAGATCCCCTGTATAGCCTGTTGCGGCAAGAGCTGTTAGCGAGTAACACCTATTAAGGCCGGCACACAAGGGTCTGGGTGGCCAGCACCATGCCCGGCCACCTTTGTCTCCCAAGTGGCGATGATTCCACATTGCACTAGGTACTAATTTTAGGCTGAGTTAACCTAGGGGAGGCCCAGGACTGGTTCAGATAATTGTCACTGGTGTTGGCCATGAGCGGGAATCAAACTTGGGTCGCTGGGTGTGAGGAGCGGCTGACGGTGGAGAGCGCACTCTGGTGTTAATGTACAGCTCTCTATTTCTGTCCTTGAAGAATTTATATTTGATTGTAAAACTAAAAGAACGCACATGCGGGGCATATGTAATGCCGTCGAATACGCGCTGTCCTCGAAAGTATTTAATTAGCTGTACAGAGAAACTGGTAGGGAGCTGTCGCAGCAAACGTGTTTGCACGTTGGAAAATAGTCCTCTTTGCTCGGATTTTTGCCAACCCTTTGATCTATTTGATCAATTGATATTAAAGTTTAATTCATTTTGGATCATTCTCTCTTGAGTTATCATGCCGTTGCGCCATAGAATGACGGGCAGACGGGAGCTAGTGCATTAACGCTTTCAACCACAGCTGGATAGCATTCAAAACACACACACGGTAAATTCCGCCGTTTTATTCTTTACAATGTTTCCCCCCGACCCCAACTCCCTCATTCAAGATTAAAACGATGCTGATAAGGCAACAGGGGCACAATCTACATAAAATTAGCCCGTCTTAACCATCACTCGAAATTACAAGCCTGCCTCTTTGCCCGGTTCTCTAGCGATAATTGAACAAGTGTATTAAAAACCGGTAATTGCGTTCATTAGGGCCGACGTGCGCCACCGTTCGCGAATTCAGTGCCGGTTCTCCATTGTTTCTTGGCAGGTCACAGGGCCGGCGGGCCCCAAGCAGAGCCTCCCTTTCATTGCCCTGCTGGGGAAGCTGATTGATGCTCTGCCACCGTTAGCGGAGCGCCTGGCGCACCATCAAGGTGTGTGCTCTGTGTTTTTTTGTATGCCATTAAAAAACCGAGGAGGGGGGGAAGAAAAAATACCCTCCATTATGGAAATTTCCAGTCGTTAGGCGAGCCGATCGTAATTATTGTGGCGTGGAGGGGGGTGGCGGGTGGTGGAGAGGGTGCGCTCGTGGGTTTGTGTTGCGAATTCTTTCTGAAAATGCCCCAGGCAAAGGCCGGATTCTCACTTTCGCTGCTGGGCTGGTTGATTATTCAGATGCTAATTCGGCCGAGTCATGAGATGGCAACCAATGTCAACGATTCCACGATGCGCTCTGTGCGTGAACATAGCTCTAATATCCCACTGCTGGACAGAGGCCTGTATAACTATTTTCAGAAGTTACCTGGCCACAAATGATAGCTCAACGAAGTGCCTTATCACGTGGAAATTTATGATACCTAAATACTCACATGTTGCTTCTAAATGTGGAGGGAAAAACCGGAGGACCCGGAGAAAAATCCACGCGACCACAGGGAGAACAAATATCCAGGCGTCAGGGTCTGGAACAAACCCACGACCTTTTCTGTAGTCTGTCTCTGCTTCTCTCTCATGGGGTGCCACGGTGGTGAGATGTTAACTACCTCACTGGGCATACAGGAGGTTGTGGGTTTGATCCCGAACCTGACGCCAGTATATTTGGAGTTTGCATGTCTCTCTCCCCGTGGTCGTGTGGATTTTTCTCCGGGTCCTCCGTTTTTTCCCTTCACATTTAGAAACGTGCGTTTGGAGTATGTGTCTGCTATAAAGTTCCATTTGATAAGCCACATCATTGAGCTTCTGAAAAAGAGCTACACAGCTCAGTGAGGCCTTTACCTGCTAAAATAAAAATAGTATAGTTTTAGTATCTCTCGGCTTCTGCTCTAACAGAGTTAGTTTCATCAGCCATTCCCGTGACGCGTGCTGCCCAATTCGGCTTGATTTTGCTTTAATGTCAACGTTGCTGTTACCCCTGTTCTTTTCTTTATCTCTTCAAATCCTTAGTCGATCTCTTTCAACTTAATCCTCAAACGCCTCTTCCTGTCGAGTTGTGTTAGACCGTGAAGCGGAGCCTCGCGAGAAAACGTTTTTTTTTTTTACGGAGCCATCTTATATAACGTACAAGAAAATAAGTCGAAGACTTTTGTTTTTAAAGAATGTGCGAGCTGCCCGTGAGGGTGCTTGACTCATACATGTTTAAAGCACGAGTGCACCACTCGGCCGAGTTGTACTTATTCCGGTCATTCATTGCTTGAGAGATGGCTACAGCTTGGGGAGCCCTTCATCCAGCAGTGGATTGATCATGGCTGAGGGTGATGACAATCATCTTTCACTGTGGTTATCGTGATTCTTTATGAGCATCGTCGCCACTACCATTGTCACAGTGGGAATTTTCATCACCACATTTATCATCATGACCACCACTGGTCATCAACTCACTTCCATCGTCACCACTGCTGTCATTGTCGTCGTCGTCGTCACTGTTGTCTTCATCCTCATCGCCATTGTCAACAGATTCACCATGTAACTGCTATCATCTTAATTGCTCTTTGATCATTCGCTATCTTGCATCATGGTTACAATTACAAACTTCATTACCGTCATCGTCGTTACCGTCGATTTCATCATTGCGATTTTTTGCTGTCATATTCACCATCGTCACCACAGTAAATCACGATGACATGCGATAACAGTGGCACACTACGTGTTTACCCGTCTTATTACGAAAAAAGAGAAGGCGGCACGGCAAAAAAAGCGTACTCCACCTGTTCCACCTGTACTGGATAAAGTGTTGCATCCTTACATTCATGGGGTTTTCTCTGGGTGCTCAAGTTCCCTCCCACATGTGAACGCTCGTTAATTGGCCGATAACGCCTTCATATGCAGAGGACCGCGGAGGACTTTGGTGCCGGCTCACCGCATGGCCGCGCCTCTGTGTTGTTCTCTCTCTTCAAGAGCGAGCGAATGACGTGTGGCGGTAGTGGCGGCGGCAGCGACGAGTTACAAGTTGGGATTTTTCACGATGAGCAGCAGTCCTTGTCTCTCTTCTCTTCACGCTTTGTTGTCGCTCCTGGGAGAGACGCGGTAAAACGACTCATAATTATCTCCCTGTTACAGTTCTCTCCGTTTATTTTTTTTGACAATAAAGTTACCAAAAAAATTATAATCACATATTCTAAAAATAATTTGCTTATTTATGCAGGAGAGCCACGCTTGAGTCGTAGGAATCTTTTTCAGGAGGGTCCTTGCATTGGTGTTTTTATTTTATTTTAAGATGTTGTCGTTCAATTAATAATGAGTGTGTTCATACAAGTAGGAGGAAACCGGAGCACCCAGAGAAAACCCACACGCGCGAGGGAGGCAACACTCCATCCCCGTACGGATGGAAACAGACGGTGATGAGTCCACTTGTTGTACTGCCTTCTCTTGGCGAGCCCGGGTACTCCGCCTCCTCGACGGCCCCACGGGAAGGGAGTTTCACACCTGTGCGGCGATCCACCAATCCTCGCCACCTCCACAGTGCCGGATCACAGGCAGCCACGTGCAGTGTAGCCACCGCCGCCCAAACAGCCTCTGGCTGGGTTGCGCTGTGGGTTAGAGTGTTCCACTCGTGATCGCGAGGTGGAAACTAAGATTTGGGGTTTTTCCGCAGCCTTGATTGAACTAATATTTCAATTCATATTTCTGCTGCCCTTTGTTGTTTGCCCTCGTGGTCTATGGGGATCTGGCGGACGGAGGATGAATAAGTTGGCAAGTTGAAATCCTAGCTGGGCGTCAATTCATTCAAATGCTACAAATTATGTGCCTCTGATGCACTGGCAGCGGCGCACAAGCTCAATTAAAAACATCTCAACACAATAATCAATAATATCGTTTGGCCTTAAAAGGAAAACATATAATAGGCAATTCTTGCAGGCAATGAACATTCTTCACAGCACATTTATGTACTCTCAGGATTAATGATTATATATTTTAATTTAAGGCCGTGTTATTGACGAATTTTTGGAGTTGTATTTCTTATTCTTATGCTGGTCAGGGGAGGGGGGAGGGGTATACTCAGCCCTCTGTCTCTCAGGGAGTCGATGAGCTGTGTGAGTTGAACTGGGGTGAAACGCCGGACATCCTGCCGAACAACAAAAACGTGATGCAACACGAAAACGCATTCAAGATCGAGATGTCACCGTGGCCAAAGCCGTTGACGCCAGCATCACACCCCGCTATTCCAACGCGTTCTACCCTCCGCCAGAAATCCCGCAGCTGCTGCGCAGTCGTAGACACGTGGCGACCTCCACGACTTCCCACCACCTTCTCCCACCACCTGCTCTTAGGTCTTCCTCTTGGTCACCATATTGGTCTCTTGCCTCATTCACGGGTGCCACGGTGGCGAGATGTTAACTACCTCACCTGGAATAGAATAGGTCGTGGGTTTGATCCCGACCCTGACGCCTGTATATTTGGAGTCTGCGTGTTCTCCCCGTGGTCGCGTGGATTTTTCTCCAGGTCCTCCGGTTTTTCCCTCCACACTTAGAATCAACATGCGTTTAGAGTATTTAGGTGTTATACACTTCCATGTGATAAGCCACTTCGTTAAGCTATCATTTGTGGCCAGGTCACTTCTGAAAATACAGTAGTTATACAGCTCAGTGGGCCTTACCTGATAAAAATACAAATATTTTAAAGCTAGAGTAGGAGTATCATCCGCCGCGTTATAGATCTTTTCAGCAGGAATAATTTGTTATGTTCTAGTTCATGGGCATCTTGCAACGATAAATAAGTTATCGTTCTCTTCTGGGCTTGGCATTGGTTGTCCTGGCTTGCTGAGAATTTTTCCTAGAGTCTGTCTCTAACACTTGTAGTCAGGCGCCAGCAACTTATTTTTTTGTTAGCGTCCACCTCTGCGTTTCATACAGTAATACAGAGAATCAGAATCTTTATTTAGACTAGGTAGAATCCGATGAGCTATGAAGCTCTTTTTCAGAGATGTCCAGTAGGGGCGGGTCAGAAAGTTACAACAACAAAGAATACAAAAACCGATGGGAATGCAAAGTATGGGAAAGCTAAGAAAATATAATCCAGCAGTGGAACTGTTGAACTAGCGAGAGAGCAGCTACAACAAGGCTTGTTGTACCCTGAGGACGACCGCTTGTGTTGCGATCGAAACGTCATGATTTATATTATTTTATACCTACTGTACGTGACTTTACCGAAAGAACCAAAGAGCATGGATTCCTGCAGTCACGAAAGCTCCAAATCAAGAAAGCTTAGAAAGTCACGAAACATAAGTAAAGATAATTCAAGTATGTAAGCATCAAATTGCATGAAAGCGCACAGTCTGAAATACCCTCTGCTGTGCACTCGAACTCATCTCTCCGCTTTTCCAACGACGTCGACCGCTGTCGTACCGAGGGCCTTTGCCAGTTGCTCGCGTTGCCTTTCGCCTTTGGGTGCAGCGCCTCTGCTGGAGCAGCTGGTGGCTCTCTTGCGCTACCCGGACGAGGCGGTGCAGGTGGCGGCGTTCTACGCGTGCCGCGGCGCGTGCGGTGGCGGCACAGGCGGTGTGACGCTGGAGGAGCGGTTTCCCGCGCGCCTCCTCCGCACGATGTGCGCCGCCACGCTCGCCACGCTGGGCGGTGCGCCGGGAACGGAGCTGCAGTTCAACGCCCTCGGTGGGTGGCGATGACGGTGGTAGTTGTGATGATGTGAGTGATGGTGACGGCGATGATGTAGTGGAGGAGTTAATAATGATCACGATGGTGATGACGACGATGTGATGGGGGAGTGGATGATGATGTGGTGGGGCGGGGGGGGGGGGGTTAATGATAATGATAATTGATGATGTCGTTGGTGATGATGACGATCATCGTTGCACTGGAAGGTCATGGTGATCATGAGGCTTGTACCCATTCACCCCTTCCTCCAGCAGTGATTTGATTAATTGTCTTGCTTCAGGGTCACAAGTGCTAAAAATTAAAATAAATATTTACTTTAACCACTTATTTCGTTTGCACGTCACCACAATTATGACTAGGAATGTGATGATTAAAATCTTCTCTCTAGGTCATGGCGCATGCGTTGAAGACTGGCTTGTGAGAGTTGGTTATTTTCTGCCCTTGCAGATCATATGCAAACGTATGTGAATTATGCATTCGCTATGAACCGGGCTATCCGAGTTCGTTTCTTGGACGTGGTCACCATCAGTCGCCAGTTATATCTGTGCCCCCACCCCCTGCCTTCACAAACACGCACTGACTAGCGTGGTGAAGTATGGTCAAACAACTCCCATGATGGATGCGGCATGGAAAGGCCACTGCATGCAGTTATTATCTAGAAAGGAAAAGGTACTAAACGGGTTGAGATGTCGCTTGTTCCGCTGGAATCGAACTTGGGTCGCTGGGTTCATAACGCAGTGAGCCAACCACTGCGCCACCACTCCAACGAGAGTATCGTACACATAGTAAGTTTGTTTCGGTGCTGCAAAGTGAATTTTTGTTTTTTAAAGTCAGTGCGCGAGTGTTTTTGTTTTGCACACGTGATGAGAATTGCCACTGTGAATAACAGATTGATGACCCGAGGGCAGACAGGAGGATGGTGACCTCCACGTGGGGAGTGGGCGTCTGTGCCAGCCCGTGCACGCAGACTCGCTTGGGTGTGTGCCTGCGAGAGTGTGTCCGTGCGTATGAGAGTGTATCCGTGTGTGTAAGAGTGTGTGCGTGTGTGCGAGCGAGAGTGTGTCCGTGTACGTAACAGTGTGTTCGTGCGTGCAAGGGTGTCCGTGTGTGTGAGAGCGTGTGCGTGTGTGTAAGAGTGTGTCCGTGTTTGTGTGCGAGAGTGTATCCGTGTGTGTGAGAGTGTGTGCGTGCGAATGTGTGTCTGTATGGCTATTATCAGGGAATCAGAAGTTGTTTTGTGTATATTTGCGTGTGCCTTTGGATGTGGGGGATCGGTGGCACAGTTGTTATTACACTGCACTACGAACTCCGGCCACGGCTAACATCGGTGGCGAGTGTGCACGTGTATGTGTGTGCACGCAACACGCGAAAGTGTGTGTGTTCATGTGCACGCGTGAAGCGTGCACGTGCTCGTGTGCGCACGTGAGAATGTGCCTGCGCACGCGTGTGAGAGCGTGCACTCCTTTGACCCCCCCTACCCTGCCCGTGCCGTGCAGGTCTGCTCAGGCAACTCCTGCGCGTCGCGCCACTGGTGTCCGAACTGATGCGACCGCTGCCAGACCTGGCCAGGGAACCCTCGCTTGCGCACGCCGCTAACGGTGACCCGAACTGTTGTTAATGTTTTGTTGTTTGTGCAGTGATCTATCCACTGCTTGATGAAGGACTCCCCGAGCCATCTTTGTCCTGTCTGTCACCGTCCCGTGATGTCAGCGTCAGCGAAAACCCTCTCTGGCTCCTGGACGCAACGCTGATCTCGTCGCCCCGTCTCCGCGGGCGTGTTCCCTCCTTTTGGCTGCCACTCGCTCATTCGTCTTGACCACCGGCCATTGTCCCCGTCAGCGACGTGTCCTGCCAGAGCACGCCTACCGTTATCTGTATTCTCGTAACGCACGCGCTCTCTTGCACGCGCGCATTCTTCCGATCGCGCATCCCACGTGACGTGCGTGTGTCTCGTGCGTGCATTAACTTGCGCCCAACGTTTTTGCTGACGAGGTTTTGCTTGCCTTTGCTTTCGCAGACGAAGCTTCTCTGCCGCTCATTCTCAAAAAAGTAAGTGGGAAGCGCTATTCACAACAAGTGAGGTTTTAGAGAAAATATATATCGGCGGATGAGTGAATGGTTATTCGGAACTCTTAGGGGAGAAGTTTATGAATTGTGCCTAAGCATGTCCAGGCGTCTTTGTGTCACCGCACGAGTGCGTACGTCCGCACCTCTGTGCGCGTATGGGTGGAGAGTGGCGGCGCGGTAGTTAGCGCAGTGCGCGACGAACCCGGCGACGTGGGTTCGATTGTTGGTGGCGAATATCTGAACTGGGCCTCTGTCTTGCCTAGGTCGACTCGGCCTTAAAGTGAGTACCCAGTGCGGTGTGTTAACGCCAGCACTGGGGGAGATCAAGGCGGTAAAGCACGGTGCTGGTCACACCACCCTTGTATGCCTGCCTGAAGAGGTGCTCGCTAAAAACACTTGCCCCACGAGTGTATGAAGACTATATAGGGGATCTTTGCCTTTGTTGTGTATGTGTGTGTGTTTATTTGTGCGTGGCTGTTTGCGTAACATTGTGTATGTGTAAGGCGATGCGAGGATCTTTGTGCATACATGCGTGCATTAATAGTCTGGACATCTGTGAAAAAGAGCTTTATAGCTCATGGAATTTCCTCCAGTGCAAATAAATATTCTGATTATAATATGTAAATACGCGAAAATGTATGCATTGCTTGCATGCGTCGCACACACACAGACGCACCACGTAAACGCACGCACACCTGTGCATACGCGTGTACGCATCTTGTGAATTCACGAGTACACGTGCGTGCGTGCAGCTGCTGCACTCCGGGGATGACACCCTTCGCGTGGCGAGCGTGCAGTGCATGTGCTGCGTGCTCGCCCAGCGCCCCGAGTCGTGCGTCGCCGCGTTCCTGCACGCGGACCTGCCAGGTCAGGCCGGAGAGAGACTCCCACCACCCCATTCACAGGCCGTGCCACGGTTTCGACACACGCCTCGAGAAATCTCACCCAGGCCGTGCCGGTTTTCGTTCCACCGGTCGATCCTTGGCGCGGCTTTTTTCGTGACTCCCCGAATGCGCAGCCAGCTCCGTTCCCAACCCTTCCCTTTCACAGCGAGTTGGGAAACAAAAGAATAGCAATTAAAATTAATTGCAGCTTGCGGCACGGCCACCGCCGCCGCAAAAGCATTCGCTTGCTCTCGAAGAAAGGGAACGATGCGGAAATGCGAGGAACCCCACACGACCTGTCGCCAACAATTGCCCAAGCTGAGTGTTGGCATAAGGGAGGAAACTGGAGCACCCGGCGAAATTTCATGCGTGCGAGGGGGCAACACTCTATGCCATACAGACAAAATGGGTGGAGTCCACGTGTTTGCTGTACCGCATACTCCTGGAAAGCCGGGTCACGGCACTAGTTCTGTGCCTACGGGAAGGGAGTTTCACAATGTGTGTGTGCGATGGATCACCAACCCTCACTGCCTCCACTGTGGTGGATTACAGACTACGTGCAGCTTATCCCACCATAGCTCGGCCCTTGGATCGTAATTCGAACAATGACACCCACCCTCACACCTCCCCGCCCTGTTTGGCTCCCTCTTGTCACAGAGTTCCTGTTCGAGGCGCTGTCGTCCACAAACGAGCTGCTCGTGTGGTCCATCTACTGCTGCCTCACTCACTTCATCCAGCATGAGCTCTTCTATTCCAAGTGCCAGAGCGCCTACGGTAAAAACAACCACCCCTTGTCACAACCCCCCCATCCCCCCCCTACATCTTGGCAATTGGGTGGTCACGTGACCCACCACCAGCGCGTTCACTGCTTGTTGCAGAGGTTCACGGTTCGAATCGAGCGGCCGCCCTCATTAATACTGCGGGTGTAATAACCGTAATGAACGTAGTAGTAATAATAATACTACACGGCGCGTATGCTTCAGAGTGGACGATAAAGATCCCCCGAAGTGATCTGCAGGAGCAGGCCATTGTGTTCCCTGGTTGGGGTCCACGTTTAGCCGAATTTATAAATTACACCGCACATTACTTAATTGGGATTCTACTTAGCAATCGTCGCCTCTTACTGGCAAGGTAATGGCACTGGTTATTTTTTTGTAAATCAGACTATCGTGGTCTCCTGAGTTCTCACTGGTTAAACAATATATGCACTTGAAGCTTGAGCCCCGTGTCCTGTGTAAGACCGATTTGGAATTCAGAGGCAGCTCATAGTGATGTCTGGGAAAGGCGTGCGTGTTCAAGTTAAAAAAAGTCAGTTGGCGAAGATGTTGCTCAGATGGAGGTGTGTCATTCATTCTGCTCCTGTATGAGGGCCTTTCCACACCAAGCGGGTCGTGGGGGTTCTTTGTCCATATTCCATGTGCGGGTTGGTCAATGCCGGGGAGCACAGACGTGGGAGTATAGTACATTACAACAGTGGAATTTTCAGCACTGCTTTCTACTGCCGACCACGTAGGCCTGCAGCCTATGATGTCTGTTATACACGGCGGTCAGCCATCCAAGCACTATCCAGGTGCCATCCGGCTAAGCTTTCGAGGTCAGATCTGATGCGGTGCATTGCGGGTCATTTGGTCTCACCCTTTTCGATTCAGGCCACGCATACTACTTTGTGGGGAAGTAAAGAGTGGTTGTCGTACGCAAAGACTCGGCCCTGCCATGGAAACGCGGAGTTTTCCACCACAAGCTCAGGAACTGGGAACAGGAGACGAGCACCTTCTTGATGCTCGTTTGACGCAGGAATTATGGGATAAATGACAAAAACTCATAAACATCCAGTGTGGGCGGGGGCGGGTTGAGGGGCATCATCGGTTACGATACAGTTTGGCAACTCTGGCACCCGTTTTTTTTTTGCATTCCTTCCCTCCCGGACCATGGAGTGACGCCGTGCCGGCCGCGCTTGCGACGTGTGCCCCCTGCCGCCCCCACCAACTCCCCCCTCCCCCCTCCCCGCGCGAGCAGGGATCGAACCCGTCCTGCGGAGCCTGCAATTCCTGCTCAAGCTCGTGAACGTGGAGGCCCAGAAGCAGGGCTTCTCCCTGCTCGCCGAGATGCTGCAGAGGCAACCGGCGAGCATCAAGCTCTTCCCGAGCTGGAGCACGTACTGCCTGTGTCTGTCGGTGGTGCGCGACGGCGTCACGGCCGCCGACAGGGACGTGTGCTCTGTGGCCGCCTGCGCCCTCGCCTCCTTCCTCAGGTCAGCGTCGTCATTGTTCGTCGGGGAGGCCTTTGTCCAGCGGTGGATCGATCAGCTGCTGGATAAAGGACTTCCGCCGCCCCGTCCCCCGAATCCTCCGCCGAATTCTCTCGCTATTACTGCGAACGTCGCAATCCCTGAGACGCCCGGCCCGGCAGCTCGGTCCCGAGTGAAACACGCGCGGGTCATGACAGTGTGAGCTGTCGCGCGTCGTCGTGATCAGCTGTGATGTATCCACTGCTGGATGAATGCCCGCACCGTGCCATCACCGTCAGTCATGGTCTCACGGCGTAGAGGGTCCACCCGCCACCTGACCAGATTTCAACGCTCCCGTCTTCACGGTCGATGTACTCTCGGGCACGTTTCCCCAACCCTTTACCCAAAGCAACCCCTTGCCCTTGACCGCACAACACCTGCGATTACAACAGCATTACACACACACACACACACGGCATCATTACAACCACAACACAGCCACAGTAATCGACATGGAGGCAATCTTCTCACCACCTGCGTACAAGATGATTCACTGCTCCGTGTGTGTGCAGCGGTTGCCCTCTTGCGCGTGTCTCTTACCTTGGCTGCTTCTCTACCCTTCGCTTGTGTTCTCTTAAATACATTGAATTTGACTATTTTTTGTATTTTCCGAATCACAGTTTTTTTTAAGTTTGTTGTTTCACCATGCGATAGCTCAAGAGACCAGGATAAGTCTAATTTGCAAAGCAAAGCAATTGAGACTTGACCTGGGGCATTAGTCTGCCAATTGTTGTAATTTGCGCATAGGCGTCACGTTGTCAGGAGCTACGTTTCCGGACTCGATGTTCGACACCACCCCCACGTTAGGGCAGGGCCCGTGGAAGGTGACATCACAAAGAGTACTTCTGAGGTCGCTTCAATCACCTGTATACCCCGCACGAGGTGGTGCGGCGCCTTCTCATGCGCTCGGATGTCCAGGTGTTCGTCGCCCGTCAATCAAAGCGAAAGTGTATTTGTTCCTCGGAGGCAGCGCAATTTAGTTTGCTTGGTTCAGTCTTTGGTGACTGCACCAAGACCATCAAGCTCGCTGCCCTTGAGAAGCCGGATTAATCACGGTTGGTTGCCCAGATCTGAACTCAGGATCACAGTGGTGCCGGCTCAGTGCTCTGACGTGGCATCAGCCCCCTATGCCACATGGCCAGCTCACGCTAAAGCAGCTTTGACGCCGTTCCTCTCTCTTAGGCGAAACGCAATCATTGGTAGTAAAGACACATGCGTGTCTTGGTAGTTGAGTGGTTAGTTGAGCGGGATGACACCACTGAGACGTTGGGTTCAAATCCAGGCGTCCGTGAATAAATTATGTTCTCAAATTCTAGATTTGAAGCATTCGTGACTGCAAGGATTCATACTCTTTGGTTTTTTCGGTAAAGTCACGAAGGTAAAATAAAATAAATGAAAACAACCAAAGAGTATGTTCTCAAAGTTGATGGACTCATCCTGATCACGTATGGACGCACAAAATGAGGCGTTTTATTTTCATTTAGCGTCGCAAAAATTACAGCTCTGAGAATCGAAAACTTAAATCACAGCTTGACTGCCGCACGATGAGCATTCGTCCCTCGGCTTAGTTTGCGTTGGAAAATACAGCACCCCTGAGGCCGATAGCTAAAATTGATCACTAGAAGGGTACTCAGAATGAGTTCTTTGATATCTTCTGTGAAGGGAGATATCTTCTATGAAGAAGATATGAAGATATCTCTCTTCAATGAAGATATCTATCTGTGAAGATAAATCTCGAACAAAGATGGTGATGCTCTGCTCCAATTCCGGACGGACGCTGGGGCAAAAGCACATCATTCCGATTGCGCAATTGGAATAACATTCGGTGAATTCGGTTGAAAGTGAAAACAAATTAGCGTGCACTTGAAATTTAAAACCAGTAAACAAAAAAACAATCCAGTGCTCCCTTGTCGATATTGACGCTGACCCCTGGAGGTGCCCGTCGCCCCGGGACGCCGGATCGTAGAGGACGGTCACGTGGCTGCCGCGATGGTTGTCCTTCTCTAATGGGATCCTCCGGCGGCAGTCTGCGCGAGCACGACCGCGATCGCTGGCGGAAACGGAACGCGGCGGCGGTTCGCCCGTTATTCCCTCTCGCAGGGCGGCGTGGAGCGGCACACGCCGCCGTCTTTGGGATGCCGGAGGTCGCGAGATTTTTCGGGACCTCACCCCAAAGGTGGCGTGATTTTTGTTTTGCTTCGGCAGGGCGTTTCGGCGTCGGCACCGTGACATTTTAAACGGTTCGCGGGCCATTAGGCCTACTAAATTAAACTAACGTTAAGGAAAGAAAGCAAAGAAAAAAATAGAACGTCAGATTGTGGTGCCGTGCGGCGTTGGTTGCCGAGGCTCACCCGGGGTCTGGGGGTCGAGGTGGGGGGTCGTTGCACCCTTCACAACTTTACTTGTAGACAGGCCTTGCATATCACAGACCATTTCTGAGATTTTTTAATAAATATCCGACAGGGAGATGGAGCAACGAAATCACGCCGTGTGCTTGTGGATTCTTTCACATCGCAGCAACGTGAGAGAGAGCGGTGGCTTGGGGTGACCTTCATCCAGCAGTGGATCGGTCATGGCCGGTGATAATGATGCATAATATACGGTTATTTGTCAATGTACTGCTGGATAAAAGGCCTCCGCCCGTGTCAGTCATGTTTTTTTTTTATTATACTTCACCACGCTGGTCAGTGGGGGCTGGTGAAGGAGGAGGTTGCCCAACACCGTTTTAGATATTGCTCGGCACCGCCGTGAACCATCGCCGTAAATCGAACTTAGGTTTTCAGATTTAATATCGTGCAGCGCACTACCAATTCACCGCTGTCTAGGGGCGAATTAATATTTTCTCCGTGTGCGCCACTGTTCGGTTGTAAAGTTTGCCTGTGCCGCTCGTGTTCCATGCGTCGGGCTGTCTGCGGTCAGGACCTGCCACTTGGTGGCACCGGTGCCCTACACGGAGCTGAAGGAGCTGATGGATGCCCTCCTGCAGATGCTGCGGGAGATCTCTCCTCCTTCGAGCCACCGCATGTCCGCTGCACACAGCGTGGTACGCATCACACCGACGCCTTAATGAATTTAGCGTTACTTGTGAATTATTAGTGTGGTGCCGCGATCTTGGTTTTTTGGTGGGGGGGGCGCGCGTGAGGTGGCGCCCTCCTGCATCGAGATTTGTGAAAGACACAAAAAACGTGCATGCCAGCGTGCCGTTTTTAAAACTCCCGTTGACCGCAAACCCATTTCCAAAACCAATCATACAGAAAAACTGCGCAAATTTCCACTTTGAATCTCTCTGTTTGCAGTTTTAGAGCGTCAGTCCCTGTGATATGCGTGACTGGATCATTTAGCCGGGTGCTCGGGTTTCCTCCCGCACGACACCAAAACACTCGATGAGATGAAATTGGTTGAACAGCATCGCAACACAGCCAGGACCCTCTTGAAGAGGACTCTTGAGACTCGGCGAGGCTTTTCTGGAAAAACCAAAGCCGTCAATAAAAGGTGAAACTCAAGCGAGAGGGGGGGTCTTGTGTTGGTGTTTATATATATACAATTTTTTTGGGTTTTCCGCCACTATATTGATTCCCACGGCGCACGCGACAAGCCGCTAAATTACCCCGGCGTGGTCTGGGGCTGGAAGTAATGGTGAGCCGCAAGGCTCACGCGGCGTACTGAATGGGCCGCGGGTAACAACACGGGCACCCACGTCCCCACGGTCACACTCCCCGGCAACAGTTTTATTAAAAGCGGTAAAAGGCAAAGGTTCAGCCCCGCAATTGCCTGCTGGCTGGCGCCACTGCCTGCAAAAGAGCCTCTGCTTAGGAGGATATCTTGGCCTTCCCTTCCACATTGGCCACACGTATTGGGAGAGGCGGGAGTACCCGTAGCGTGGGGGAACCACTAGGCAGAGGCAGCAGTGACCTTGTGATCAACAGCTAACGTCTGTCTTGCGAGAACTGCACCATTCTTGGGTGTCTCCTGCTTTGTGTGCAAACAAACAGTATACTGAATGTGCTGTCTGTCTGTCTGTTTTGTTTTCACCCCGTTCAGCGCTCCGAGGGCGAGACAAAGCTGTCCGTACCGGAGCTGTGCATTATCCAAGGGCTGCAGGCCTTCTGCAGCGCGTGCAGGTAATGAGCGCGACACGTGACCTTGTGATGCGCCCCTGCTTCTCTCGCATCACACGTCCCTCGTAAGAACGGAGTGGCAGTGAGGGTAGCCTCGCCGCCGGGTCCGGGCTTTGTCTGGACGGTCCGGTAGTTGGTGGGCGGAGCGGTGGCTCAGCGGTTGGCGCGCCGCTCAATGAACTCGGCGACCCGAGTTCGATTCTCGTCCACGGTTTTAAGGTGAGCGGCGAGTGATATCAGAACCGGTCTTTCCCTCGCCTGCCATCACCATCGTGGCTGACGCGTGTGGTCAGGGTGTGCTCCAAAAACCCTCCGCGGCCGACGCGGCGTGGGGGAGGCCTTCATACATTGCTGGATTGAGAATGGCTGGAATGTTTCATTTTGAATCCACTCGGTGAGCTTTGCTGCTTCGGTAGCGATGCAGACAGCGCAGTGGCGGTGTCGCAATTGGGGCTGTGGCCAATTGCCTGTCCAGGTTATTGTCAGCCTCTTGGTCTTTGGGCTGTCAATCACGGCCACTCGCTCATCCCTCCCAACCGCACCCCCCTAATAGTTGCCCCATTGCTCCACCCCACCCCAACCCAACTAATTTATTTTAATTTGCAGTGTCCCGGGTCTGGCAGACCAAAGCGTGGCAATCATAAGGGAGGGGTTTTTATTTCTTGCTCTTCGTTTGCTTTTTATGCTTTGTTTTTAATTTCCCCCGGCCTCTCGAGAGCCGACCGAGTCTCCTGCCTCCCGCGACGCTTTTAGACAATCGGCCATGGAGTAGACGTCGGCATGCGCACACGCGCGTATGTGTGTGGAATTTGCACGTATGTACACATGCGCGCACACACCCGCACAAATGCATTAAAGCACCTGTGAACACTCGCGCACACCAAACTCATGCACACGCGCACTTTCACACCCACACACACACGCTCATACACCCGCACGCACACACGCACTCTCCCACGTTAAAAGACAAAGATCCCCCGTATAGCCTTAACACACATTTGGGGCAGGTGCTGTAAGTGTGAACCTATGACGGCTGGCACCACGCATGATGGGGTGGGTGGCCAGCACGATGCCCAGCCGCCTTTGTTTCCCCAGTGGCGATGTTTACACATTTCACCAGGTACTCATTTGAGGCTGAGTCGACCTAGGGTAGGCCCAGGACCGGATCGTCACTGGTGTTGGCTGTGAGCGGGAATCGAACGCGGGTCGCCGGATTCGTAGCGCAGCGCACCTAACCGCTGCCCTACCACTCCTGCACAACACATACGTGCACATTCGCACGCGCCGGCGAGAGAGAGAGAGCAGTTGGCGAAGCCGTGTGGCGGCCGAATCCATCAGCGCCATGCCGGCGGGCCCTTGGCGCGGTCCCCCGGGGGAGGATGGGACTTCTCTCCGCGGCCAATTGGGACGGCCTCCAAGTCGACCCCCCCGGCGCTCCCCTTGGCCTGGCGCCGGCGCCGCCAACGCCCTCTGTTGCCGCCAGCGCCTCCGCTGCCGTGATTGAATTCTTGTCAACGCCGCCGCGACTGCTACGATCCACGCTCGCGCCTCCCTCTGCTCATCACAGCACCGTTGGATAACAACTCTCCCTAGTTCTCTACAAAGATAACCGTCTGTCCCTCAACAGTTATAAACTAGTAAAGTTGCGGCTCTGCTATTGCAAGCCCACGACATTGCCGGCGGAAGGGGCCTCCACTCGAGCGGACACGAGAGGGTTACTTGGCCTACTCTTCCACGTCGACCAGCCTCGTTGGAAGAGATGGGCGTATCCACACTTTGCTCCACCGCACGTGGCCTGCCGATTGACTGGCTGGTGTAGCCATTCATGCTGGGTGGACAAATGATCGTGCTGAAGATCGAATTGAACTGTCAACCTTTGTATTGCAAGTTAACTTTGCCCACTATAACACCATGGCGGCATTCTTATATACCGTACAGTGAGGGAAAAAGTATTTGATCCCCTGCTGATTTTGTACGTTTGCCCACTGACGAAGAAATGATCAGTCTATAATTTTAATGTTAGGTTTGTTTGAACAGTAAGAGACAGAATAACAACAACAAAAATCCAGAAAAACGCATGTCAAAAATGTTATAAATTGATTTGCATTTTAATCAGGGAAACAAGTATTTGACACCCTCTCTATCAGAAAGATTTCTGGCTCCCAGGTGTCTTTTATACAGGTAACGAGCTGAGATTAGGAGCACACTCTTAAAGGGAGTGCTCCTAATCACCTGTCCACAGAAGCAATCAATCAGATTCCAAACTCTCCACCATGGCCAAGACCAAAGAGATCTCCAAGGATGTCAGGGACAAGATTGTAGACCTACACAAGGCTGGAATGGGCTACAAGACCATTGCCAAGCAGCTTGGTGAGAAGGTGACAACAGTTGGTGCGATTATTCGCAAATGGAAGAAACACAAAAGAACTGTCAATCTCCCTCGGCCTGGGGCTCCATGCAAGATCTCACCTCGTGGAGTTGCAATGATCATGAAAACGGTGAGGAATCAGCCCAGAACTACACGGGAGGATCTTGTCGATGATCTCAAGGCAGCTGGGACCATAGTCACCAAGAAAACAATTGGTAACACACTACGCCGTGAAGGACTGAAATCCTGCAGCGCCCGCAAGGTCCCCCTGCTCAAGAAAGCACATATACATGCCCGTCTGAAGTTTGCCAATGAACATCTGAATGATTCAGAGGACAACTGGGTAAAAGTGATGTGGTCAGATGAGACCAAAATGGAGCTCTTTGGCATCAACTCAACTCGCTGTGTTTGGAGGAGGAGGAATGCTGCCTATGACCCCAAGAACACCATCCCCACCGTCAAACATGGAGGTGGAAACATTATGCTTTGGGGCTGTTTTTCTGCTAAGGGGACAGAACAACTTCACCGCATCAAAGGGACGATGGACGGGGCCATGTACCATCAAATCTTGGGTGAGAACCTCCTTCCCTCAGCCAGGACATTGAAAATGGGTCATGGATGGGTATTCCAGCATGACAATGACCCAAAACACACGGCCAAGGCAACAAAGGAGTGGCTCAAGAAGAAGCACATTAAGGTCCTGGAGTGGCCTCGCCAGTCTCCAGACCTTAATCCCATATAAAATCTGTGGAGGGAGCTGAAGGTTCGAGTTGCCAAACGTCCGGATCGAAACCTTAATGACTTGGAGAAGATCTGCAAAGAGGAGTGGGACAAAATCCCTCCTGAGATGTGTGCAAACCTGGTCGCCAACTACAAGAAACGTCTGACCTCTGTGATTTCCAACAAGGGTTTTGCCACCAAGTACTAAGTCATGTTTTCCAGAGGGGTCAAATACTTTTTTCTCTCATTAAAATGCAAATAAATTTATAACATTTTTTACATGCGTTTTTCTGGATTGTTTTGTTGTTATTCTGTCTCTCACTGTTCAAATAAACCTACCATTAAAATTATGGACTGATCATTTCTTTGTCAGTGGGCAAACGTACAAAATCAGCAGGGGATCAAATACTTTTTTCCTTCACTGTATGTGCAGTGGCAGTGCTCATTCATTTGAGGGGCCATAAGCAGAAACATTTTTTGGGAGCCCCTTCCCCCACTCTTTCAATTCATAAAATCTTAGTGAGATGACAGAAGGGTTATATAGGTAAGAGAGAGAGATGAAGTGACATCAGGTATTGAGACAAAAGATAGAGATGTAGAGAGATGAGAGAAGGGAGATGCAGACGCGGTGCGGGTGAGATAGATTAATTGGCATCCATGTTAATTAGCTTGTAACATTTATTAGGATTTCAATTTGGGTTCATAATTGATGCCCTCCTATTTTATGTTTGAATCCGGGGGGGCCCCTTCAGCTACTTTGGTTCCCGAAGCTTTTGCATGGTTAGTTTATGTCTCATGCGGCCACTGTATGTACGTATATATTGGAATTTTATTTGCTTATCTGCTTTAGCGCACTTTCCTCTAAACCCCCATCGTTGTTTGTTGGCTTTGCTCCGCGGTTAGATTTTGGCGTGCTCCTACCCAGATGGCCGGATAGCCGCTCCTCTTCCTGCGCCACTTGGGCCTGTCCACGGCATCGGCATAAGTCAGGGCCCCCGCGCTCTCTGGCCTAAAAAAAACCCCTCCCTCCGAATTAGGAGCGCGACCAAAAAATTCAGATGTGCGGCATAGCAAGCAAAAAAAAAATCCCCATTTAATGTTTCATAATTGCAGGGCTTTTATTTTTTAAGTGCTGCTTTTGTCCTGATGCCTGATCTCAGTCATTTGTTCAATTAGCTGCGTCGGCCGCATCCAGCGGGAATAAAACAAGGGGTTGCTTAATTATGTGAATTAAAACGGAATTGAAATCTCAGCTCGGTGCCGGCGTGCGCATTACGCGGCGTACACACCGCCACCGCCGCCCCCGCTGCTGCTGCTGCTGCTGCTGCCGCTAACCTCTGACAGTCATTTTCAGTCCGCTGCTGGATGACGGATGACTCCGGACGCTCCCCCTGGAGTCGTGTTGTTGGGCACATTCCATCCGATTTTGTGGCACCGTCTTCTTCTCTCGCTTCCGGGAGGCCGCCGGGTCGATAGATCACGAGCAGTGCTCCCGCCGTCTGTTAAGACGAGCTGACGGTGCTGCGTCCGTTGTCAGCCTTCGTCTTTATGATTCCTCAGCGGTGATTTTTGGAAAAGGACAGGAAAGATATGTGGGCAGGGGTAGAAGGATTGAACATGGTTGAAGGAAAGGAAGAGGAGAGGGAAGGGAAAGGGGTTCACTTAATGGGGCGGGGAGGGAATGGTGAATCCGAACGTGAGTGAGTCGACAAGGGGGACCGTGGTTTCGCGATCCCTGCGGCGATCGGTGCCGCTCGAGTCTGCGAGTGTTTCTCAGCGGCGAGAGGCGACAGACGTCTCGGGGCTGCGGTGCCGCCACGCGTGTCTGTGACTCATCTCTCCGAGTTTTCCCATGCATGCCGCACCGACCCATGCTCCTCTGCACGAGTCATTTTTTTTTACACCCTCGTTCATCTGTGGCTTGTGTCGCGACACTTTTAAAAGCAATACCACCCCACCTTAGACATCCGTTCCCCCCACCCCACCAACACCACCATCGTTGTGGCATTGCCACTATAAATAAAGTCTGCACGTCACATGCCGCCACTTCATGATGTATGTATGTTGAACTTCTTTTGTGCCGTACGTAGCCAACCATGCTCCGTGCATGAGCCAGTGTCCAACTGTATTAAAACCCCTTAAGTATATTAACGTGGAAAAAACATTCTGATTAATAATCATAATAATATAAATGTACTGGTGCTTATTTGGGAAATTGTTGTTCGCCAAAATCTGCCCCCAATTCCCCGTAGCACTCAAGCCCGAATTTCGGGGGATTCTTGCCATGCCCAAGGAGAAGGCTGTGCGTGATGGCGGGCCGCGGCTGGCTAGAGAGCACCAACCACTGCTCCATTGGCAGATTCCACTTGGCTCGGATGCATCTCTCGTCCATCCGTGGGGCTGCCCTTGTACGTAGTGGCCCGGTGTTTCTGTGACCCCTCGTGACCCCCCAATCCCCGCAGGCTGGTGGTGAAGTGTTCCTCGGAGCCTCTGCTTCGGGAGAACCGGTTTGCGCCGCCGGGCGGGCGTGGAGACCTCGGCTCCGCGAAGGAGCTGGAGTGGGCGCTCGTCGGCGGCTGCGACTCCACGTGCATCCCCGTCGCCATGGTATAGGGACGGTCCTTTGCTAGTCTATGGGGTGCTGTGTGAGTGTATGGGTCTTCTCCAAGTCTATGGTCCACAGTGACATAGTGCGGTTGGCACGGGCCCTGGTGAGAGGAATAAAATGTGGCCCTCCCCTGTACAGTTTTAAACCCCACCCCATTCCTCATAGCCCGGGTGCCTGGAACCCTCCAGCCTGTGGGCCCCTCGGTGGAGTCACACCACCTGCACACTCGATAGCTACGCCACTGGTAGGGGGCCCCCACCTTCTGTTGAGTGGCAGTTGGACGGTGGTGGGGGGGGAGAGAGTTTATTTTGCGGGTCAAGAGCCAGCACTTGAGAATATCATTATGAAGACCCTGGGATATGAGGACACGCTCTGTACAATACAACGTGGGTATAAGGAAGTGTCTCGATGTCACCGCATCTCACGATGCTTGACAGGTGTGTTTGAGGTGCGCATTGATACGTTTTCTTATGGGAGACGTTTGGAGGGTAGGCATTGGGGTAGGGATGCAGTGCTTGGAGGCAAGGGGGAAAGAGGACATAACGGTGAAGGTGACGATGAAGATGGTTCATAGGACTAGGAAGCTGGCAGCAAGGTATCCGGCTGGCTCATACGAGCTCGCACCACCGACTTCCTGAGACCGTCAGCTCGAATTCTGGTTTCAGCCGCCTGTGGTTAAACCGGGTGCTGTTTGTCCCGGTGACCAGCGACTGCACAGAAAAAAAACCTCAAAAGTTCGTCAATACCACCGTGGCCTTAAAATATAGAAAATAATATTTAAGAGGTGACGTTTTGGGCAATGGCCCATTCTCATAGCATGTAATAATTTGTTTAGTTGCTTAAAAAATGTTTTCTCTGCTATAAAGCAGGGCCATTGACTTAGGGCACTGCTTGTGCACCACAACCAATGCAACAGCTTTAAATAATTTGTAACCATTATATTTTATTTACAGGGTGCTTAAAAACAATGTTAACACTTATGAGAATTTGCAACAATACCACAAGACATGTGCCTCCGGGCTCTGGAGACCACCTGGAGGAGATTCCAGGCACCTGTTGACAATGGTGGCGAACAAGTGGAGACTCTTTGACTTTTTGAAGCGATTAACATACATTTGTTTTCATGTTACAGTGTATTATCCGTTATTTTTCCATTGAAAACGATAGTCCCATGTAAGTGTTAAAATATATCTTGAAGCACCCTGTAGTTCTGCACGTAATTATGCAATTCAAAGTCTCGCTTTTAACTGTTTTGCTACGAACATTACTCTCCTGAGCAGGGGCAGGTGTTAAAAGTGGTGCCCCCTACTGCGTGTGGACCAGAGGTCACTTGAAGGCATCTCTGAGTTAGCTCTGTGGCATCCGTTTCTGTGGACCATTCTCTTAGCACGGAGGCTTGCACCGCTCTGCGAGAGTTCCTCATCAAATCTTCGTCTCGCGACGTGACGCCGATAGCGCGGTTGGCATAAAATAGCGGGGGGAAAAAGTTCCAAGAAATTATCTTCGTATTCCCCGGCGGGCGGTACATTTTCCGTCCGCTGGAATAAAATCCACCCCACCTCGTTTTTTTCCTTCCGTGGAACGACGGGACGATTGCGATGATGAATCCCTCGGGGCGGCGAGCGGGCATCATCGTTGCGACGAGCTCGAGCGGCCCACGGAATGGATGTCGCGGGCCGCAGCCCGTGATGGACGAGAGGCCGATCCACGTGAAGCAATAATAACGACGTACGGCGCTCGGCCAATTTGCGCAGGAATTATTCACTCGGGCTTTAAAAGCCGCCCATTATGATCGCCGGGCCATTTTGTCTTTTTATGCGCGATGCATGCGGTCCGTCTCGCGTGCCCGCGTGAAGCCGCGCGTGCGCGCGCGTGCGTGTGCACGCTGCATCCAATGTAATGCACACGTGTACACGAACGTGCACAGACGTTTTGTCAGTGCGCTGCTGGATAAGGGCCTCCCCATGCTGTGCAGGACATGGCGGCTCCGAATGTAATTCCGAGCCTGCCCAAACCCCGCCTCCTTGGGAAACCAAGACTGCTTGGCTCGCACCTTTTGCCAACAATGGAGCATTAAGAGCGATCACGACTCGGTGCTCGTGTCTTGGTGGGATTGTCAGATTGCATCATGCGCGTGTCTCGGTGCGCGCGTGTGCACGCCGGTGCTCGATTAAGGGGCACGAGGCTTCGGTGCGCGTTCACGTTACGGCCCTGCTGCACATCCGCTGCTGGATTAGCGTCCCTCCCCACGCCGTGCGGGCTCGCCGGTGAATAATTAACCGTACTGCACCACGCTGGTCAGTGGGCGGGTTGGTGAAGATCGGGAGCATAGACGTGGTAGCCGAGTACGCCACAGTAAACGGTGGAATTTTTCATCACTGCCCTTCGGCTGCCCACAGCAGCCCATAACAACCCAGAAATGCGTGTGATCACCCATCTAGGCGCTATCCAGGCTCAACCCTTCTCGACTTCCCAGCTCTCACAGGAGCATTCCTGGTGATTTGGTGAAAGGCGTATCCAGCGGAACGCTCTGTTATGACGCTACGTCGCCATGCTGGCATGGTGGTTGTTTAGTCCTCATCGGCCGTGGTCTATCTCCTGCTATCTGCAGGCATACCCAAGCCGTCGCCATTTCTCGCGGTGTTTGGGAAACGAAAGTACATCTGGAGCATTCACACGAGCTGACGTCAGGGGTTATTAATACCGGCGATATATTTTCCCAGTTTAATATGAAGTTTAAGCGCGCAATGAATTAAAAACATTGTCATCTTTATAACGGCCCGGTAATAGTTATATATGCGTTGAAACGCCGCTGATAATACAGATAACGATTTAAAAAAAAATTCTTAATGAAAAATAATGACGGCCAGATTGTAACAGACGTGATAAAATAAATTATCACGTCATCAGGCTCAAGAGGGTCATGTGACTTGGGAATAATATCTGGGGACATTTAAAAACCCGATATTTTTTATTTAAATATCACCCAAACTAAATATCGACTTGGCGGGATATGTCAATAAGTCAAAATATCCCGACGTGGCATACATCAGCTTTGTAATCGCTTCATTTATCACCCGGCACGTGGCCGCTCCCGTAGTAAAATGGACCAATGGGTACTTGCCGAACTCTCGTCATCCAGCGGTGTTTGTTTCTTAAACGGGGAAAAATCCAGAAGGGTGTGGCCTGTTAAACTTGGGCTCCTGGGGTTTACGTGGCATTATGGGTGAGAGCCCGCCCGCCCACCGCGCTGGCTGGGTTAATGGGGTAGCGAGACCGCTGGCCATGTAATTAGAAGCAGTGGTGCTATAGTGAGCATCCCCGGTGCATGGGCTAGCATGCTGTTGGGTCGGTGAGCATGTAGGTGGACTAGTGAGCACCGTTTGTAGTCTGAATAGCGCAGCACTGGGATAGTGGACACCCGTGTGGGTTAGTGAGCGTGTCGATGGGTTTCGTGGGCTCTCCCTTTGGCTGGTTAGCATGCCAGTGGGTTAGTGTGCAACCCAGTGATCCAGTGTAAACATGGTGGGGGGGGGGGGGATCTGGTGAGCACGCTCGTGGGTTACTGGGCACACGCCGGTGGGCCAGCGGACACGCCGATGGGAAAATGGTCAACCCTGCGGTCCAATGAGGACTCGGTGGGGGATCTTGTGAGCATGCCGGCGGGTGAGTGGACACACCTGGTGGACTAGGGGGCACGCCAGCAGGCAGACGCACGTTGACGCAGCACTTTGCTCATGCCGCAGTGTCTTCCGGTTCCATCCCGCTTGTCTCCGTGGCTCGTGCCAGGCCGGCGTTGTTGCCAAGCGTTGTGCGACCTGGCACGGCGTCGCAGAGGGGGCGGGTGCGTGGCCGAGTGGGGGGCAGTGATGGTGGTTTATGTTACTTTATTTAATAATTTTCATTTTATGTATGTCTAAAAATGTTTTTTTCTCTGTGCCCTTGGCTCGCGCACAGAGGATGTATGACGCGTGTCCGTCGAAGCCACTGGCGCTCGCCCTGTTCACGTGCCTCGATGAGCAACACCAGCTGTGTCCTTCTGCCATGCGCTACTTCTCTGCCAAGCTGGGTACGTATGCCACCCTCACCCCTTTGTCGCATCATCACAATTACACGTGCCATCCCCTCCATCGCCCCAATCACCCGTGCCATCCCCTCCATCGCCCCAATCGCCCGTGCCATCCCCTCCATCGCTCCAATCACCCGTGCCATCCCCTCCATATTCCCAATCACCCGTGCCATCCCTCCATCGCCCCAATCACCCGTGCCATCCCATCCATCGCCCCAATTACTCGTACCATCCTCTCCATAGCCCCAATCACCCGTGCCATCCCCTCCATAGCCCCAATCACCCGTGCCATCCCCTCTATAGCCCCAATCACCCGTGCCATCCCCTCCATCGCCCCAATCACCCGCGCTATCTCAGGACCGGTGCCGATTGCGGCACCCGGATTTTACACAGTCTCGTGTAAAAAGGTGGAAGGTAAAGGCGCAGTCCTGCAAGTGCTAGCTCGCACCGATGCTCCAGGAAGGGCCTCCAATAGATGGAGCTCTGGAGAGTTCCTCCAGAGCAGTGGTTCCTTATGTCTATGGACCCGTGGACTGTCAACAGCAGATCACCATGCAACCATGACATATTTTTCCAACATTAAAATACCTCCTAACCAAAGCATCTGCAACAGTTCTGCAGACAGCTTCCCATGGACTTGCAGATCAGCAGTGGTATGCAGACCACAGGATGGGAACCAGTGCTCTAGAGGGTATTTTGCCCGCTCTTTCACGCTGGCCACACATCTTCGAAGAGGTGGGGATTCCCACACTTTACCCACACGTGACCTGCCGGTCACAGACTGACTCTGGTGTACTCGCTTGTAATGCTGGACGGATAGAGGCAGCGGGGGGGCGGGCGGGCGGCGGAGTGGGATGGGTTATTTAAGAAACTTGCACCATCGTTGTTAACCGCCGCGCCCGTAGATGGATTCAAATCGGCGACCCGTTGATTGCGAGTCGAACGAGCTGCTGACCATTACAGCACGGCAATCTTACGTAACCCCCCTCTCCCACCCAACTGCGTAACTTAACGTAACGTGCGCAGGGTGTGAGACGATTCGCAGCAACTAAAGAGCGCCCAGTGGCTGTGACCAGGTGAGTTTGTTTGCTACGTCCGGACTCAACTGAAGGCGTAAGATAGCGACGCAAAATGGCAGAAAAATTATTCTCAAGGGTTTCCAAATTTGAGTTTTAAAGCAAAAGAAGATGCCCCCAGCATTCCGTCTTCAACTTAAGCACACAACAAATCCACACCTATGGGAAAATAAGATTTGTTTTTCTAACTCAAGTGCACCCCACACTCCCTTTACACGGTGCGTGCCGTACAGATTGCTTTCGCTTCTCTCCTCCAAAGACCCTTTTTTTCCCACTGGCATATCTGACCTGTGCCTGGTTTTCCACGAACCATTTTGCGTTTAGGCCACCACACGCACTACTGCAGGTCACAACCCTCCTCCATCCCTCGCTCTGCGCCACTCTGCAATTCCCTCCCCGCCGTCTTCTTTTCCACCTCCCCGCCCCCCCAAGCTCTTGACAACCTTCGCTAAAAACCACAAGCAATGTATTCACTCTCACGTATTACAACCTTCAAAGAGTAACACCGTTTCTTGCTGGCCGCTTGGCATTTTTGGCCTTTTGGGCCTAGTAGGATCACAGACTCTCGGCGCCTGTGATTTTACAGAATGGATGACTCGGGGATCGATGCGTGGAGTGGCCCCTGCACCCTCCCTGCGTAGCGACCCCCCCCGCCCGCCCCGCCTCGTCCCGTGGGTAGCTTCTCGACTCGTCCGGCTGTCATGACTCCTGGTCGCGCAGCGGCTTAGCAGGGTGGTTTTATCATCGCGATGTATCTCGATAAGAAAGTGAACGCTCGGCGGTTTCACGCACATGACGTCGGGGCTGGCTTACGTGCCACTGCCTCTGCGTTTGTCGTGCAAGCCCCCCGCCCCGTACACCGCACCTCTCCCCCTCCGCCCAATTGCCCCCCACCACAGGGCGAGTGGTGAGTGGGTGGTGAGCCTCCACACATCACTGCTGAGAGCGGCACCGCGCCTGGTTCACATTCATATCAGATCTTCATATCAAAATATGAATATCCCCATGATCCTATGGGAAGGGGGAATTTCACCCACTGGTGCAGGGCTGCCTATGGAGCTGAGTGCCACCCATCCCCCGGCACTCACGATCTTTCGGCTTTTTACTCTTATGTACATACTTATATAAGATTTATAATGAATTACATAATTGTTCTCACGTAAAGAATGAATACATAATCATGACCTCCTCCCACCCATCCCCCCCCCCTCCTTCATTATGTAACATATGCGACAAAAATTCCTTTGGCTCACGACTGCCAAAGAGATAACAGAGATGAGTGTTATTGCAGAGCTTTTTTGACTCTGAATACAAATCGCACAGACGAAATAAAACAATACAATGTGGATTTATGTGTCGTTTAAATGCGACCGCATATCGAAACATTGTACTGGAACGGTGGGCGTATTTGTTTTATAGAGAGGCAGCGAGCAATAGGCAGAGGAGCAGATAAAGGCGTTGAACAGGGGGCAGGGAGTCTACAGCACGTGTGGCTGGGGAAGGGGCAGGGAGTCTACAGCACGTGTGGCTGGGGAAGGGGCAGGGAGTCTACAGCACGTGTGGCTGGGGAAGGGGCAGGGAGTCTACAGCACGTGTGGCTGGGGAAGGGGCAGGGAGTCTACAGCACGTGTGGCTGGGGAAGGGGCAGGGAGTCTACAGCACGTGTGGCTGGGGAAGGGGCAGGGAGTCTACAGCACGTGTGGCTGGGGAAGGGGCAGGGAGTCTACAGCACGTGTGGCTGGGGAAGGGAGTTTCGGACTGTGGCGGGCAGCAAATGGGAACCAGCGACCTCCCACACATGAGAGGAGAGGTAGGAGAGTGTGTGGAGGGGAGTGGAGTGAGATGAGAGGGGAGAGGTAGGAGAGTGCGTGGAGGGGAGTGGAGTGAGATGATAGGGGGGAGAGGTAGGAGAGTGTGTGGAGGGGAGTGGAGTGAGATGAGAGAGGAGAGGTAGGAGCGTGTGTGGAGGGGAGTGGAGTGAGATGAGAGGGGAGAGGTAGGAGAGTGTGTGGAGGGGAGCAGAGTGAGATGATAGGGGAGAGGTAGGAGGGTGCATGGTGGGGAGGAGAGTGAGATGAGAGGGGAGAGGTAGGAGAGTGTGTGGAGGGGAGCAGAGTGAGATGAGAGGGGAGAGGTAGGAGAGTGCGTGGAGGGGAGCAGAGTGAGATGAGAGGGGAGAGGTAGGAGAGCGTGCAGAGGGGAGTGGAGTGAGATGAGAAAGGAGAGGCTGACAAGGAGCGAGTCCGTGGAGGATCTTGAAGACTGAGTGCAATCTCGAAATTGATGAGGGGGATTGGATTTGGAGCGATGGGAGTGTTGGGCAACGTGCTCTGGCCTGCTTACAGTGAGCGCGAGGAGTCTGGCGCCGGTGTTTTGAATCTTGCATGTAGCCGACACGAGTGGCTTTGGGCCCCGGCGGGGATTACCACAGAGATAGCGGGCGCCTCAATGAGCGTCCACGCTGCTGATCGCCGCCTCCTGTGCTGTCGTACTCCGCAGCGAGCAGCGGGTTCATCAGGGCCACGCTGGAGGTGAAGGCTGCCTTCTGCCGAGGTCCAAGGTAAACATCAGCTGTCCCTGTCAGCAGGCAGGGTCGGGCCGGGGGTCAGGGGTCGTGTCTTGAGGAGCAGACGAGTTGTTTCTTTAAAGTTAAATGTAACGCAAAAAAATCACACGGTGCTTATCTTGTCCATGTAACCCCGTAAGCTGTTGTGTCCGAATTTGGCTGTGCTGTGGAATCATCGTACACACCAGTGGGGTGTTCGAGCAGCAGGATACCACTGTGCTGCTTAGGGTGAGCCCTGCATACATTTAGTTTTTAGCTTGAGCGTACTCAAGTCATGCTTGCGTGGGATTGTGGGAGTTTCCCATTGAGCTGAGTGGCCCAAACATCACTTGCTCTTTTCCGTGTGTATTTTCGCTGATGTCGTCATCAGCCGCACGTAGTCTTCTCTTGGGCCCCTCGTGTCGATACATTTAATTGGTGCCGTAATAAACATTTTTATTACCCAATCAAAAATTGCAATTATATCCACATCTCCAGTAAAGCCTCGCACAATCTCGAGGCCCATTCAGGACTGCTCAGCATTCAGATGTTCGTGGCTGATTTTCATTGAGCCCGCGTCGACTCCTGAGCAAACCGTGCGGAGATGAGTGCGCGATTGGCACTACCGCGGGCGGATGAGCGGCAGCGGTGCCGGCGCGCGCCTCATCCTGTCTCAGCCGCACAGGCGATCCAGCGACAACCGCCTGGCCCGCCGTGTGTGTGTGTGGCGTCGCGCAGGGACGACGCCTTGAACCAGGCCTGCTCCAGGTTCCTGCTACGGACGTGCCTGAGCCTCGGCCTGCTGGCCAACGAAGCCTCTCCACCGCCACTGCCGCAAGCACCGCTGGCCGGTAAGCGCCGCCCTGCGCCGTCGGGGGTTTTGCGTCGCAAGACCCAGCGTCTTTTGGGATCTCCTGCGGAGCAGCGCACTTGAGAGAGCGGCCCGCTGAAGCCGATGTCACAGAGCTACATCTGAGAACCCTCCCGAGTGACCTTTCCACGCAGTAGAGGGCGGCCCTGTAGGGGGCGGACCTGTTCCTCAACCTCTGCACTGCCACATGAGAGAGTAACGTTCTCCCCATAATGACCATCGAGTCTGCATTTTATTTAAATTTAGCCGTACGCACGCCCTCCGCCGGTCGATTGTAACGTCTTCAGCTAAAACGCGCGACGGCGCTCGCCGGTGACAAGTCAGGCACCGGGGCCGGTTGAACGGCAAATCACTGACGCTCCGACGTGCTTAAGGAGTGCGCGTGCGACTGTCAAAAACCGTACTCGTAGGAAGCGGCCATTAAGACAAGCAGCGCCTGTTCGACGACGGACGGGGCTTTTTAAAATTCCACGGGAATTCCCCCGGCGCGCATTTTTTTTTTTACGATGACGACGAGGCTCAGCGCGAGTAACACCAATCATCCCGTAATTTGAGCGGGCAGCAGACGCGTGCCACGGGGCTGATCCTCTGGGAGAGGAGGAGGATAGAGGGAGGGGCGGGTTTTTCTCAGCAGCGTCTGCGCGCGTGCGAACGTGCGCTTGCGCATTGCCCGCATCGCACGGGGAGAAATCCCGTCCCGAGCGGAGGCGTCCCGGCCTCTTTGCCGCCAGCGATCGAGTCACTCTGTGACGAGCGTTTGCGGATATCGTGTTTATTTGCAAACAATATTATTTCTGGTTTTACTTTACTACGAATCAAGTGGCCGGTTTCAGTTCCCCACCCCCCGGAGCAGCGCTATTGTTAACGTTGCCCAATCGACGGTAAATAATATGACGAGCTACCTACGGCCGAACCACGCGGTCTTGTCCCTTCCCGGAAGCTAAGCAGAGTTGAGCCTGGATATCGCTTGGACGTGGACGATCACCACGCACAGGCAGGTTGCCAGAATCAGAATCTGAATATTTATTTATACTGGAGGAATCCGATAAGCTATAAAGCTCTATTCCCATGTCGTCCAGTAGGGGCAGCTCTGAACGGTACAACAACAAACAATACAAAACGCTATATTGAGTGCAAAGTATATCTTACCAGGTGAAGCGCACGGAGCAATTAGCTCCTTTTTCAGAAGCGAACTGGCCACAAATGATAGCTCAACGAAGCGGCGTATCACTTTGTGGTCTTAATGATGATGTGCTTAGCGCGTGGAAATATATAGCAGCAAAACAATCTAAATTATCTAGATGCATATTCTTGGTTCTTTCGGTAAAGTCACGTAGGAGGGAAACAATTAAATAATAAAAATATAAAACAATAAAATTCTCACGACGTTTCGACTGCAACACAAGCAATCATCATCAGGTGTGAAAACCACAACAAGAAAATTTGAAAAAAGTGGCGTTTTCTTTTTAACGTTAGCACCACGGATAGCGATTTGACAGTTTGTTCAGATGGTCGAGTCCACCTATGTTCGGAAAAGAGGAGGGGGGAGACGAAAAATAATGGATATATACGGGCGTCAGGCGTCAGGATCGAACCCGCAACCTCCATTCCAGTCGGCTGTGGGGTTCCATCGTGGGCAGAAGAGGGCAGTGTAACAAACTCCACTGTTGCACTCTAACTTGTATCCTCTGAATGTCTGTGCTTGCCCCCCACCTCCACCAACCCTCGCTGACAAGAGGAGAGAACACTGTGGTCAAAGAACGCCCACCCCCCCGCACCCACGACCCGCACGTCGTGGGTGCGGGGGGGTGGGCATCTTTTTTTCTGTAGATTTTTCCTCCCAGTTGCGCTGTTGCGCTCATGCCCAATGGCTTCAACACCTTGAGATTGATGCATTTCCCATTCGGAACGGTTACCGGGATCAGTGTATCAGGCAACGGCCTCTCGCGAAACAAGATGTTGAAGTCGTTTCAGGAGGCCGACTGATTGACACGAGGCGCATACCTTTTGTGTGCTCTGCAGAGTGTGTTTGTCGTACGGCAGCGAGACCAAACTTACCCGGGTGCTCCTACAGCTCGAATATTGCCCATTTCAGTGGGCAATAACACATTCAGTGCGCTGCGTGTTTCATGCAGTCATTGGGTGAGCTGGCTCAGCCCGTCGACTCGCTGAGCTCGAGAAGCCGGTGGAAACGACGGGCGGCTAAAACCCGAAATTGAACCCAGGAGCTCGGTGGCGCGGGCTCAACACCTCTGACCCCACCCCCCCTCTGCTGAGCCACCCCGCTTCCTCAGATGTTGCATTTTTAATAGCCTTTGAATAGTTTATTCACAATGAAAGTGGGTTTGAGAACGCACTTTCAAATGCAGCGCTGCTAATTAACACAATTTGTAAAAGGAAATGTGTATAAATTGGATAATTGAATTCTGAATGTTTTTTTAATCGGATAAAGCCGATGAGATATACGGCTCGGCGGCAAGGACGCTGGAGAACTTGACTCACAATGAGAAGGTTAAAAGGTCAAGTTCGGTGTGACGGTGACTCAACTACCAGTCGAGGTGGACTAAGCCCAATTTCCCTTCAATTAGCACGTTTAGCTACTTACGATGCAACAGAAGTTCAGCATACACATATAGACCCTTCTTCCATTCCCTTGGCGTTTTAGACCGTTGAGGACATGTCTGTTTCCTTCTCCGACATCTATTGGCAATGGCCTCTCCTTATTCTGTCTTCCGTTGCTGCGTCTTTCAACTGAGGCGGCTTCTATGCCATCCAGCGGTTGATGTTTGATGTCCGGTCGGATCGTGATCTTCCTCTTCCCCAAGCTCCTTTGAGTGCTCCCTCCCATCATCCTTTTGGGGTGATTTGAATTGCCTACCACTTTGTAGGGAGTCAACAACTGCCCAACCCACGGAAACCGCCCTCGCCTGCGTTTGTTCGCATGTGTGTGTGTGTGTCTGTTAGGGGGAGCGGTGGTGTAGCGGTTAGCGCGCTGCGCTGCAAACTTGGCGACCCGAGTTCGATTCCCGCTCACGGCCAACATCAGTGACGATTATCTGAACCGGTCCTGGGCCTCCCCTAGGTCGACTCAGCCTCAAATAAGTACCTGGTGCGGTGTGTAAACATCTTCTTTGGTTTTCTTAGTTTTTTTCGGTAAAGTCACGTTGAAGAGAAACAACAAAATAACAAAATATATATAAAACAATAAAAAAAAATTCTCACGACGTTTCGACCATAACTCAAACGGTCATCATCAGGTGTGTCGGTTTGCATAAATTTATTTTGAAAACGGCATATTTATTTATTTATATATATAAAAATAACGTTTGCGTCACGCGCAACGATTGGCTGTTTGCCAGGACTAGTCCATCTATTTTTTGAAAAGAGGAGGGGGGAGACGAAATTTGTTTTTATGTATGCTGTCTGAAAGCCACTGTAAGCGTGAACAATCAATCAAGAACTGAAATGATTTGATTGGCTGTTTGCCAGGACTAGTCCATCTATTTTTTGAAAAGAGGAGGGGGGAGACGAAATTTGTTTTTATGTATGCTGTCTGAAAGCCACTGTAAGCGTGAACAATCAATCATGATAAATCATGTTTTGATAAATCATTTCAGTTCTTGATTGATTGTTCACGCTTACAGTGGCTTTCAGACAGCATACATAAAAACAAATTTCGTCTCCCCCCTCCTCTTTTAAAAAAATAGATGGACTAGTCCTGGCAAACAGCCAATCGTTGCGCGTGACGCAAACGTTATTTTTATATAAATAAATAAATATGCCGTTTTCAAAATAAATTTATGCAAACCGACACACCTGATGATGACCGTTTGAGTTATGGTCGAAACGTCGTGAGAATTTTTTTTTTATTGTTTTATATATATTTTGTTGTTTCTCTTCAACGTGACTTTACCGAAAAAACTAAGAATATGAGTTACTGCAGTCACGAAAGCTTTAAATCAAAATCTTCTTTGGTTCTTTCGGTAAAGTCACGTAGAATGATAATCAAATAATAAATTGATAAAATAAAATAACACAATAATATTCTCACGACGTTTCGGCCACAACACAAGCGGCCTTCATCAGGTGAAGGGGGCGAGACTGTCTGGTAGGACAGCGCTGGAGTGAAAGAGCCACGTTCAGATACGGCCTTTAAGCTGTGTGAGAGGAACAAAGCGCCTGCTGCAGAAATAGAGCTTGTACCTGCTGCAGAAATAGCTACGTTAAAGTCAGAGCATACACATTCACCGAGGCCCTTAGTACAAATCAAACAGGAGAATTTAGCATTGAAATAACTAGGCGAATCCAGCATTGAAACAACTGAGTGATTAGCTAGTGACTGGTCACAGAAATGACTACACATCTGAGCTATTCACAGTACTATATAGTGAACCAATAAAAACTAAAATATAAATTACCTTCATGTTATCAATAAACTCTATATTCTCCAATCAGCTAAGCTACCAACAATAAGTCGTTATATATCACAATGCTATATGGCGAAAAAATGGGTGGATTCTTACCCTCAAATTTCAGCACCACGGATAGCTACGGGCCCCGTTCAGACGGACGAGTTCGTCCATGGTCGGAACAGAGGAGGGGGAGAGAGACAGCTGCAAGGCCCTAGTATGCTCCATGTTGTAAAACTATACCATTAACCGTGGTGTGAGAGGTATTAAGAGGCAATGCTGGCGAAAGAGCTGCGGTCTGAAGGTCATCGTAAAAATACAATTAATTAAGAACAGAAATGATTTAAAACATCTTTCCAGTGGTTACTAAGCCTGAATTCATCTTCTCGGTTGAAATTGTCTCTGTGCTTGTATATGTGAATGGCCTCATGAACGAATCTCTCATGGTAGCCGGTTTGTTTGCAAAGAACCTCCGTCTTGGAGAAGTCAATGTCATGTGAGCCCACTGAATTATAACAGTGATCTGCCACGGCAGAGGAGTTCGTCCTACCGTGTTTCAAGTCTGCTTTGTGTTCGCGGATGCGGTCCGAGATATGTCTTTTGGTTTCTCCAATGTAGCTACTACCACAGAGGCACTTTAGTTTGTAAACGCCCGGGTACTGTATGTCTGGAACAGCATCTTTTACAGATGGAACTAAATCACGGATTTTATGTACTGTGTTGAATCGGACCTGGATCTTGTGTTTGTTCAGGATTTTGGAGATCTTTTTAGTGACCCCTGCAATGTAGGGTAAGGTGATGGTTTTGAGTGGCTCCACAAGAGGATCCTTCTTCATGACTGGAGTAATGGCTTTGCGGATTGTGTAGTCGGAGTAGCCATTAGCCCTGAGAGCCTGGTGTACGTGCTTGAGTTCACTGGTAATGTGTTCCTGGTCGGAAATGCATTGGGCTCTATGGTATAGAGTCTTGATGAGGGAGTTCTTCTGGGATGGATGGTGGTGGGAATCCGGTTTCAAGTAAGCATCTGTATGGGTAGCTTTCCTGTAGACAGAGTGGCTCATTGAACCATCATGTCTTCTTTTAATTAAGACATCCAAAAAGGGTAGTTTGCCATCTTTTTCGACCTCCATGGTAAATCTGATGGCTGGGTGTATGGAATTGATGTGGTCGCGGAATTGGTCTAGAGCAGGCTGGCCATGTGGCCAGATGACAAAGGTGTCATCAACGTACCTCTTCCATAAGGTCGGGCGTAGAGTGGCAGTCTGGATGGCGTCAGTTTCAAATTTTTCCATGAATACGTTGGCTACAACCGGAGATAGGGGGGAGCCCATTGGGGTGCCCTCAGTTTGTTTGTAGAAAGTTCCATTCCAGGTGAAGTAAGTGTTTGTTAAGCAATGTCTCACCAGGGGGGGTACATCAGTATGCAGTCCTTGATGAACCAGGTCTTCAATGATAGCGATGGTGTCAGGTACCGGGACTTTGGTGAACAAGGACACCACATCAAAACTGACAAGCAGGTCGTTTGGGGACAGGGAAATGCCTTTGATTGTCGATACCAGGTGAGTAGAATTTAGTACCGCAGAGGTGGTTTTTCCAGTGAAAGGTCGCAGTATATCAGCAAGAAAACGTGCCAGTTTGTAGGTGGGGGAGCTGATAGTAGAGACGATGGGACGAAGGGGTGTATCTTCTTTGTGTATCTTTGGAAGGCCATATAATCTTGGTGGTCTGGCAGCAGAGGGCTTCAACGAGAACTGTTTGATCTCATCAATTAATGCTGTTGAATCAGAGATGATTTTGTTCGTTTTGGTGACCAGGCTGTTGGTGGGATCTCTTTTTATTTTTGTGTAGCTGCCATCGTTGAGTAGTTCTTGAATTTTGTTGTTATATTCTGTTTTGTCCATGATGACAGTGGCATTGCCTTTGTCGGCTGAGAGGACGACAATATCTTCCCTATTTTTTAATTGAGATAATTCAAAACGTTCGTCTTTGCTGATGTTGCTGGGTGGCAACTTAGCGTTTTTGAGGGTTGCAGCGATTTCAGATCTTGCTACGTCTGCAGAGATGTGACTCAAGCCCTTGAGTGCAACGTCGACATGGGCAATGATATCATTAACCGGTAAGTGTCTCGGTGTGACAGCAAAGTTTAGACCTTTAGCTAAAACGGATTTCAGACCATCAGAAATGGAACTGTTACTGCGATTAATTACGACTTTGTTGACGTCTATCTTTTCGGTGTGTGGATCCGATTGTGTAAACATCGCCACTGGGGAGACAAAGGCGGCCTTCATAGGCTCCCGCTAACAGCACTTGCCCTAACAGTTTGCTAAGGCTATACGGGGAATCTTTGTATTTTGTTTGTTTGGGGAACGGCAGTTGCTGCGGTTAGTGCACTGCTCTACGAGCCTGACACCCCGAGTTCGATTCCTGGTCGCGGCTAACATCAGTGGAAAAATATCTAAACCGGTGCTGGGCCTCTGCTAGGTCGACTCGCCCTCAATGTGACTATACGGGGGATCGTTGTCTTAGCAGACGGAGGGGAGGTGGTGGACGCGTTGGCCCACGGACTCCTGGACGTGGCGCCCACCCCCCGCGACTGCCTGCTGCTCCTGCGGGAGCCGCGCGCCGACCTGACACTACGCCCGGCCCAGCTTGCCGCGATGGCCGTCCTCCTCACCGCGCTGGCATACGCCGATCGGTATTGCCCCCCCCCCACCCCCACCCACTCCATCTCCCCCCACCGTGGTCCACCATGTGGGGCAGGTGTGGGGGGAGATAGGAGCAATCGTCCTCTCTTGAGACCCACGAAAGTTGGTATTTTATAGACATTTACAATAAATAATATTTGGAATTGTTCATTATTGATGTAGCCCGCCCACTTTGGGAAGTTTCTAGATCCACGTCGGGCCGTGTGTGACACTAGCACGTAGCAGCAGGGTTCATCCACGGTCGCAGTTTGAGGGAGGGTTTCAAGGTCCTCCACGGACTCACTTCTGCCCACCACCACCCTCTCATCTCGCTCTGCTCCCCTCCATGCACTCTCCCACCTCTTTCGTAACCCTAACCCCACCTATATAGGAGTATAATGACCTTGGCTTGGGGGTGTAGTGGACAGTCATATTGCCGAAATAGAATTTCTATCTCGAGGATCAAATCATATGACATTCTGTAGGGACGGAATACTATCTCACGCTGGCCACAATCACTCGCTCAATCACTCGCTCGCTTATTCGCTCGCTCACCTGAAGTTTCAAACTTTTAACGTTTTCCCCCGACACCACCGTTGGGAACGAGACGTTCCATCATTTCGTTTTGTAAAAAATATATATTTTGTAAACAAATAATAATTGCCGTGCGTGTGTTTCCGCCGTTCTCAGGCTGGCGCGTGAGCAGGAGGTGAGCGAGGCCCTGCTGAATTTCCTCCACCACCTGGGCGAGGGGCCTCCGGTGATGCCCGCGTCGCTGCACCTTGCGCTGGTGCGCTTGGCGCTGTGCCTCCTCGCCCTGTGCCAGCGCGGAGAGCCGTGCCTGCCTGCGGTAACAAGCCCCCCCCCCCCCACCACCACTCCCACTTCTCCCACCACCCTCCCACAGCCTCCCCCACCCCTTACACCCCCCCTCCACCCTCCCGGCTTTCGTCCGCACGCCGGTTTCGCTGGCCCTGCCTGTGAGGCCCCATGTCGACGTTTGGCTGGTTCTTCGTTTCTGCGGTCAGTATTACGGTTATTAATCAATTCCCGCTACCGCGTGGTAATTTGTGTGCCGAATTACCGGAGCGTGCCATCTGCTTGTGAAGTGGACCTTGAAGACCCTCCGACGTCATTCTCCAGAGTGTGGGTGGATGGGTGGGGGGGCGGTTACTGCCTTGCGCTGGTGCCATTGAACGCCACCACCAAATTTAAATTGACAATTAAAACTCGATTAAATGTTTTAGATAGTACGCGGCACTCGAAGGGACGATTGGCCCGTGGTCAAAAATAATAACAACGGAGTGGTGGCCAAGGAGTAGAACGCGTCCAAGTGTACGTCCGCCGATTTTGAGACGTGGCGGTAGCTTTGGGAGGCCTTCATCCGGCAGTGGATTGACCATTGTCTGATGACGACGACGAGGTAGCCTTAACACATGCTTTCATCTTTGACTGCCAGCCCGCATTGAACACCGCGTTGAAGTACACACAACAAGCTCCCCTACGACCAGCACGACACGGCGACGCCGTCATCCAGCAGTGGATTGACGCGGGGGGCGGCCTCTGCGAATGAATGTGGCGTTAGGTTTCCTTTGCGAGAGAGCTAAATGTGGTCCGACGTGCGCCCGTCACCTGCCCGATAAAGTGAGAGGCGTTAAACGGTGAGAGGCGTTCGGCAGCGACGGCAGCGCGTGCCTTCACTGCGCCGCTCCGTGTCAAGTCGCGACACATCCCCGGGGCTCCACGGCGTCGCCTCGCGGGCGGTGATCCCGCTTGTGTCGTCGCTCGGTGAGAATCCCGACCCCCCCCCCACCCGCCCCCCGCTCTGCCCCTTCCTCCACCCGCACGCTGGCCGTCCCCTTCACCCCCTACCCCCCCTAGATCCCAGCCAAAGCGTCCTTCCGTGCGGCGAACTCGCGCTTCAGAATGAGACTCTTTATGAAGATTGTGGGAGGAATCCGATGAGCTATGAAGCTATTTTTCACAGACGTCCTGTGGGGGCACGGGGGGGGGGTCAAGCGAGTTGCATCAATGAACGATACTCGAGAAAAAACAACAATATAAGGGCAAGGAAGCGAAAAAATAAAGAGTTTGCTTAAAATAAAAATAATATAAATAAAGTGGTAAAGCACAAATAGCACAGGTAAATAAATTCCTGCCAATTTGTCAGCACCAAAATGCACGCTTGGGCAAGACGGAGCAATGAGCCATCCTTTTCCACGAAAGCCTACGTTGTTAAACTGATGCTACCTCGGTCTTCGCAGCTGTGCTATTGCACAGCTCTCGGATGCGCGTTGATAGTTTTTTGCACCGCTTTGCGTTGTTGTTGTTCGGCACGACGTCCGACGTTTTGTACCATGTGCCGGCGGCTTTTTCAGGGAACTAAATGGAGCGGCTCACATTCTCTCCCCCGACTTTCAGGGAGCTGCTGCGTGCCAGTTTCCGGAAGATGACTCTGTCTTTTTAAGTAGGGTCCTGCATCAAGAGGTTTGGCCAATTCCTTTTTGTAATGTAAATATTGAAGCATTGTTATCATTGTTTATTACACTTGCTCACCCACGAGTCTCGAGACTGTTTCAGGAGGGTCTTGCCAAGTTTTCGCAGTCGGGGTGGGGCAATGTTGTTACACGTAATCCTAACGGGAAAAAAAAACACATGGTACAACCCAAATCCCCCCCCATCCCCCCCTCCCCCCCCTGAAAGATAATGAGACATCCCATCCCATCCAAGGTGGAGCGACACAGAGGGGGGGAGCAGGGAGGGGTGCACCTCCTTTACAACTCCCAAGAGCCGCTGTTGCTGCGGTGTTGCCAGGCAAATGGTAGCGGTGCAGCGATGGGTTGAGTGTGTGTGGAGCTCTGGGTCATATTTCACCATTTGCGTGGCTGTTTGCCGGGTTCTTAAGTTTCCTCCCACGTGAATTAGAAGTCTCAGTAAAATAAAATTGGCTCAAAACCTCAATGCAAGACCCACCTGCAAAAGCGCCTTGAGAATTGCTGAGGCTTTCCTGGGTAAATACGACACATGGCTGAAAGAAAGAAAAACTATGTAACTGGTATTCGCCAAACATTCCAATGTTGAAGACTCAAGCTGCTCATTACGCAATTGGGATTTCATTTTATAACATCGCCCGCCTCCCACTGCGAACATCTGGCAGGACCCTCCTTAAAAAGAGTCTTGAAACTCAGGAAGGCTCTCCAGGATTAATAAATCACATCATACATTTTAAATGAATTGGCTGAATATTGCACTTTTTTATCCCTCTATACAAGTAGCCTTGAGGCCCGGCAAACCTGTCCCAGATTAATAAAAATGACATTAGCTATGCAATTGACCAGCAAGGGCGATCCCTTGCTGACGGTGACATCATCACGGCAGGGCTTGGAACTCGGGGTGGGGGGAGGGGGGGGTCTGTAGGCACGGGTCTGATGTGACCCCCGAGGAATCCTGTGGTGGATATGCCATATTCCCCATATGGATTGGAGCTCCGATCCGGTCACGGTTTGCCGGACCCATACGCCGTAAAGCGGCAGCGAGAGCTGATGTAAATTTCATAGGGAGAGATGAATAATTTAATAAACTGCATTGTCCGCTCTTGACGTACGTATGGGTATGTGCTCTGGGCACCCTGGGTCTGCCTATAAAAAAATAAAAATCTACATGAATACATTAATAAAAAAATACATTAATAAAAAAATAAAAATCTACATGAATACATTAATAAAAGAGAGGGGAAACGTGTTTTAAAAAATGGAGCTTTCGCCGTACGGAGGAACAAGTTAATATTTTATCCGCCAGGTCTTCGCGATCAATATTTCCCAGTGGACGTATCGACAGCTTGGCAGATGAGGACTGGCTTCCTCTGCGTTGGCAGTCCTCGGCAGGCCGTAATAATAGTTTACGATGTTAATAATTTCGTGGATTTGGTGTTCGCGCCACCGGTACAGGCCACTGGCAGGGGACGAGGTTGGCGCGTGGATATTCCCCGTTAAAGCAATTTGCGAGCAGCTTTTTAATACTTGCCCACATTTTGACCGTGACGACGGTGCACGTCTTTCGAATGAGGTCAGGGGATCTTTGGCGTCAAGTCGAATGGTTTGCACGGTACGCGGTAATAACCAGGGTGGTCCCTGGGCTCGAACCGCGATATCCTCTGCAACTGACCCCGTGCCCCGACTGGACATCTGTAAAAAGAGCTTCAAGAGCTCATCGGATTCCTCCAGTCTAAATAAAGATTCTGATTCTGAACAAGCGGCGTACTCGCCACCGCTGGGCCCTGTCACCGCAAGCCAAGTGCGCGGTTGCCAGCGCTAATCCAGATGGTAAAGACGAGCGCCAGCACTGCGGGGCAGAGAGAGGGGGGGGGGGGGGCAGGGGGGCGGTAGTTCTTTCGGCGCAAGGTACAAAACGGTAGCGCTCGGTGCAGCGTATGATTGCAGCGTCTGAAGACCGAGACGCAGCGCTCGCGAAAACAAAGCCAAACGAAATTTGATACGAACGTGACGTGACGCACACCATGAGTAATGCCACTTGTTATGTGCGCTGACAAAATATGTTAGGGCAGAGAGGGAAACAATTGCTCCCCCTATTTTGGCCTTTAATATATCGTGTGCAGCTAAATAATAAATGACATTAGTCACAAGTTATTATGGACACTGCGTGGGCCAGGCGAGGCAGGGCCCGCGCCCGGGCCCCACTCGTCGCAAATGTCGGCCACGCTCTCTCTACCCCCCGCCTCCTCTGCCCGTGTGGAGTTGGCGGTGGAGCCGGCCTCTGCGATGATTGACGTGAGCGAGTACGCAACCGAATATCGGCTCGATCGCTTGACGAATCGGACGGCAGGAAAAGTGTTTTGAGACAAACAAAAAAAGAAAAGTCCGCTCTCACCTTTGTTTCCGACGTGTTGCCGCCGTGCTTTTTATTCGACAAAGCGACCCGATTGGCTCATCTTCCCGGCTCTGCTTGGCACGGAGCGATCCGTGTCGCCGGCGATGCGAGGAACCGTTGAGGTCGCGCCACTCGGGAAACGTTCCCTCTGCTTGCCGCTCAACCGTTAGTCTCGGCCGTCGTCCCTCCAAGCGACGTGGTGCTACTGCACCAGCAAAACTTAACTCCTCGTGACGGTCAATACGATGCCTCTCTCTCTCTAATCCACGCATTCCTCTTCCTGTTGCTCCGCGTAATTCCGCCGCTTGACGCATTTCATATTGTTCGCCAAGGTCCGTCTTTCTGACCTGCACGTGACAGCAGGTGATGTGCGTTGAACGTAAGCGTTCTTAATTTAGGTCCATTGCTCTTCTTTGTTGAGTTAAGTTTTTCAAATCGCTCCGAACCTGCTCTCAGCCGCCGTCCGCCTTCATTCGCTCCCCAATGTGCGCACGGATCAACCGCTGTGTTTACAGTTGCGTCCTTCCAACAAATATAATGGGCATAATTACTATTATTTCAACCTGGAACACGCTGCACAATATTCGCTCCCTCTGCAAGACGGGGGAACGACTCGGAGTTCAGCTGTTTTCACACACTTGTACGCCAGTTTTGTTTTGCTGATATATGTCCGTGCAGGTGTGCGTTGGACTTCTTTTGCATCGTACGTGGACAACCACGCCAATCGGGAGGGTCCAGAAATGATGATGGCCGTGATTGTGATGATGGCCGTGATTGTGAGGGGTCACCTGAGGATGCCCCGCGACTCGTGGATGCTGCTCCGGCTGCCCGTCGGGCTCATCGTCGTCAATGTCGTTGTTGTCGTCGTTGTTGTCGTCATTGTAGTTGTTGTCATTGTAGTTGTCGTCGTCGTTGTTGTCGTTGTTGTCGTCATTGTTGTCGTCGTTGTAGTTGTTGTCGTTGTTGTCGTCTTTCTTGTCATCATTGTCATCGTTGTTGTCGTCATCGTTGTTGTCATCGTCGTTTTTGTTGTTGTTGTTCCGCCCCAGTTGCTTCGTGCCGGGCAGTGCCGCAGTGTGTGCTCTCCCTCTGCTCCCTCCACGCCCGCTCCCTACCCGAGTGTTGTCGTACCTTGATGTAAAGCTCCTTGAGATGCGGTCGCGTTACGATGCGGCCGCTGTATATACACAGGTATCGTTACTTTGCCATCTATGTTGGCTTATTTGGCACCTTGTTCATCACCCTGTGTGCTATATTATTTGCGCGAGTACACGCGTGTGTGAGATTGTGTACGTGTGTGAGATTACAGTATATACTTGTGAAAGATTACGTACATGTGTGAGATTTTGATTTAAAGCTTTCGTGACTGCAGGGATTCATATTCTTGGTTCTTTTGGTAAAGTCACGTAGAAGGGAAACAATAAAATAATAAAAATATAAAACAACATAATTCTCACGACGTTTCGACCGCAACACAAGCAATCATCATCAGGTGTGAAAACCACAACAAGAAAATTTGAAATAACCGCCACTTTTTTCAAATTTTCTTGTTGCGGTTTTCACACCTGATGATGATTGCTTGTGTTGCAGTCGAAACGTCGTGAGAATTGTATTGTTTTATATTTTTATTATTTTATTGTTTCCCTTCTACGTGACTTTACCGAAAGAACCAAGAATATGTGTGAGATTATATATGCGTGAGATTATGTGCGTGTGTGAGATTATGTGCGTGCGTGATATTATGTACGTGCGTGAGATTATGTGCGTGCGTGAGATTATGTGCGTGCGAAGTATTCAGTCAAATACGTCGAGAACGATGGTGCTCGTCTACATGCAGCCCTGAGCCAGAAGTGGAAATTCCACAATCTTATGACAGGGCTGAACTCTTCCATCGGGCAACCACTGTCACCTTTTTATAGACCCCGCAGGGACGATAGGCTGGGTCGACCCCTCAATCGGGATTCGATCTCGCAACCTTACGATTGCGGGCCACTCACTGTGCCATGTGGTCGGATTAGGTAATGTGCACCACGCGTGTGAGGGGAGCGGTAGTGTCGCCGTTAGCGCGCTTGGCTACGAACCTGGCCATCGGAGTTCGATTCTCGCTCACGGTCAACACCGGTGACGATTATCTAAACCGGTCCTGGGCCTTCCCTCGATCGACTCAGCCTCAAATGAGTACCGGGTACAGTTTGTAAACATCGCCACCGGGAAGAAAAAGGCGGCCGAGCGTGGTGCTGGCCACCCACCCCCCTCGTGTGGCGTGCCGGCCTTCATAGGTCCTCGCTAATGGCACTTGCCCCAACGGTCTTTTAAGGCTACACGGGGGATCTTTGTCTTTTGTTTGTTTGGGGAGCTGCAGTGCAATGGCTCGTGCACTGCCCTACGAGGCTGGCATCCCGAGTTCAAGCTTTGCCTTTTTGTGCGCGCGTCACTCTGCGTGAGTGGCATTGGGATCATCGCGTGGCGTGCGTGCCGGTTGCGCGTGACTGCAGGGACACCTCGCCGCGGTTGATTTTGCGACGGACCCGACCGGCCGCGGCGCAGGTGTAGCTCGTCGCTACTGCCGTCGTCATCGCCGCCGCCGAGCCACGCGCCCCGGCCTCGTCCGCGTGCGACGACGTTTTAATAACGCTCCGCGAATCGCCCCCCCCCCCACGCCCACCCACCGCCCCTCGCCCAGCCCCCGCCCCCCCCGCCGGCACTCGCTTTGGAGAGAAATGCCCCGACTCAGCGAGATCTCCTCCAGGCATTAACCGCGCGTCCCTCTCGACACGGTGGCCCTAATGGAGCCGCGTTACGTAACGTGCGCCCGCTTGCATAATGCACGTGCCTTTTGCGCGGTTACGCAACGCGTCGTGCGGCTTCACGCTCGCGCGCGGTTATACACAACGGTGCTTGCCCGGCCGATCGTTGTGGTAACGCGGGCATCCTTTCTGGGCCGCTTCGCGCGTTGTGTAAAAGGTTATGGGGCTGTGCGCGCACGGTGCAATCTTGCGCGCACGTCGTCGACATGTGTATGTAACATCTACGGGTTGGAGTTTATGGTTGTTATTATTATTGTTGTTGCGTGGCTGCGTGATGTATTGTAGATTGTCGCACAGCGGTGGCGCTGGTGTAAAGACGTTCATAATCCAACTCCGCTGACTCAGTAAAGTTGAATTTATTATTGGATATTTTCTCTGGGGTAATGAGCTTCCACGTGTCAGATGTTGCCCTGCGCCAGTTTTGCCCCAGTTTTTGCCCACGGCTCTAATGCATCCCTTTACGGGCAAAGAGGGTCGGTGGATCACAAAACAGATTAAAAAATAACAACTCCCAAACTCCCCTGATGGTTTCGCGAGAAGGCCCAAGAGATGGCAGTACAGAAAGTGGATTTGTCATCCTCCTGCCTGTGCAGGTGTCTGCATCTTTCGGTGACGGGGCCCAGCGGTAGTGCGTTTGTCTCTCGTAGTGGGAGTTTGCGGTTCGAATCCGCCGGCCGCCCTAGTTATTTCAGCGGGCGTTAAAGATCCCTTGGCGTCTTTCGAAAGAGTAGGCCATTGTGTGCCGGCGTCAGCGTTCAAACGTCCCTCAACTATTAAACTGCGGTAATGTACGTTCGAAAACTCACTTCTTTCGAACTGATTTTTGTGTCTAGTTTGTCGTCCTTCCCCCGGACCTCCGGTTTGCACGGTTGGCGATGTACGGTGTGAAAGAAGTCCTTCAACATGCATACATAGGTATCAAATTAGGAATTTACACCGCACATTACTCAATTTGGATTATACGTGGCAATCAGAATAATTATATTTATACCAGAGGAATCTGATGACCCTCAAAGCTCTTTTTCACAGATGTCCAGTAGACTAAACAATCATCACCTACTGTCAGACAAATGCCCCAGGTCACTCTTGTAAATGAGGCTCATCATGGACTCTCCTAGTTTAGCAGAATATACCCGAAACTTGAATGGTTTTGGCCTTTGTCAATCCACTCTTGTATGAAGGCCTTCTGAGGTCATTGGAGTTGTCTGACCATACTTCACCATGCTGGTCAGCGTGGGTTGGCGGAAGAGGGGGCCCAGGACTGGTTCAGATGTCACTCGTCGCTTATGGCCGGAATCGACTCAACCTTTTAGGTTCATAGCGCAGTGCGATAACCACTGCACCACACCTCCACTTTCGGGTAAGTCAAGGGCATCGTTCCTAATGTAAGCGCTCAGATTAAAAGAGCTCCTGACGGTGAGAGAGATCCACCACTCGCACGTGACACCAGCATGGCGTGGTCAACCCTGGCTCCTGTTGTCACATTGTAAGCATCGTCGTTATCATCAGCCGTGATCAATCGATTGCTGGATGAAGGCCTCCCAAAGTTGTCGGCGATAACCGCCCCCTGCGACTTGACAATCCGCTTGGCACCTGCGCACGAGCGCCGATTCCATCGCTCCCATCCCTTCTGCGGACGCGACGAAATTGGAAGCAGCGTCAGAGGATGTTTAATGTCCGCGCTAATTAACGGATGGAGCAATTACTTCACCTTGCTCCCCCACCACCCCCCGCCGTCCCTCGTTATTGATGAGCCACTTCTCGGATTCACCGCGACAAAAATAACAACGGGAATAATTATAACGTGGAGGAGGCAAGAAAAAAAAAGAACCAGACCAGAGTAATTAAAATTAATGCCACCCGACCTTCAACTTAATGGCACAAAATCCGCACATTACGTTCGGTTGGGGACGATTTGCACAGGGAGCGGAGGTGCTTTAAGAGTGAATTACGTTGGTTGGCGGAGCGTGGGACAAACTTCTGTCTCCCTGGCATTGTTTACCGATGGAGATAAACGCGTGACCTTTATGTCCAGGCAACGGCCCCCTGAGATGGCAGGAATCGCCTGTTTTTGTAGGCGAGACCCAGCTTTACATTAGAGCGGTAGCACGTCGCATATCCAACCCTTCGCATATCCGCCCGGCCAATTAACTGCCCATACCCAGTGGAGTGGCCTCCTCCTCCTCTCACACAGAGACACATTGACTCACAGAGACACGTAGACTCACACAGAGACGCATACACTCACACAGAGACCCATAGGCTCACACAGAGTCACATAGACTCACACAGAGACACGTAGACTCACACAGAGACCCGTAGACTCACACAGAGACCCATAGGCTCACACAGAGACACATAGACTCACACAGAGACCCATAGACTCACACAGAGACATAGACTCACACAGAGACACGTAGACTCACAGAGACCCATAGGCTCACACAGAGACACGTAGACTCACACAGAGACACATAGACTCACACAGAGACACGTAGACTCACACAGAGACCCATAGGCTCACACAGAGACCCATAGACTCACACAGAGACACGTAGACTCACACAGAGACCCATAGACTCATACAGAGACCCATAGACTCACACAGAGACCCATAGACTCACGCAGAGACCCATAGGCTCACGCAGAGACCCAAAGACTCACGCACAGGCCCTGTCGCAGCTCCACTCCCTCCTCTCTCACCACCGCCGCATGTCGGCGTTGGTGCCGTCTCCTTCTGTCAGAATCTCAAGGCATTACTCTCCCGCACCTCTGAACGTCATTTAAAGTTAAATTTGTGCACGTTACAAATTTGATAACGAATGGATTAGTGCTTCTGCATGCTGCGTCTGCCATTTTCTACCGTGATGTTTGGTTAATCTCGCGTGCATTCGCTCGCGCTTGTAAAGTACAGAGGAGCGTAGTCCTATGCTGCAAGCAGTGCGTGGTTTTCTTTTCTTCCCATTCAGCAATGGATTTACGCCACCCTCGTTGGCAGGACGGGTGGGGTAAGCGCTGCTGCTCCCCCTACTGTGTCGGCCGAAGGTCACACGAAGGGATCTCAGAGTTGGCTCCGTGATGTCCTCTTCTGCGGGCCCCTTCTCTGACGCGAAGGGGCCCGCAGCTGTTGCGCGAGAGTTCCGAATGCATTCCTCGGCTCGTGACGGTCGCACTGCTCGGATGAAGTTGTGGAAAAAGACGAATTGACAAAAGGGGATTGTTATTCATTATCAAAGGGTGATTTATTGTCGCATCATCATCATCATCATCACCGCTTAACGATTATACTGCGCCTCCCATGCAGTACATCCCGATGTTCTCGCGCAGCAGGGGACCCCCAGTGGCAGCTATCCCTGTGTGTCACAAGGTGAGCGCAGTATCGGCCAGCCAAGTTGGCCTTATTCTGCGAGTTAGGGGTGGGCGATGTTACCGCGTGTCTTTGCAGTTAAGTTGTCTACGAGCCATTGATCAAATATGGCAAATGTGGGCCGTGACTCCTGGCCCACTTGGCCCATTCCTATGCAAATGACGTCGCGCTATCTTGAAACATCCACGTCGAAGCGAGCATAGGTGTGCTATATGGTGACGAGATGTTAACTCCCTTGCCTGGTATGCAGGAGGTCGTGGGTTATATCCCAGCCCTGACGCCTGTATATTTGGAGTCTGCATGTTCTCCCCGTGGTCGCGCGTGGATGTTTCTCCGAGTCCTCCGATTATTCCCTCCACATTTAGAATCAACGTGTGTTCAAGAGTATTTGGCTGCTGTACATTTCCACATGTTAAGCCACTTCGTTGAGCTATCACTTGTGGCCACGTCGCTTCCGAAAAAGAGCTGTATAGCTCAGTGGGCCTTACCTGGTAAAATAAAATTGGTTTTAGTTTTATACGTTACGGTTAACACCGATGGGGCCTCGAGCCGACGGGTCGCCCGCAGCGAACGGCAAAACGTGCGACCACTCCGCCCGCTTCACCGCCCCGCCTCGACCTGCCCGCCAGTTGACGCCGTTGCCTGCCCCACAGGATCGGCTGGCGCCCGTGGTGCGGGCGGTGCGTGCCGCCGACTCCCCGGCGGAGCTGTACTCGCACCGGCCATCGTTCGTGCGCTTCGTCTTCGCCCACGACGAGCTGGCCGCCCTGCTGGCACCGCAGGCGCTGCGGGCGTGGCTGGGCCGCCTGCGTCCCACCCTCGCCGCTCGTCCGGCCGCAACCGCCTCCACCGAATTGACCGATTCCACCGCCTCCGTCGCTTCTGCCACCTCGAGGGCATCCGTCGCATCCTCGTCCTCCTCCGCCGCCGTTGCCGCCGTCCCGGTGATCCTCGACTCCGGCTCGTCCGTCCAGGAGAGCGGTCCCGGCACTGACAGAGGGATCGAGTTCCTGTCCGGGGCGGAGGCCATGGACGAGCGGAGTCACATGGCGGCGATGCTGGCGGTGTTGCAAAAGAGTTTGCACGCCGGCAGGGCCTTGTTGGTGCGTGACGCGACATAACCTGGTCGATACTCGTCAACCGTCTTGTTATTGTTCGATCCCCTCGGTCTGCTCGAGCAGTTGCTCGTGCTGCTGCTACATCAGTGCATTGCTCCTGCCTCCAAAACTCCTATCACCTTCTGCTCTTCTGCTCATTTCCTGTTCTGTTTCCACCTCTCCTTGGTCCGTTCCGTGATGCTGCTGCTGCTGCTGCAACTCTGTTGATGAGCATTTCTGCCATATTTTTGCCTTCCAAGTTTTGCGGTGTTTACTGACCGTACCAGTAACTCATTTTAGGTTGAGCTGATCTAGGGTAGGCCCAGAACCAGTTCAGATATTTTCCACTGATCTTAGCTGGAGCCTGAAATTGAACTCGGGTGCCGGGTTTGAAGCAAAGAGTGCTAACCAATACCATGCAGTATCATTCCCGACAGACACACACAAAGATAAAGATCCCCCGTATAGCCTTGAACAGACTTTTGGGGCAAGTGCTGTTAGCGAGCACCTATGAAGGCCGGAACGGTACACGAGGGGGTGGGTGGCCAGCACAACGCCCGACCGCCTTTGTCTCCCTAGTGGCGATGTTTACACACCGCACCAGGTACTCATTTGAGGCTGAGTCGACCTAGGGGAGGCCCGGGGACCGGTTCAGATAATCGTCACTGGTGTTGGCCGTGAGCGGCAATCGAACCCGAGTCGCCAGGTTCGTAGCGCAGCGCGCTAACCGCTACACTACCGCTCCCCACACACACACAGTTGCACACAAACGCAGAGACACACGGGCAGGACAGGTGCCATGAATCACACGTCGTCGAGCGTTCCTGATCGATTCACTTGTTGCACGCGGGTGACCCCGCGGCCCTCGCCCGCGCCTTGATTTGTCGATCGCTCGCTGGTTGTCGTTAGCTGCAAGCGCTGCTTGCCAATGGTGCTCACGTTGCAGCCACGGGAGCCAGCGTTGGGCGGGGATCAGACGGCGCCATGTTCGTGTGTCTCTACGTATGTATGTTGAACTTTTTTCGCACCGTACATAGCCGGACGTGCTTATCGGAGGTATGTGGGTAGGACAACAAACTTAACACAAAAAGCAGTTTTAAAATAAATGAGTTTTCAATCGCGATTATGTAAAAGTGCATAGCTCCAGTGGCCTTTTGTTACGGGAAGGAAGAGCGTTCCAGACGGCCGCAGAATCGCATCCGAAAGCGCGCGATGCAGTGGCCATCTCTGTTCGATGGCTAGCCAAAAGTCGCTGCGAGGATGATGGTTTACGTGTGTTATCAATCCCTGACCGTGAGCGACATTGACGGCAATGGGTGTCCTGAAGCCCGGCTGGTCAGAAGCCACGGCCGTCTCGGCCTTGGCTTCAGCTAATGGAGAGACAAAGGTGGTTGGATTTTGCGTGCCCTTGGTCTTCCACAATGTGCTGCAGCAGCAACCGTGCGTGAACCTAAATATACACGTGCGCGTTGATTGTTTAACCAGGTAAGAACTCAAGGGGGACGTGGGGGCGTTAGTCTTGATTGGTGATTGGTCAATATGATTCAATTAGGCTGATTTGGACGCCGATGCCTGTTGGGATGCTCTTTCGAATGACGTCAGGGAATGTTTAATGTCCACTGTGAAGCAGACGGCGCTTATTATTATTATTATTTATGGAGGTTATTACACCCGTAGTAATAATAAGAGTGGCCATTTGAATCGAATCTTGAACCTCTGCAACAAGCGCCCGAAAAAGCTCCGGCTTTGCCTCGGTTAGGGCCGCTGCGCTACGAACCCGGCGACCTGAGTTAGATTCCTGCTCGTGGCCAACAGCAGTGACGATTATCTGAACTGATCCTGGGCCTCCCCTTGTTTGACTCGGCCTTAAATGGGTACCTGGTGCGGTGTGTAAACATCGCCACTGGGGAGACGGTGGCGGCCAGGCGTGGTGCTGGCCACCCACCCCCTTCGTGTGCCGTGCCGGCCTTTAGAGGTGCTCGCTAACAGCACTTGCCCCAACAGTCTGTTCAGGCTGTACGGGGGATATTTGGTGTAGTGGTTTTCACGCCGCACCATGAACCCGACCACCTGGGTTTGATTCCTGACCATGGTTAACATGAGTTTCGATGATCTGTTATCTGTGCCTGGGGCTTCCTGCAAGAGACTGCGCGGGGACTCTTCGTTTCTAACGTGCGTGCATGCGTGCGTGCATGCGTGCGTGCGTCTGTGCGCGCGTGTGTGCGGTCGCAGAAACTGGTGTGCAACGGTGAGCGCGGCGAGGCGGAGAGCGCCCTGAGCCTCACGCGGCGGTGGGCGTGCGCCGCCGCGTGCCGCTCACCCACGCTGCTGCTGCTGTGCTCCTCGCTCCCCGACGTCCTGCAGCGAGCCGCACACGGAGGTGGTCGCTCGCACGCACGCACGCACGCACGCTCGCTCGCTCACTCACCACCCGCAGCTCGCCTCCCAGAGCTCGCTGCTCCCACCGCCGCTCGCGAAACAACGAACGCAGAGCCGCGAGCGTCGACGATCACCGTCCGCCGTCTCCGAGAGTTTTCTTCGCCTCCCTCCCCCCCCTCCTCCCCTCCGCGGACAGATGGACGGATAGAGTTGTTGTTTTTCCACCTCGGTTACAAACTGCGAATCGTTTCAAACAAAAAAAACGTATTCCGGATGTGTACAAACGGCTGAGTTGCTCACCGCTCACACCGTTTGAACCCCTACCGCGTGCCACCCACCGTTCACTGCTCACCACCACCCACGGCTCACCGCTCTCAACGCTCACCCATCATTGCTCGTGAAGCAGTGGACACGGAATCATGGGCAGCACCCACACGGGGGAGGGTTGAGCAGAGGGCTGCAGTTTTCTCATCGCTGCACGGCGGCACTGGGCCTCACTCATCGAGAGAACGAAGTTGGAAATAACTTTTACAAAGTCTGCCTTTGCTTGCGTGAACGAAAATGAGCATAAACGGTCTGCAGCAGCCATCAGATGGCTTTTAAAAAAATGTTGGGGGCAAGGGAGTTTTGGGTGGGGGGGGAGTGGGGGGGGGGGAATAGCCTCCTCTACCCCCACTCCACCCCCCTCTACCCCCACTCCACCCCCCTCTACCCCCACTCCACCCCCCCTCTACCCCCACTCCACCTCCCCCACTCCCCGGGTAAGCGGTGGGCGCCCTCTGAAATAGCTGCCCACGGGGCTACCCAGCCCTGATGCGGCAGGGAGGGGACGTCTGAATGCCTATTGCAATTGATTGGCACTAATTGTCAAATTTGACGAATTAAGGGGCGTGATGTGACACAGATGGTCTTTTAGCGACAATAATAATTTAATTTAATTTATGTGACTGTTGCTTAACGACGTGAAGGCCCATTGGTATTCATTGCCTCCTTTTTTTTTCCCGGGGCGAGCTCTAGGTAGCGCAATTACTTACGGTCAATTGTTATTATTTTGTCATTTAGTCGCAGATCATAATGAATGAGGGAGATTAATTCATTTGCGAACCATAATAATACTACAATGATAATTATTTTGTCAATGCTTGCAGTCAGTCATTTACAATCATAACGTGGGCACTCGTTAATTTTAATATTCAAAACATACTATTAACATTGCTAATGAGTGGCGTTCAGCCATCACAAATAGTGTTTTATGGAACTCTTACATCACAATCACGTGCTTGAGCAGAGGACTAGTTACTGATTACGGCCGTGCATGGGGACGCGGCATGCTCGCTGGCGCCAGTGGTTTTTAAGGAAGACTCACCTACCTCCTGTTGCCTCGCCCTTCTAATCTCACTCTACTCCTCGCACTCTTGTACCTCTCCCCTCTCATCTCACTCTACTCCCCTCCACGCACTCTCCTGCCTCTCCCCTCTCATCTCACTCCACTCCCCTCCACGCACTCTCCTACCTCTCCCCTCTCATCTCACTCTACTCCCCTCCACGTACTCTCCTACCTCTCCCCTCTCATCTCACTCTACTCCCCTCCACTCACTCTCCTACCTCTCCCCTCTCATCTCACTCTACTCCCCTCCACGCACTCTCCTACCTCTCCCTCTCATCTCACTCTACTCCCCTCCACTCACTCTCCTACCTCTCATCTCACTCTACTCTCCTCCACGCAATCTCCTACCTCTCCCCTCCCATCTCACTCTACTCCCATAATATAGGTTTTTACGCGATCTAACCCAAAAAAACCTATATTATGGATGATATTCGTTGCAAAAGCCTACGTGTTAAGCCACTCTCATCCCCTCCACACACTCTCCTACCTCTCCTCTCTAATCTCACCCTACTCCCCTCTTATCTCACGCTACTCCCCGCCGCATACTCCCTGCTCCAACAACCCTTGACGCTGTCGACAACTCAACATTGCTGCATTGTAAATTGCATCGTTGACCCTCCAGGCATCTTCCTTCGGTGCACAACTTGCGCCGCAGCGCCATCTCAATCTCCTCTCTGGCCTGTACAATTCTACCCATAATTCTGTTCTCTAACGTAAAAAAAGCCCTCTTCAAACTCTCCGAATTGGCAGTTTTCTGCCGTATCGCGAGGCGAGCGTCCTGAGATGCGCGTGCATTTGGGGCGCTCCATAAATCAGTCTGGCATCTCTGAGCCACGGGGAATCGGACGTAAACTGGTTAACGAGACCCGATAACATTTGCCTGCCCCCTCTTCCTTCAGGGCAACCTGGGGGGCAGAGGAATAGTGCAAGGGTCACCGACCTGTGCCACCGGCTGCTTCTCTCCCGCTGATTCAATCCATCGCTTTCTCTTTGCGGCCCTCCCTCCACCCCCCCCACACCCCAAATTATCTTCTTCGTTGTGGGATCCACCTACCTCTCTGGCCGTCTCTGTGTGCTGCGAACAAGGGCCTTTGCCATGAAACATCGCCTCTTATTTGCGTCTTCTTTTTGAGGTCACAGTGGTATGTTTATTCTTTAAAGCATTCACATAGGTAAATTAGTGGAATGTTAATCATCATCATCATAATTGCATCCTTTATTTTTCCCCGGAAAGCCATGCCGAGTCTCGAGATTCGTTATCAGGAGGGTCCTGCCACATTATCGGAATGTTTGGCCAATGGCATCAGTGAGTGTTTTGCCTTCGCGTGGGAGTAAACTGGGGAACACAGAGGAAATACACACACACTATCCTCACAGACCAAGTCTACGACACGGTGGTATTCCCAGGCAGTCTCCCACCATCCAACTGCTAACCTACCTCAACCCTGGCCAGCTTCCAAGATCCCACGAGATTAGGAGCGGTAAGGGTGATTTGGGCTTGGGAAACCTCTTCAAAACTTTAACTCGGACCAGTCACAAATTAACGCCAACGCGTGTCGATTGTTTCAATGTCAAAAACTTTGCCCCAGCTTCCGTGCGTGCGATGGAGCCGCCCGCCCCCCCCCCCCCCCCCCGGAGTTCAACACTTTTTTTGCCCGTTCGGAGACAGGGTCCAGTGGTGTTACCGCCTTGCGTCAAAACAAATGTCACAGGGCCACTGCAGAAGACCCCAGCAACGTAGTCCCTGCAGCCGCCTATGAAACATGTTATGCACGGCGGTCACCCATCCAAGCACAGCTGTCCACGCTCAACCCTGCTTGGCTCGTGAGATCTGATGAGATTGGGTGGATTCTGGGTGAATCGGTCACAGGCTTTACTTATTTACCCGAGTTAAAAAAAAGCCTCCCCCTTGATTTAACGAATCTGTCCTTGCGTCTCATGGCAGCAAAACCGTATGGTTACGCTCGTTGGTAAGTGGCTAAAAAGCGCGTCCGTGTGCTCGAGGAACTGTGCCCTTTCACGCCGCGCTAACGGAACGTCTGGCCCCTGCGTGTGTCGAACCCCCCCGCCCCCGTCACAGACGTGTGCAACCTGCCCCTCATGCTCGGAGCTCTCTGCCACCTGCAGCTGCAGGGCGCCCTGGATCACAGCTCGGAGGAAGTCTCCTTCCGGCTGCTCTACCAAGGTGTGCCTCCACGTGCAGCCCTCTGCGGTTAGGGCGGATCCGCTGGCGGGCACCCTCAGTTACTCCGCTCTATCTCTCTCCATGGTGGCCAATGCTGGTGGCCGGCATTGGTGGCCAATGTTGGTGGCCGGCGTTGGTGGCAAATGTTGGTGGCCTGCGTTGGTGGCCAATGTTGGTGGCCTGCGTTGGTGGCCTGCGTTGGTGGCCTGTGTTGGTGGCCAATGTTGGTGGCTTGCGTTGGTGGCCGACGTTGGTGGCCTGTGTTGGTGGCCAATGTTGGTGGCCGGGGTTGGTGGCCAATTTTGGTGGCCTGCGTTGGTGGCCAATGTTGGTGGCCTACGTTGGTGGCTTGCGTTGGTGGCCTGCGTTGGTGGCCGGCGTTGGTGGCCTGTGTTGGTGGCCAATGTTGGTGGCCGGCGTTGGTGGCTGGTGGCCATTGTTGGTGGCCAGCGTTGGTGGCCAATGTTGGTGGCCAGCGTTGGTGGCTGGTGGCCAATGTTGGTGGCCAGCGTTGGTGGCCAATGTTGATGGCCGGCGTTGGTGGCCGACGTTGGTGGACTGCATTGGTGGCCGGCGTTGGTGGCCAATGTTAGTGGCTGGTGATGGTGGCCGGCATTGTTGGCTGGCATTGGTGGTCTGCGTTAGTTGCCGGCATTGGTGGCCAATGTTGCTGGCCGGCATTGGTGGCCGGCGTTGGTGGCCAGCATTGGTGGCCAATGTTGGTGGCCGGCATTGGTGGCCGGCGTTAGTGGTAAATGTTGTTGGCCGGCGTTTGTGGCCTGCATTGGTGGCCGGCGTTGGTAGCCGGAGCTGTGGTGGCCAGAGTTGGTGGTTGGTGTTGGTGGCCGGAATTGTTGCTCTTTACTGGTGCTGGATGTTGGTGGTCAGGATTGTTGCAAGGATTCAACCCTAACCCTCAGCAGTTTGATGAATGGGTTCCACTTAACTATCTATGGTTATTTCACACTTCCATTACTGTGCTCCCTGAGCCCCAAAACCAATTTTGATTGGCTGCAGTAGTAGTTCTCAGAGCTGTAATATATTTTTCACTGGAGTGCCCCCGATGTGATGCGGTGTGCGGTTGATGTGAGCAGTACGGCGTGCGGTGCGGTGGGGGGTGCGGTGATGTGTGCTGCGCGGGGTGGCGATCCGTGCGGTGTGTTGCGAGCAGTGTGGTGTGGCAAGCAGTACGATGTTGAGTGCAGTACGGTGTGGGGAGCTGTGCAGTGTGCGTTGTGTGGTGAGCAGTGCGGTATGGTGAGCGGTGCGGTGTGGTGAGCGGTGTGGTGAGATTTGCGCAGTGGTGAGTCATGCGGTGTGCATTGCGTGGTGAGCAGTGTGGTAGGGTGAGATGTGCGGTGTGGTGAGCAGTGCGGTATGCATTGCGTGGCGTGCAGTGCGGTGAGCCGTGCGGTGTGGTGAGCAGTGTGGTGTGCGTTGCGTGGCGAGCAGTGTTCCGGGTGGTGGAGCGAGTGAAGAGCGCGAGGGCGCCGGTGCTGCTTCCGGCGTTCTCCTTCGTGTACGCGAGCCTGGGCCAGGGAGCGGGGGACAGCTGGGGCCGCAACTCCGGGGACAGCCGCGGTGAGACTCGCGCACGCGCTCACCACCCTCGCCGCCCTCGCTCTATCTCCACAGCACCGAGGGCGTGGACCGACGCCTGGGAACCACGCCATCCTCACCGCCCTCACCACCTTAATTCAAATCACAGCCCTTACCGTACCTCACCACCATTGCCAATCTTTTCCAGCCTCGCCAATCTCATCGCCCATTCCATTGTCACGATACATCTCGACCACACTTCAGCCTCACCACCGTCACTGCCATCACATCCATGGCCGTGCCCCTCACTCCCTCACCCTCCTTATTCCATCTCTCCCCACCCACTGCCCTCACCCACCTTACCACCATCACCGTCGTCGCCTCCGTTAATACCCTTGCCTCCCTTTCCCCCCCCCCCCCCCTTAACTTCCTCTCTCCTCCCCGCCCCACCACTCCCTCCTCATCCACCTCACCGCCCGCTGAGCTAAGAGGCACCGTTGACGATCTCCGCCTTAATTAGCGGCGTTTCCAGCCGGGGCGCTCGCTCAACCCGCTCGCCGTGGAGCAGCTGTAATTATTGGAGCGATCGTAATGGTTTACATTATTTGAATATTTTGTTAATTCACCGGGAAACTCCTCCCAAGTTCCCATTACACTTTTAACGGTGGCTTAAACCGTTAACTAAATGTGTTTTTGTATGCGTCGGAAATTAACGTCGTTCTCTTGGCTCTTGCTTTTTTTATTATTGGGAGGTAATACAAACAGGGTGTTGAATTTAACTTTATGAGCGCGCGCTTGCGTGCGTCGAGAGAAGAGGGAAAGAATTCTGCTTTCCGCGATGGTGGCTATTCGCTTCAACGCGGCACGGATGCTGGTCACGTAACTCCGGGGTGGGGGGGCAGGGGGCGGGGGGTGGCGGTGGGGGAGGGGGGATGGGGTGGCAAAACCCCGACGGGTTTAGAGAGACGTCGCCCCGTGATTACAACGCGAGACCTCTTTTTGCTATTTGTGATTACGCGCACAGCGGCAATCATCACCTCCTACTGGCAGACTAACGCCCACTCGCAGGCAAGGTGACGAGTCACCTTGTGCCGCACAGGGACAGCTACCCCTGGGGGTTCCCTTGGCTGGACCTCATAGCAATCCTACACTCCGAAATGGAATCAATTGAAAATTAAAGACAAGCAACAGCACGGTTGTGGCCATGTAACCCAAGCTATGGACCTCATAGTAAACCGCTTTAGTCTTCTCTTCTTCAGCAGGGGAGTAGAAAAACCACAGCAACTTTCCACTGAAGCCCTCTTGTGGCCAGCGGCAGACGTCGGGCATTGGCTCCTGAACTTATTGCTGCGACACGCAAGAATAGAATGAAATCTCACCCACCTGGCAGACTTATCGCCAGCCTGCAGGCCATGTGCTGAATCGCCCTGTGCCGCATGGGGATAGCTGCCACTTGGGGTGCCTTTTCAAATGTGTTTAGATGACACGTGATGCATCTTGCGTATTGCATGTGAAGCCCTCTGAGACGCCCTGGAGTAAAGGGCACTCGATCAAATACAAATTATTATTATTATTACATTGCGGACGGACGTGAGCAGAGGGATGGTCAGTCGCGAGGCAGCTTACGGAGCAGGTAGGATCACATCAGGCTGGAGACAGAGGAACCACGTGGATGAGAGAGCATCCGCGGGTTAAGGCACAATGCACTCTTCTAAGAAACGTGTGGGCTAGGGCAGGACTCGTCACTGGAAGGGATGGCGATGGCCGGCGGTCGAGAGTGGTGACAAAGCGGCAACCAAAAAAATGGAATGCACACCAGAAGGAGGAGATGGAGCGATGAAATCGACTTGCGTGTGCAGGTTGCTTGGCGGATTATTACATCGCCGGATCGCGAGAGCAGGTGGCTTGGAGAGGCCTGCACCCAGCGGTGGATCTACCCTGGCCCATGGTGATGATGATGATCGATGGGGATCACCATCTATTACTGTGGAGGCACAAAGGGCTCGGCAGATGTTTAATCTCGGGACCCAGCTCCGAAGAAGGTCCACTGCCTGAAATATCTAAAACAAGCACCATCTGTATTGTGGCCCGGTAAACGCACTTTTGGGCCGCACTGTATTTTCTCTGTCATTCGGCGGCGTTGATGACGAATGTGCCGAGCGCTATCGCTCTCTCCCTCGTTCATTTTAAACAAACGACCTGACTGGAAGGTCAGCGAGTGCGCTAACGGGCCCTGCGTCAACTCTCAGACTTAACCCAGCCTCATTATTTTCCACGGCCGCGACGATCTGAAAAGAAATTACGGCATAGCATCGGGTCTTTGAACACGGGATCAGCAGTCATCTTCATGCGTAAAGTTTTTGTGCCTTCCAAGTTACCGAGCTGTGTTTACCGTCAAGTGACTTTTAAAACATACGTGCACATATCGATACACATATCCATACACGTATGTATGATCCACGTTAACCGCAGCTTCGTGCGCCGATTCCGCTGGGGCGCCCCAGCGAAACAAACCGTTTCCATCTCGCGTGTTCCACTCTCGGCTCGAGTATCTCTTATAAATAACTGAGAGGACCATGGCCTCGTAAATGCGAAGCGACGTGGGCCCCCCCGCGCTTCTCCCCGCTCTCGCGCCCCCTTGCGCGCTTCCTCGCCGCCATTGCTTTCTTCCCCGCTTGGCTTTTTCCGTCGGCTCGAGATGGGTACGCCGAATTAATTATTTTGGCAGTAACAGCTAATCGCCGTAATTTGCCGGCTGTAATTAGGAGTCATTTCATTACGCTCGCTGCAGGGCCGATAAACTGCGCAAGATTTTTTTTTCTATTTTTTTTTTTGCCTCTCAAAGGTGGGTGGAAATTACAGGCGGACAGCCGGTGGATTAAGGAAAGTAATTTAGTCCAATTTCCATAATGGACGTGTGTGCGTTTACCAGCCCACAACACGCTTTTGAGAACCCTCGCGTGATTGATCGAGACGCGCTGTAATATATTTTTTATGCAGGTGCGCATTTACCGCAAATGAATTATTTAAACCCCTGTCCACATGGGCCCTCCTCATGTGTGGCAATTTGAGTGCGAGGGCGATGACCCGGCGTAATAATTTTAACCCAACTTTCACAGATTTCCATTTTTTTGCGAGAGCCGCGTTGCGCATTTGTGCGTGAGTGCGGTGGGGAGCGGTGATGTGGCGGTCAGCGCTACGCTGCGCTACGAACCCGGCGAGCCGAGTTCGGTTTACGCTCACGGCTAAAACCAGTGATGATTATCTGAACCGGTCCTGGGCCTCCCCTGGGTCAACTCGGCCTCAAATGAGTACCTGGTGCGGTGCGTAAACATTGCCACTAGGGAGACAAAGGCGTTCGGGCGTGGTGCTGGCTACCCACCCCCTCATGTGCTGTGCTGGCCTTCATAGGTGCTCGCTAACAGCAATTAGTAAGATTTGTCACGTAAACAGAACAGCCTGACACAGCCAATTAGTAAGATTTGTCACGTAAACAGAACATGCCAATTTGTTACTAGTACAACATTTACAAGTGTGGCTTTGCTCTCCAACACACCGGTGTGCTGTACTAGGAACGAATTGGCATATTCTGTTTACGTGACAAACCTTACCAACTTGGCTGTGCCGGGTGGTGGCGGGTTTAACGACACATTTATATATTTACGCGATCTTGGTTTTTCTTGTCTTCTCGGTTGGTTTTGTTTCGTACCGAACCAAGTGCTGGTCAGGAGAAGCAAACCGTGAATCATCTCCCGTGAAGCCCTGCAGCACCCACAATGCACTACTCAAGATTTGGCAATGCCATCATCAGAAGCGGTGTGCCTGTGCAGAATATTGGGAAAAGACCCGTGTAGGTTGGACAGGAGACGTGATGAAGAAGAAGATTCGTACCGCTAGCCCAACTGCATCGCTCGAAATATAACCTGCGTGCAATTCGCGCAGATCGATGCGGTGCGTGTGCTGCGAGCACGAGAGGGAAATTTGAAACGACAAGTCGATGGGTTGCGATGTGCCTCGTGGTCGGTTTCCGCCAGGCGTGGCGATGTGTTGACAGCCAATCACAATTAGTTTTGGGAGTAAGGGGTATGACCGGTCATGCACGGGGGTCAGCTGTTTGGAATTTCTGGATATAAGCACACCATATATAATCGCATATATGTAAGCATCACATATTTACGTGACACTGGTGGGTCAACGAAGAAGGGAAACTTCTAATACAAGTACATGACTTCAAAATAAGCTCAGCTGGCCTTGCTTCTTCCCAAGGAATGTGCTTATGTCTGGCTTAATAGCTTGTTGGTCACATGGTTCCTCTGTCACAAGCCCCTCGAATGCCCGTCCATGGGCCAGAGCAGAAATTGGCAAACCCAAACTGTTAGCACAGAACCCACCCTTATTGGCCTCTTAAAGACATTGCAATCCACTAAATTGATGCCACCTAGGGCAGAACCGACAAGTGCAATATCTGGTATGTCCCACTGTGGGGTGCCACGGTGGTGAGATGTTAACTACCTCGCCTGGTATACAGGAGACCGTGGGTTCGATACCGGCCCTGACGCCTGTATATTTGGAGTTTTCATGTCTCTGTTCGCATGGTCGCGTGGATTTTTCTCCGGGTCATCTAGGTTTTTCCCTCCACATTTAGAAATTACGTTTCGAGTTTTTGGCTGCTATACATTTCCACATGATGATAAGCCACTTCGTTGAGCTATCATTTGTGGCCAGGTCGCTTCTGAAAAAGCGCTATATAGCTCAGTGGTTCTTATCTGGTAAAATAAAAAAAAAATTGTTTAGTTTAGATCTGGCACGTGGTGCAGTGAACCTTGCAACCTGAGCCAATGCATCTCTCCGCACGCCTCGTGCCGGCTTCACCGCTCCGGCAACGGGGAAGGGTGTGCGGGATGCACGGTGCCCAGCCTGGCAGCAGCGCCGGGCTTCTGGCTTCACCTGTCGTCGCCGTCACCCACGGCGCATTTGCCTGCTGCGTGTGTGCCTGCTGCGTGTGTGCCTGCTGCGTGTGTGCCTGCTGCGTGTGTGCCTGCTGCGCGTGTGCCTGCTGCGTGTGTGCCTGCTGCGTGTGTGCCTGCTGCGTGTGTGCCTGCTGCGCGTGTGCCTGCTGCGTGTGTGCCTGCTGCGCGCGTGCGTCAGCCGTGGCGTTGGCGCTGTCCAGCGAGCGGCTGCTGGCGCTGCTGCAGGAGGCGGTGCAGCCGCCGGTTGACGACGAGTCACCGTGGCCGCCACCGGCGTGGCCGTGCGAGTCGGAGCTGCTGGGCAGCGCTTGGCTGCTGCTCTCGGCGCTGCTCGGGTGCCAGGCGGCGCACGGCATCGAGGTGAGGGGTCGTGAGGTTCCTCCCCGTCCCCTCCCTGCAAACCCCCCTCTTCCCCCCCTCCGCCCTCCGCACACTCTTCGCCATGCGGCCAAAGCCCTGTGTGCATGCACGCTGGCCCTTGGAACAAATTGCCTGCGGTCAAATTCACACCTCTACCAAAACCACAAAGGCAAAGATCCCCCCGTATAGTGTTAACAGACTGTTGGGGCAAGTGCTGTTAGCGAGCACCTATGAAGGCCGGCACAGCACACGAGGGGGTGGGTGGCCAGCACCTTTGTCTCCCAAGTGGCGAAGTTCACACACCGCACCAGGTACTCATTTGAGGCTGAGTCGACCTGGGGGATGCCCAGGATCGGTTCACTACTCCCCTATATCTACCCACACCAGCCACACCTTTGCCATGGGGCTATCGTGGACATCTCCGCATATAGCCGCTTAACATACCCCCGCTGCACACACAGCCCCTCGTCCCAGGTTACCGCACACACCTCAACAAACACCCCCACCCCATGCGCCGCTTGCCAAACACTGTCACCCTTTGTGTGACTCACCTCAAGTTCACACTCCTCCACGACCAAGTCAATTATGCCAGTTGAGTTGGGTTATCAGCAGAGCCAGACGAATGTTTAAAAGCAGCGTAGATTTAACCACTTTGTTTACGACGTTTCGCATCCCAGTTTTTGCCGATAAACAATATCAGTTTCTATATTTGCCCATAACGCGACGACTTGATTTGATATTCTCCGTTGGGTGGTGGAGGGCTACAGTAAAAATAACTTTGTATCCCACACGACGACCCAACCCAGAAGAGACCGCCCGTGAATCGCGACGCACGCCTCACCAACGTGGGCGCTCGGCGTTCTGTAAACCACTCACCCCAAGCGTCGCCTTCCCCTCCATGGGAGATGCTTGGTCACGTAGTGCCACGCGTACCCCACCCGGTACCACCAACCTTGCCCCCCGCGCACCACGGCCCGCCCGCTCACCTTCACGATGTCACGCCACCTGTTCGCATCGCTCGCCGGGGCTACGCGCCACGACTTGCTGGAAGCTTCATTTTTTCACCTGAAGACGATTGCTTGTGTTGCGATGGAAACGTCGTGATTCTTTATTATTATTTTTTATTCACGTGACTTTACCGAAAGACGAAAAGAGTATGGAAGCTTCATTTGTGGAAACAAGTCAAGGTCATGCTGACTTCTAACCGCCCCCCGTCCCCCCGGTGACATCGCTATGACATCACTGCTTTCCGTTTTTAATATGTCGGTGCACGGTGCCATCACTGTAGTGCTATGGTGGGGACACCTGATCGTCATTTTAGAGTTTTGTCTTTGTTATCAACGTAACTTCAAATCCATCCCGGGCAGTGCAGGACGCGCGACCTGGTTGTGCATTCAGAGCACGAACGCCGTTGGATTTTTTGTTGTTGCGTTTGTCATTCGATCGGCGCGGCGGTCATGCCCACACACCATGGTCCTCGTCATCATCGTCATACATAATTGGCCTTGATCAATCCACTGCTGAATGAAGGCCTCGCTAAACCGTCGCCGTCTCTCAGGGCCCCGTGATGTAACCCAGGCACCCAGGCAGTAATCGACCGACAACTCAAAAAAAGACACGAGACTGCGATGGCCCACGATCGGTGCTGCCGACAAATCACATCCGTCCGCCCGTCCAACAGTCGATCCGTCTGTCCATACCTTCCGTTTGTCCGTCAGTCCATTTGTCCGTCAGTTCATCAATCCATCCGGCAGTTGATCAGTCCCCCATCCTTCCGTCTGTTCTTCAGTCAATCCCGTCTGTCTGCGAGTCCATTCGTCGATCCGTGTTTTTGTCAGTGCACCCCGTCTGTTCGTCACTCAGTCCATTCATCCGTTAGTCGTCCGTCCGTCCGTCCGTCCGTCTTTCCGTCTGTCCGTCCGTTTTCTCTGTCCGCTCGCCTGCCAACGACGAGAGAAAAAAATAAAAACATCCTGCAGCTCCGCGCAGCGCGTGGCCGGCAGCTTGGAGCAATTTCAGAGGTGAGATTTACAGCGGCGATGAGCGGGAGCAGCCGAGATCGGGCTACGATGACTGCCGCGCCGGAGCCCCCCGTCAGCAGCAGCAGCAGCGGCAGTGCAGATAACTTAATCTAGAGGCGCGCGCGCGCAATGGCACAAAGGGAGCGTGTTGCATTGTTGACAGAGCTGATAAAACACCCAATTTAAGGCAAGCTGTTAAGTCGCTTGGGAGATTTCAGAAGCTGTGACGTTTATAGATTAATTTGCTGCTCGAAAACAAAAAACAAGCGTGCAATTCTTGCGGGAGCTCGAGATGAAAGCGTCTAATTAATCAGTCAATTACAAGTTACCCCAATTGAGGAAATTCCCTAAGCAGAAACGAGTGTTTTTTTTCTGCGTTCGTGGTTGTTTTATTTGTTGTTGTTGTTATTTTTTGTTCTTTTCACCGGGGGTCGTGGGGGAGCTGCAGGTGCGTGGATGCATCAGTGTGGATCCTCTTGTCCTGCTGGCGCCGCTCACCGGGAAGCGAGGAGCGTCTGGGCTGCTGCAAGGTGACGGCGGGGTTGAAGGGTGTCTGGTTGGCGGGCTGTCGTGCGCGTCCACGCTGCTGGGCGGCGTGTGTACCTGGTGAGCTAGGGGGTGTCTCCTGAGCAAGTTGTCTGGTGGGCAGGAGAGAATGTCTTGTTGGCACGATGTCCTGATGTCCAGAGTGCTGGGACCCCAGTGGATCAGCCAACTGCGTGGCAATGGGGGCAAGGTGTCCGATGGGCGAGGGAGTCTTCTAGCGGGCAGTGTGGTGGGCCGGGTGTCTTCTTGACAGATGCGCAGGACGCCAAGCAAGCCAGTAGGCTGGGTGTCGGTGAGGTGCACTAATGAGCAGGGTGTCCTGAGGGGGGGCGCAGGGTGTCTAGCAGACATTGTTTTGATGGGCAGGAAGTTTGAGGTTGAAGGTGTCATCTGTACAGAGTACTACTTGGGCCTTATTCTAATAGTTGCAGGGTGCCAAGCAGGTAGGTATCATCCGGTGGGCTGGGTGTCAGCAAGGCACACTGATGAGCAGGGTGTCTGGCAGGCAGGGGCAGGGCAGGGGCAGGCCGGCGGGGGCTGTCCGTGCCGCGGCCTGCACTCGTCGCTGTCTCACCCCGTCCGCCCGCGTGCGCCCCTCTCCGCCCGCGCGGTAATTGCGACGCGCACCTGTTGGCGTGGGCCTGGCACTTGCCTTTAATTTTCATCCTGCATCATGAATCACAATTAAGTCCTGTAAACGCCTGTCTGTGGTCCTCGGAGGTGGGCTGTGTGGCGGGAGGGGGGGGGGCTGCGTGGTGGGTATTTGCCACGGGATGCTCGCCGTTCCCACTCAACAGCCGCTTGACGTCCGCTTAATAAATGGGCGTCAAGCTCTGGCGAGATGCAGCCGCTGCAATCGCACGCGGATGCAGTCTCTTGACGGACGCTTTGGTGTAACGTTTCGGTTTGGGGGGGGGCGGTGGGAGGAAGGGGGGGGGGTGGGAGGGTCGGAACAGCCTGCATGGACGGTGCTCGCCCGCCTGCCCACCCTCACCGGGTGCCGCCGCGGCCCTGATTGATACTAAATTGGCGTTGGAACTCATTTTAGAAATTGGAGTCGCGCCACGGTGTTGTGCCCTGGGCCTCGGCCGGTGTTAATAATCATTTTTCACGCGATGACATCCGGAACACGGGACCGCGGCCAGCGCGGCTTGATTACACGTGACCTGGCGTGCGCGCGCGTGCCCTGTAATGTTTGTCGCCGAAACGCACCGGGCTGTCCCCCACCCCCCACCTGCACACGCAGGCGCGCACACGTGCACGCGCGCTCGTATTTGCGTTCGTCCCTGTGTGTGTGTTTTTGTACGTGTGCGCTGCGCTACGAACCCGGCGACCCGAGTTCAATTGCCGCGTGCACAACCAACACCGGTGACGACTACTTGAACTGGTCCTGGGCCTTCCCTAGGTCGACGAGGCCTCAAATCAGTACCTGATGCAATGTCTAATCATCGCTACTGAGGAGAGAGAGGCGGCCAGGCTTGGTGCCGGCCACACACCCCCTCGTGTGCCGTGCCGGCCTTCAAAGACGCTCGCTAACGGCAACTGCCTTGAAAGTTTGTTCAGGCTATACGGACGGGGGCGGCAGTGTAGCGGTTTAGCGCGATGCGCTACGAACCCGGCGACGTGACCTCAGTTTCAACCTCACGGCCGACATCAGCGAGGGATATCCGAATGGTCCCGCGCCTCTCCAGTGTGAGCGTGCACGTGCGTGCGTGCGTGCTCGCTCGCTCGCTCGCGCACGTATATAAACATTCCCGCTCGCGGGAGCAGATTGCATTGCGGGCACGTTAAAGGGGCGGCCGTTATTTACGACGCGTCGGGGGTTTCGCCACTTTTTTCTCTTTGCGTCATTATCAGCCTGCGATGGAGGAGGGTGGGGTGGGGGGGGGCGTGAGGGGGGTTGGGGGGGGGGTGGAGACGCCGTTGGGATGTCAATCTTCAACGCTCGCGGGTTCAACCCGGGGCGGGGGGGGGGGGGTCCGCGGGCGCGGGCGGTCAGAGGGAGCCGTCGATCGCGACGCACGCGACGTGGCCTGCGCGTGCTGCGTTAAACATTTAATAAAGTCGTAAATAAGGGAGGGTTGGAATAAATGACTCCTGGCTCACCCGACGGATATACGGGCAGCCAACTGGATGCCTTCATCAAAATTGCATTTACTTTTTTTTGGGTGGGGGGGGGGGGTGCGGTGGTAGTGGTTGGGGGCTGTAATTTTCAAAAATAAGGTAACAAGCTGTTTGCGACGATGGCAGTGTTTTTTTTTTGGGAGCTGCTGCCTCTGGCGCCGAGTCGTGAGTGGAGCGGCGCTGAGCGGGCCAGGGCAGCCGTGCCTTCCTCCAGGCCTCTCTCGTCACACAGGTGGTGCGGCCCGGATCAGTGCAGTTCAACGCACTTCAGGGCGCCTCGCCGCTTGTGCGCGTTGCGCGCGCGCGTGCCTTCGTCTCGTCCGGGACGACCTAGCGGGGGGGGGGGGGGTGGCGGCGGGGTGGGGGGCGGCGAGTTCGTCCCAGAACCGGTTCAGATATCGCGCACCGCCGCTTACGTGAGCCGCGGCTGGGAATCAAACGGAGGCCGCCAGGTTGGTATCGCAGTGCACTCAACGTGGCCGCTGGGGAGACAAAGGCTGGGCACACCACCCCGTCGTGCGCGCCGCGTCGGCCGGCACATGTGCTGGTTGGCAACACTTGCCCCAACAGCCCTGAAGGCTATCGATGGGTGGGGCGGGGGGGGTGAAATCTTTGTGTTTGCGCGTGTGCAGTGTGCGCCCTGCAGCTGCTCAAGACGCTGCTGGGCTTGGGCTTCGCGTCGCCGCTGCTCCGCATCCGCACGGCTACGGCCCCGAGCGACGCTCCCGCCAGCGACGTGGACGCCTCTCTGCGGCCGCTCTCATTGGACCACGTCACACACCTCGCCGTCGCGCTGGACAGACACCTGGTGCAGGTAGCCTCCTTCCTCCCCCCACCCACCCAGTGCCAGTGGCGCACGTTCGCCAAAAGTCCCGACGGAGAGAGCCGATGCCTGCGTCGGGGGAGCCCACGTCTCCCTTGCATAGTAACGCACAAGTACATGTCCAGGACTGACAGACAAACGGACAGCCTCGGGGGAAGCTGAATGCGAGTCTGCAGCTCGTCATTAGGTGACCTTGAAACTTACCTACTCATTATAAACTGCATACACTCCCTTCCTTCCCCCCCTCCCCCCACCTCCCAACCAATCCTGCTCCGGGCTTCCATGCCCCGTAACTATATTTGCCGCCAATGGATACTCCAATGCCTCCGCTGAATGATTTATTAACCAAGGCTATGCCATGCCTCACAGTGCGGTCCCCCACGGTCTGTGTAGTATTTTCATGGTCGCGTGTCCGTGGGGCTTTCGCTGGGTTTTCCGCTTGAATGTACATACGCATGTTGAACGTCTTTCGCACTGTACGTAGCCAACCGTGCTATTCGTAGGTGCGGGGGATGGACAAACTAAGCACTAAAAGCAGTTCCAAAGAAATGAGTTTTAATCTACACTTAAAAGTGCATTGCTCCAGTGGCTTCCTAATATCGGAAGGAAGAGCGTTCCAGACGGCCGCAGAAACGCATCTGAAAATGCATGAATGCAGTGACCGAATAGGTGGTGGCTGCATTTGGCACCACCTGTTTGGCTGCCTGTGCCACCATTTTTTTGAGGCCGAGTTCATCCAGGGGTTCGCTGGATGTTTCGGGGATCAGACGTTCATTGCTTTTTTCGGAAAAAAGATTTCCATGAATAGGGACACGTGCTGGAAATGTTCCAGCATCTCCCATTCAGTCGTTACGATGCCCAGCTGTAGTTTTGTTTTTGCTTAGCGGACTCCTGATGACAGCTGTCCCTGTGCGATGCATGGTGACGTAGGGCTGGCCTGCAAATGAGCATTTGTCTGCCAATTAGCGGTCAACGTTGCTCTTGGTTATTCCAATTCAATGCTTTTGCTAATAATTTTTCTAATTTTAAGCGTGACGCCAGCACACATGGCTTATCCTTTTTCGAATAACATCACACGTAATTTGTATGGTTCATAAAAACCGCAGTATTGGCCGGGTTGGCCAGGTACATGAACCGCAAAACAACGACCCCCCCTCCCCCTTGCCTGAACAGTTTTCATGCCTACACGGGCGATCTTTGTCCCCGTAACGTGCATATGGATGTGACGTCACGAGAGTGGTCTGCTTCTCCGTGTGCCCAATGATGTGGAGTAGCAACTATTATTTTACGATGAGGTGGTGGATGAGCCAGATGATTGCATCGGGAGTAGCGGAGTGAGTGGTGAATCGCTGTGATGACGCGTCCTCCTCCTCTTTCGTGTTTATGAACCGGGGCATCAAGTCACATCGCTCCACGTCTCTGAGTGGCGACCACAGCCTCCGCAACACTTAACCAAGAGAGTTTTATTTTTCCTTTTGCAAATCAACATCAAGTATCCGTGTCTGCTGCTGCTGCTGCCGTGGCATACCTGTCAGCCCATACGCTGTACCCGTAGTCTTGTTCAGGGAAATTGAGTTAAAAAAAAGTGTCATTTTTTTGTGTTTCTCCCTTGTGATGGGACTTTGTAGGATTATCGTTGAGCCTTATAAGGGCACGGGGTGATCAATAAGATCAGAATTGGTATGTAATAAGGTAGGCACTGATAAGGGGTTGACAGGTGTGCCATGGTTTGGGCCGGCACCACTGTGAGCCTCGGTTAAAATTCAGCTTTCAACCAGCCGCCTGCGGTGAATGTGAATTCTCAAGCGTAGCGGGTTTGGCGGTCGAAGCCTGGTTACCATCAGTGGTTGTCACGCTAAATTCGTTTTCTTGATCGATACCAATAAGACGAAGAAAGATTTGTCTTTATCGGCTTTACCCTCCCCAGCAAGAATACAGGCGTTAAGATGTTCAAACACCAAATACACACAAGGCATCAAGTCTGTATTAACCACACATGATTGTGGTAAAACATGCAAACAAATTGGCAGAAGGGGTCCCAATGATACCTATAAATTCGCCGAATGTGGCTTTAAAGTTCTTGACTTAAAGCTTTCGTGACTGCAGGAATTCATATTCTTTGGGTCTTTCGGTAAAGTCACGTAGATAGGTTCAAAGAAAATGAAAACAAATTACGACGTTTCGATCGCAACACAAGCGGTCGTCATCAGGAAAAGGGGGTTAGCCTCTAAAGGCAAACCGTTTATAAAGGTTTTAAATGGGCGTAGCCCAAGTGTCGTCAGCGTGGGCGGGGCAGCCGATGTGAATGTAGGTGATGGTACTCGTAGAGGGCAACGACGATGGCGCTGGTGGTGGGTTTCCACCAATTAAAGGGCTGCCAGGTAATCATTGCACTTCGCTTTACACACCCACACTGTTGACGGTGGAGGTTGCTGCTAGAGGTGATGGTACTTGCAGAGGGCCATGACGGCACTGGTAGTGGGCTTCCACCAATCAAGGGCTACTTCTAGTGGTGATGGTAGCAGTGGGTAGTGGTGGTCCCGGTGGTGGGCTTCCACCAATTAATGGGCTGCCAGGTCTAAAATGGAAACATTATAGCCAGTTATGACTTTGACTGGTTGATAACGTCCTTCCTGTGATTGCTGAGTTTGTACCCATCTTCTCGGTTGAAATTGTGTCTATGTCTGTATATATGGATGGCTTCATGAACGAATGTTTGTTGATAGCCAGTGGGTTTGCAAAGTACCTTCGTCTTACAGAAATAATATTTGCGTGAGCCCACCGCATTAAAACAATGATCAGCCACGGCCGAGGTATTGGTCCTTCCGTGTTTCAGATCAATGTAACTATTGCCGCAGACACAGCTTAGTTGGTAGATGCCGGGGTATTGCATGTCAGAGATCACATCCTTCACAGATGGGATCAGATCGCGAATTTTATGTACTGTGTTAAATCGAACTTGGATCATGATTTTGGAAATCTTTTTGGTGACCCCTGCTATGTATGGCAAGGTTATGGTTTTGATTGGGTCCTCAGATGGTTCTTTCCCAACGGTTGGGGTGATAGCTTTACGGATTGTGTAGTTTAAATATCCATTCGTCTTGAGAGCTTGCTGTACGTGTTGCAGTTCACTGGCTAGGTGAAATACATCGAGCGCAATGGTGTAGAGTTTTGATGAGGGAATTCTTCTGGGATGGATGGTGGTGGGAGTCAGGTTTTAGGTAGGCATCCATATGGGTTGCTTTCCTGTAGACAGAATGGCCCATTGAGCCATCTGGTCTCTTTTCGATTAAACATCCAAGAATAGTAGCTTGCCATCCTTTTACACCTCCATGGTGAATTTGATGGCTGGGTGTATGGAATTGATGTATGGTTGAAGAATTGGTTGAGAGCTGGTCGGCCATGTGGCCAGATGACGAACGTGTCATCTACGTACCTCTTCCACAAGGACGGACGTAGAGTGGATGCCTGGATGGCATCTGTCTCAAATATTTCCGTGAAAACATTGGCTATAACCGGAGATAAGGGAGAACCCATCGGAGTACCTTCAACTTTTTTGTCGAATGTTCCATTACAGGTGAAGTAAGTGTTGGTGAGGCAGTGTCTCACCAGGGCCGGTACATCAGCATTCAGTCCTTGTTGGACCAAATCTTCAATGGTTGCAATGGTGTCAGGCATAGGAACTTTGGTAAACAAAGAGACCACATCGAAACTAACGAGCAAATCACCTGGAGATAGTGAGATGTCCTTAATTAACGACACCAACGTGAACATAAGGCAGATCTGAAACACTTTAGGACCAATACCTCGGCCGTGGCTGACCATTGTTTTAATGCGGTGGGCTCACGCGAAATTAATTTCTCTAAGACAAATGTACTTTGCAAATCCACTGGCTATCAACAAAGATTCCTTCATGAAGCCATCCACATATACAGATATAGACACAATTTCAACCGAGAAGATGGGTACAAACTCAGCAATCACAGGAAGGACGTTATCAACCAGTTTAATTCATAACTGGCTGTAATGTTTCCATTTTAGACCTGGCAGCCCATTAATTGGTGGAAACCCACCACCAGGACCACCACTGCCCACTACTACCATCACTACTAGCAGCAGCCCTTGATTGGTGGAAGCCCACTACCAGTGCCGTCATGGCCCTGTACGAGTACCATCACTTACATTAACATCAGCTGCCCCGCCCATGCTGATTAAAATTTTAATAATTTAAAATAACAAAAACTATCCTGTAATTTAAAGTGTGCTTACAAAATCACAATGTTATGACAGGTTCCCAAAAAGGCAAAAAGCTAATTTGGCAATTAGTCGCAGAAGGCTGCTGAGGGGCGATTGAAAATCTACGAGGAGATGTCTGTGTTTCCCCTTTTTTTAAACGTAACAATTCATATTTATCTGCCTGAAAGTTTTGTTATTTAATCGCAATTTTAAGTCGTGCCAGGGTGCATTTTTAATGAGGTGATTTCTGATTTGTTTTGTTTACACATTGTAATTTCCGTTGTTTTGCTGAGATTATTTAAACGTGCATGTCCCTTGGATCAGAGATGCTGCAGGTCTCACTGGGCTCTCAGCTGCTTGCTACTCAGGTCATCTGTCTGCCCTTAATGAAACGCTCATTTTGTGGCTCGCTCACAGGAATCGCTGACTGTCTGTTGGAAGTTAACAATAATAACTTAGTCTATCTGGGAAAGGCACACCTAGTCCGGAGACTCAGTTATTATCAGGAAGATCGTGCTGCATCGGGATGTTTGACCGACACTAGTTACGTGGTTTATTAGCTGTGGAAATACATCCGAGAAGCCGAAGGAAGCCCATGCAGAACAGGGGGAGAGCATGCCAACTCCACGGAGAAAAGTGCCCTAGTGAGTAAATCGAACCCGGTTGCGTTCTTGCCGTGAGACTCAAGCCTTGCCCTGTCGCCACCCTGCCACCCTCCTGCCCCACCTCGCCGCGGCCTGCCCCTGCCCCGCCTCCCCAGGTGTGGTCCCCTTGTGCTGTTGACCCATTGCCCTTTGCGTTCACTCCTCCGCCCATCACTTTCGCTTCCTTCCTCTCCCCCTTCTCTTTTTCTCCTCCCTCCTCTACTTCTCTTTTCTGCCACAGACCACGACCTCTTTGGACCCCTTCGACTCTACCGGACGCGGCGACCCTGTGCATCCTCGTTCGTTTATCACGTTGGCTTTGCTGAAAATATAACTTTTAAAAACACACGCACGCACAGGACGCCTATTTGGAACTACGTAAGCGGGGCGTTGGGTAACCCACGCCCCCCCCTCGCCCCCCCCCCCCCGTGTCACGGAGCGGTGCCGCAAGATGACATCACTCAACTACTGCTTCTGCAGTCTCTCCAGATTGCCTCCCAACCCCCCCCCCCCCTTCCCCCGTGGCTCGCTCCTTGCGAGGATTATTCACGGCCCGGCACTCATACCGAGAGATGCGCGGTCCTACGGGCTGGGTCTTAGTCACACAGGAGGTGCAACTCCCAAGTGCAGCAGGACGATTTATATTCCGCAGTCCTTGCAAGGCAGGTGCAGGCATCACGGGGCATCTGGACGGTAAATGCAAAAGTTAAGAGAGGTGCAGCAGCCCTGAGATTGCTCGCTCACGCCACCGTTGGCAGGAAGTGCCTTGACTAGTGGGAGCTCTACAGAGCCCTCCCCCGCTAGGTGTTGTGTTGGCCTTCTCTTCCCACGCCTGGCTGGTACATCTTGGGAAAGGTGGTGGGGCGGCAGCGGGGGGTGGGGGGGGGGGGGTGATTGAAGAAACTTGCCACCATCGTTTCAACTGTCTCGCCGGGTCATCGAATCTATCCGGCGATCTCTGGGTTTGCGAGTCTGGCGGTGCGGCCTGTGCCACCACGCAAATGCTTCCCTGTGCGGTAAATGGAGCGAGCGCCGTTAATCCGGCTCCGGGGTTTGGGGGCGGCGGGGAGGCTGGGGCACGGGGGTGGGTGGAGGAGGGGGGGGGGGGGGCGCGCGCTCGCGTGCAAGCGCCGTGGCACCTGTGGTGGGGTTCAGTGGAATGGAATGCTCGTTTGTATTACTCTCGCCTTGTACCACCGCCAGCCCCCCAGCTAAATTGACTCCTCCGAGACCGCCAACCCTAATGTTTTCCCTCTCCCTGCATCATGGATCACATCTGTTGCCGACACTTGCTTGCCGGTTTTAATTGAATTGCAAGTCGCTAAGCTATTTACAATTAAAAATCCTAATCAGTTTGTTGCGAGCGGTAAACATTATTTTATTTTTAGCTGCCGTTGATTTAAAGTTGATGAAAGATGTCTTGTTTTTTTTTTGTATTATGCGCGTCCAAAGAAATTGTGATGAATTGCTCGTTTATAATGAACGCATTCTGTCTCGAATAAGGGATGGCTTCAAGTGCCAAGAGCGGCGAAATTAACGAGAGATTTTTAAAAATATTTAATTTCTTACTCTCTTCAATCGTGTCATTATCGTTGGGTAAACTCGCACAAAACGAAAGCACATACTCATAATTTACATTCAACGCGAATGCCTTTGCATCCTTAGTGCTAAATTCGCTTGCGAGAACTGTTCTCCAACTCCCCCATGGCGAGCTGGAACAATTATAATTGGCGCGTTACACGCTTGTAAACGTCTATAAATTTAATTTGTTTGTTCGGCTACATCGGCGAGATGTTAAGACGTTCGCCGCAGCCGGGGGATCGAACTCGGGCTGCCGGGTTCGGAGTGCGGTGCGCTACCTACCCACTGAGCTATCACCCTTGCATCCCCTCCGCCACCGCCACCGCCCCCCCCCCACCCCCCCACATGCGAGCTTCCCTGGTCCGATGTACCATTTCGGAATTGTGTGTTAGGAATTGAAAATTTGTCTTGCAATTCCCAGTTCACATAAAACAGCGATCACTGCAGAAATTCTCTCCTCTGATAATGGATGTGGGATATCACTCGCCGGCACCCAAACCTGTGAGAAGGCTTTGAATGTAATCGTCTCCCTATTTATAATAGAGAATGTCCTTTTGTAAAAGAGATTCCGCACTCTCTTGTAGTTCCCTCCCACATATTCACAAAGACATACATAGTCACACAACGCGCGCACGCCCCTGCGTATGTGTGTTGTGTGTGTTTGTCTTTGTGTGGTGTATGTTTTGACGTGTGTGTGTATTTGTGCGTGTGTGTGGGCATGTGTGTTAGGGTATGTGTTTGGGTGTGTTTACGTGAATGTGTTTCTGTGTGTGTGAGTTGGTCTTTACACGTGTGTGTAGCTGTGTTTAAGCATGTGGGACTGTGTTTTATTTATTTTTGCACATTTGTGCGTGTATGTGTGCATATGTTTGCATGTGTGTGCATGCCTTTGTGTTCGTTTCGGTGCGTGTGTGTTTGCATGGGTATCTGTCTGTGTCTGTGTATGTGTGTGTATCTGTGTATGTAAGCACGTGTGTGTTTTTGTGTGCTTGGTGTGTCTGTGTTTGTCTGTGCATACAAGTATGTGCATATAAGCATATGTATATGTGTGCGTCTGTGCGTATAAGCATGTGTGTGTCCGAGTGTGTGTGTGCGCGTCTGTGCGTATAAGCATGTGTGTGTGTGTGCGTCTGTGCGTGGGGAGCAGTGGTGCCGTGGTTTGCGCACCGCTTAATTTCCATTCCATGAATAACATTAGCGGCGAGCGGTGCCGTAGCCAACCCCCGCGCCTTCCGAAGATCAACTCAGCCTCGCACCAGCACCTGGCGCAGTGCGCAAACACCGCCACCGGCCGACACGAAAGCGGTCGGGGCGTGGTCCACGCCACGCACCCCCGCCTCGTGCCCCGTGCCGGCCTCAAGAGGTGCGACCGCATAGGCCCACCACCGGCGTGGGCTTTTGCACGGTTGTGCCGTACCTACAGCTGTCCCAACGCGCGTTCCGGCCGTTGACCGCGTGTATTGCGCCCGATGTTTCGCTCCACGTTCTGCGGGGGGGGGGGGGGGGGGGGCTCCTTCAAGAGATGAAACTCTTCTAGCTGCGTGGAGCAAAACGTCGGATGTCGTGCCGAAAGGCACGCGGCGCAGCCCGAGGGCACGGGGGGAAACGGGAGCCTGCGCTTGAAATCAGCCACCGGGTCGGACTGCTCGGGGAATTATGTTGGCATGCAACATCCTCCTCCCATTTTGTCCTAAGCCTGTTTGTAGTATTCATATGAAATTATGGTACACGAATATATACTTGTTATGGATAGGCGTGCCGTGTATTCTAGTGGTGGTGCCTTGCGATTAACTAATTTCTTGGTCCAAGCCTGCCTGGCAATCGTCTTCCGGGAAAAAATATCGAGTGAGAAATGAAACCCCAAACCCCAGCATTATTATCGTCATCGTCAATATCGTGCCTGTCACCATCATCATCATAATCGTTCATACATTAACCCCCAGCCATAGCCTTATTTTGCTGCTATAAATAAGCCACTTCATTGAGCTTTCATTTGTGGTCAGGTCGCTTCTGAAAAATAAGCTAATAGTCAGTGGGCTTTACCTGGTATGAAACAAAATGCTTTAATTTTATTTGTATATATTTTTGTAAGTGATGTGTTTCCCTTTCATTTACATTGCACTCCTGTCGTGCTTTTGTTTCGATTGTTTTTGTACTGTTCTGACGTGCCCCTACTGAACATCTGTGAAAAAGAGCTTCATAGCTCATCGGATTCCTCCAGTATAAATATTATGATTCTGATTTTGGGTGCTGGCGAAACAGCACTTGCCTCCCCAGTTGGGTGGCTGCGTTAAAGGCTACGTGGGGGATCTTTGCCTTTGTGTGCTCAGCCCCAGGATGCGCTGGCGCTGGCTGCTGTGAGCTGCCTCTGTGCCCTGCTGGAGTTCACAAGCGAGCGGAGCGGCCCCGTGGGTGAGTGGAGTGCCTCTCCCACCACACCCCCCTCTCTCTCCCACCACTTGCCATCGTCACCGCACACGGTGGCGGTGAGCAAAAACTTGCCCCCCACCCCCCAAGAACCTCAAGCCCCCCCCCCCCCCACCCCCCCCCCCCCCCCCCCCCCCCCCCCGGATTCACTATGAACTATAAATAAGAAAAATATATTACTTATCAGCTCCTATTCTAATCTGAATGAACATCGAACGCTCGTTGGTGGAGTTGGCCAAGCATCGTAGATATAGGACCACAGAGCTTGGAGAAATTGTTGGCGCCGCTCGCGGCTGCCGTGCCACTTGTCTGCCTTCCTGCGCTCCCGTGCGAATATTGGGCACGTCAATTATTTTACAGCGAGTCGAGGTACCTTTTGCGCGAATGACGCTATTTTAGTATAAACAGCTAAGCATTAATAACAAGATGATACACGTAAAAAAGCCGAATATTCTCTCTCATATCTATCTTGCCTGCATCTGTCTCCTTTCATGTCACTCGATTTTCATCGATATTTCTCTTACCTCGGTACATCTTTGTATCACGAAATGTATAACATCCCATGAGGATGTTATACATTTCCTAGCATCCTTTACATGTTCTTTGGACATGTCCTTCCCCCCTCCTCCCCTCCCTGCCTCCCACCAACAGCCAGCCAGCCAGCCAGCCAAACTTTTTTTGTATGATGGCATGGTTTTGCATCGCAAACAAACCGTGATGGCAGAGGGTTGGGGGAATGTGTGGTGTTGCCGCGACACACGAACCCGGCTCCACACTCTGTGATGCGGGTGATGTTGCCACGGAGATGTGCTCGGTGACATCGCCACGGTGCACTCGCAACTTGCCCACGTGCCAGCCAGCGCAGCCAGGAAGGCAGCCAGCCAGCAAAGATTTTCTTATAATATACAGGGACTCCTCTACTTATGAACATTCGACTTACGAACTTTCAGAGATACGAACAAACCTGTCCGTATTTCTAGTTGCCCGTTCGGACCGAGAGTCGTAAGTTCAACCACCGCACAATAGATGGCGGTGGTGGCATCTACATCTATAGAACGTGAACCAGTGGCATCTACATCTAAAGAACGTGAACCAGTGGCATCTACATATGTAGAACGTGAAGAAGCAGTGGCATCTACATCTGCAGAACTTGAAGAACCAGTGGCATCTACATCTATAGAACGTGAATCAGTGTCATCTACATCTGCAGAATGTGAGGAACCAGTGGTATCTACATCTGTAGAACGTGAAGAAGCAGTGGCATCTACATCTACAGAACGTGAACCAGTGGCATCTACATCTACAGAACGTGAACCAGTGGCATCTACATATGTAGAACGTGAAGAAGCAGTGGTATCTACATCTACAGAACGTGAACCAGTGGCATCTACATATGTAGAACGTGAAGAAGCAGTGGCATCTACATCTACAGAACGTGAAGAACCAGTAACATCTACATCTACAGAACGTGAAGAAGCAGTGGCATCTACATCTACAGAACGTGAAGAACCAGTGGCATCTACATCTACAGAACGTGAACCAGTGGCATCTACATATGTAGAACGTGAAGAAGCAGTGGTATCTACATCTGTAGAACATGAAGAACCAGTGGCATCTACATCTACAGAACGTGAAGAAGTAGTGGCATCTACATCTACAGAACGTGAAGAAGCAGTGGCATCTACATCTACAGAACGTGAAGAAGCAGTGGCATCTACATCTGCAGAACGTGAACCAGTGGCATCTACATATGTAGAATGTGAATAAGCAGTGGTATCTACATCTGTAGAACGTGAAGAACCAGTGGCATCTACATCTACAGAACGTGAACCAGTGGCATCTACATCTACAGAACGTGAACCAGTGGCATCTACATCTACAGAACGTGAACCAGTGGCATCTACATCTGTAGAACGTGAAGAAGCAGTGGCATCTACATCTGCAGAACGTGAAGAACCAGTGTCATCTACATCTACAGAACGTGAATCAGTGTCATCTACATCTGCAGAATGTGAGGAACCAGTGGTATCTACATCTGTAGAACGTGAAGAAGCAGTGGCATCTACATCTACAGAACGTGAACCAGTGGCATCTACATATGTAGAACGTGAAGAAGCAGTGGTATCTACATCTGTAGAACGTGAAGAACCAGTGGCATCTACATCTACAGAACGTGAAGAAGCAGTGGCATCTACATCTACAGAACGTGAAGAAGCAGTGGCATCTACATCTACAGAACGTGAAGAAGCAGTGGCATCTACATCTGCAGAACGTGAACCAGTGGCATCTACATATGTAGAATGTGAAGAAGCAGTGGTATCTACATCTGTAGAACATGAAGAAGCAGTGGCATCTACATCTACAGAACGTGAACCAGTGGCATCTACATCTACAGAACGTGAACCAGTGGCATCTACATCTACAGAACGTGAACCAGTGGCATCTACATCTGTAGAACGTGAAGAAGCAGTGGCATCTACATCTGCAGAACGTGAAGAACCAGTGGCATCTACATCTACAGAACGTGAATCAGTGTCATCTACATCTGCAGAATGTGAGGAACCAGTGGTATCTACATCTGTAGAACGTGAAGAAGCAGTGGCATCTACATCTACAGAACGTGAACCAGTGGCATCTACATCTGCAGAATGTGAGGAACCAGTGGTATCTACATCTGTAGAACGTGAAGAAGCAGTGGCATCTACATCTGCAGAACGTGAACCAGTGGCATCTGCATCTGCAGAACGTGAACCAGTGGCATCTACATCTGCAGAACGTGAACCGGTGGTATCTTCATCTGTTGAACGTGAAGAACCAGTGGCATCTACATCTGCAGAACGTGAAGAATCAGTGGTATCTACATCTGTAGAACGTGAAGAAGCAGTGGCATCTACATCTGCAGAACGTGAAGAACCAGCGGCATCTACATCTGGAGGAGATTATACAACTTTTAAAGCTATTCCCCATGTTTAGTGTACACGCCGTTCACCGTGTTTGGAATTGACAGGAGTAAAGTTGGACTTACAAGCAAATCGACCTACGAATAGGCCTCTGGAACCTAACTCGTTCGTAAGTCGAGGAGTCCCTGTAGTATGAAAGAGCGCACCTGCTTGGTGTCCCTAGTAGACCCGAACCACCACTAATCAATCAATATTTATTTATATCGCACACTTAACATCAATAAAGGCGTCTCCGAGCGCTCTACATGAACTTAAAATTTCAATCAATCGGTGTTTTTTTTCTCTACGAAGCGCAATTCATAGGATGATTCCAGGTGATCGTATACGTATAATAATATCAAAGTTTCAATCTAATGAGCATAAAAGCATGTATTATATATAGAAAATACAAACAGGATAAAGCACGTTGAATAAAGAGTGAGTGCAGATCTTAAACTCTCGACGGACAGAGCCCTCCCTCTCTAATCTGACGGGGTGGAGGGTTTCACACAGGGTGGGGACCACAAAACGCAAATGCTCGAGCACCCGGGGCCACCAGACGGACCCTGGGCATACCCCGAGCGATCCCACTTTAGCGGAGTGGAGTGAGCGGAGGGGGCAGGAGTGGCAGTGAAGCCCTTGCGGATAATCCGAATGATCCCGCAAGAACGAACACACGAACACACACACGCACGCCCCCCCCCCCCCCCCGGTTAGTGGATATTCGGCCGTAACGAGGCGCGTTGCTCATGGCTAAGAGCGGCTCCATGCGGGACGCCGCTCGTGGGCGGTCTCTGCCGTCGATGTGAAATTGAAACATCGGCGGTGGAGGTGGGGGGGGGGGGGGTAGTAGGCGGCGGGGGGGCAGGGGCGAGGATGGGGGGTGGGGGGGAATTTTCAAACGACGTGAACTATGAGACATCCGACGTTCAGCGGCGGAGTTAATCGTTTCCGCTCTCTCTCTTGCCAAATTAGTCGTAAGAAAGGCGGGTGTTTGGGAGAAACAAAAGCTACCGTTCGTTACAGTGCATGTTGAATAAATACAAATTCGGAATAATAACTAGTTCATCAACCACTCTCAGATGGCGCGCAGACGACGGCGTTCATCGCTGCGAGTCGGAGAGAGCCCGAGAGGTCACACGGACAGGGCGGGGACCCTCCTCTTCCTTCGCGCTTTCAATTTTCGAAAGAGGCTTCTTCTCTCAATGGGCCCTCTCACTTCGTGTTTAATAAAGGAAATCTATTTGCCCCTTCAATTCCACCCTTGGCTCAATTTTCATCATTCCACAGGCAAGTGTGGGGAGTGCTCGGACTCGTAGGTGGTGTGCGGCAGAGGCGGTCCTGCAGCGCCAAGGGGGTCGCTTCCTGGCAAAGCCCCCCCCCCCTCCCCCCCCCCCGGCCACCAAAGGGTCTTCCTTCCCACTCACGCCTGAACGTGGACTATTCGCAGCCGGTGCAGCGATGGTCCATCGTTGTATGTTGGGTCGGTCCCCCTCGATTCCCGAGTTCGCTACCTGTTTCGGGCAAAGCGTCGTCTGAAAATCCCAGGGTGGGTGTCCCGTTCACCGCTGAATCCCGGAACGCGCAAGCGGTCAGCGTTTATTTTATTTCGAGAGGCAGAGCGCCATTTGTTTTTAAAGACATAGCACCCATCGCAGAGAACGATAGCTGGCGCCAAAGTGTGCCACACGCCCTCGTGCATGGCCTGGCAGGAGCCTCGGTACCGGTTAGCACCACCGTGGCTTTAGCGCCAAAAACAAGCAAGGACCATTCCTTGCCTGTCTTCGCTCGCTCGCCACGGCAGAAACTGCCGATCCGCTGCAGCCAATTTCACCAGTGAGGTTCTGTGCCGGCCTAGGGGATCTGTGCTGGCCAATGGGATCTGTTTAAGTCTCTGGGATGTATGCAAGTCTACGTGGTCTTATGTAAGTGTATGGGTCCGGTGTTGTTAGTCTTTCAATCTGTGGGTCAAATGTAAAGATATCGGTCCTGTGTTTTTCTATGAGACCGATGTAAGTTGTTGGGTCCCTTGTTCCTTCATGAGGTCCTCCTATGTTACTCTCTGGGCCCTATGTTTGTCGTTGGGGTCCTATGTTACTCTACGAACCCTATATTAGTCTATGGGCCACCTTCACCCACGAGGGAGTACATTTGGTGGTAGGATTACCAAAATTCCGAGTTGGCACTCCCCTGTCAATACAGGCAGCCAAACCTCATCTTGCTCTGCCAGATAATTCTCCGGTTAGCAACGGCGTAATCCCAGCGGTGTCGAAACCTCATACAACACAATCAAATCAGATCCATAATGAGGACCTCAGCGTCCACCTCGTCTACGTCATGGCATAGGAGAGACGGTGGCACGGCCACACGCTCGATTTCGCAGATCTCGGCCTGGGTATTCGTTCACCGTCCCCGCTTGTGGTTAGTCCGGCTAACTCCGGTTTTGTGGTTGGGTGTGGCACCCGCAGCGCACCACCTGGTGTCTCGCGCCTGGTTCCAGAAGCTCCCGAGTAACCTCGCCACCACCGTGCTGATGAGCGGTGGCAACCCGTCCTCCGCGCTGCTGCTGCTGTCCGTGGTACCCGCACGCCTACACGCCACTGCCACGCTACCTCGACACGCACCCCTGTCACACCGGTCCTGTGACATCCAATTTGCCGTACCGCCTGGCCACACTTCCCCAACCCCCCCCCCCCTACCCCACCCCCACGCCTTACAAACAAACGCGTTCCCTCCCTTGGCTGCAACTCAGTTGTTAGTCTCGACCTCTGCCCATCACTCCTTGCGACGTCTTCCGGAGGTCGAACAGCTATGCATAGGTTACGGGAAGAAACGTACCGAAAGCCTTTCGGTGTAAATCGTACGTACATTTTGTGAGCGATCGATTTGGCGCACGTATCATGAGCTTACAGGTACATTTTTTTTTTTAATCGGTGATTTCACGAAAGCCTTCTCAAGTGAGGGGCTGTGAATCACGAGGGCTCAGTGCTCGGTGGGTTGCCGTCAGCGAAAGGGGTTTTTGGCGAGGATTCTCTGGGCCGATGGCGCCGCTGCATTCAGCCGGGCGGCAGGGGCACCGCGCGTGGCCCCGTGACCCAGCGCTGTGGAGGCAGCAGCGAGAGTTGGTGGATCATCGCACGAACGTTGTGCAACTGTCTTCCCCTGGGGCGTCGAGTATGAGCCCTTAACCTTGGCCTTCCAGCGAAAGGCAATGCACGTTATAGAGCGTTGTTCCCCCTCACGCGTGTGGGTTTTCACCGGGTGCTCCAGTTTCCTTCCACAAGTAAACTCATTAATTGGCTAATAACACCGCAGAGCTTCCCGCTCGTCTGTGTATGTACGTATATTGGACTTCTTTCGCACCGTACGTAGCCAACCGTGCCAACCAGAGGTCCGTGGTTCCTCCCCGTGCCTCCGAGTCCTCGCTCGCTCTCTCGACGAGAGAGATCGAACACCGCGTGGCGGCGGTGTTGCCGTCGCAGTGTTACAAGTTATTATTATTATTATTCATTAACCCGACGAGCCGGGTCTCCGCCCGTTGAGCAGCGGGTTTCTCTCTCTCCACCACTGGCAGCTCCTGCAGCACGAGGGGATCGGCTGGAGCGGCCCGCTGGAGACGCAGAGCTTCATCGAGCCGCTCCTCCGCCTCGTCCTGCAACGGTCGACCTCCGGACTTGACCCCGTGACCTGGGCCGCCACTGTCGCCCTGCTCACACAGGTTCGGCCTTCTCGTGACAACGACTACCCATGTCTTCAAACCGCCCATTAGTGACACCTTTGCAATGTGTTTACCCGTGCGTGCGTGTGAGTGTTGCATGCGTGTTGTGCGGAGCAGGTGTGTGTGGTGTGGGGAGAAGGTAGTGCAGTGGTTAGTGCACTCCGCTACGAATCCGGTGACCCGAGCTCGGTTCCGCTCGCGACCAACATCATTGAATATCTGAACGAGTTCTGAGCCTCCACTAGGTCGGCTCAGCTTTAAATCAATACCTTAGATGTGGTGCTGGCCACCCACCCCAATATCTATTGTGCCGGCCTCAATAGGTCCTCGAGAACAGCACTTGCCCCTACAGTCTGCTAGAGGCTATACGGGCACTCTTTCTTCTTTTCCTGTGTGTGGCCTGTCTGGGTAGCCACCTGGTGCCCACGTTGTACGTGTGTCTAATGCCCATACCAGGTTGTACCAGTGGTACCCACGTGCGTGATACCTCTGTACGTGCCACGCATGCTGTACCCATATGCGTGTCTGCGTTGGTGCCCATGTGCATGCGGTGCCATGTGCGTGCCCGACTGGCGCTCCGTAGCTGGTGCAAAGTGGCCGGGACACTTCTTGGCTCCAGCCTCGCGAGGAATGGCTTCGGATTTTGCGGGACCCACATCCTCACCAGGGCGCCCTCACCGACCTTGTGTATCCTTCACCGCGATGTCGCCCCCCCCACCCCCCCCCCCCCCCACCGTTCACCCGCGCCAACCCACGCCAGCCTGCGCATTCCGCCGTACGCTCGCTCGCTCCCTCGCTCGGTCCACGGGACGATTATGATTTACATCCGATGGTTAGCCTCCATTAACCTCGTGACCGCCAGCCTTCCCTGTGCATCTGCTAGACGAGATGAAGCAGATTTGACGAAAACAAACGCACGAGGCAAAGGTGAATTGAGATGAATGGGGCCGAGAGGTTTCGTGACATTTTCGCATGGCTTTGTTAAAGTTGAAAGACTGGGGAGAAAACTCCTGCGGTAATCGTTAAATAGTAATGGTTCGCAGCGGACTTGAGAATGTACGCAGGTTAGAAACATCGCACCGAACGCTCAGAATGCGAACTCAAAATAAGCATTCGCATCGCTGTGAAGAATGTGATTAAAGTTAACGATCGGACAATACCGCATCGAACCGGGATCCCATGCCTTAAAATCGACAGTTCAGCCTTGATTCATGAGAGCCTGACTGCTGCTGATGAAACAATGCTGCTAAAATGATGCGCTCGCAGAAGGCTGTGCGGCCGATGAGCTGCGAACGAACTGGTCGTGCATTTGCGTAGAACGGTGAGATGCGTGAAGGAGACGTATTGTATACTTATCGACTTTGCTCGGAGACGTAAGTGAGCTTGGGCAGGGCCATCGCTCAGAGGGACGGTTGACTGGTGATGGAGACTAACGACGGAATGGTGGCCAAAAGAGAGAGCACGCCTGAGAGGATCTCCACTATGGAGGGATGATGGAAAAGAGAAGTAATGGAACTGAGGAGAGGGAAAACAAGAGGGAGCGATTTTGTGGCGGCAGAGGAGTCCTTATGGAATGGAGTGGAGGCAAGTTGGTGGGGATGACGCAGGGATCACGAGGAGTGTCGGGTTTTGCGTACGGAGTGGCGCCGAGTAATGAATGCGTGGAGCGGAGCGAAGGTTGACGGCAAAAAAGAGCGGAGCGCCAGGCCGCCCTTCCACCTCTTGCGCTGAGCGAGCGTTTTTCCTGAGCGCCGCCCGCCTGCCCGCCCGCCCGCCCGCCGGGCTGCAGCTCCATCGGCTCCGTCACCGTCTCCCTCCGCCACCTCGCCGAGTGCACCAGCTGCTGCGACGCGGAGCGCCGTGCCGCCCTGCTGCTACCCCTGCTAAGCTAGCGCCCGACCGCCGTGGATCGCGTTGGGGGTGGGCGGGGGGATTGACCCGATCCGGCCGATGGGGCCGATCAAAACGATCGATCCGATATCGGCGGGCCGAGCGCCGATGAGTGTCCCCGCATTTTTGCGGCAGGTTCTAACTGAAGGCTGAGTTTACCCAGGGCTAGCTCAGGACTGGTTCGGATATCACTCACCGCTGATATTGTCCCCCCCGCCCCGCCCCCCCCCCCGTCTCTCAATCCTCCCCCAAGCGTGACCGTCGCCGACGCATTCGCCCACGTCAGCAGAACAGGCCGAGCGTTTCTGTTGAACGTTTGTGGTAGGGGTCGGGAGCGTTTGGGTGTGCGTTTGTGGGCAGCGGCGGTGCAGCGGATAGCGACCTGCGCTGCGAACCCGGCGACCCGAGTTCAATTCCCGCTCGCGGATAAAATCGAATATCTGAACCAAGCCTGGGCCTCCCCTGGTTCAACTCAGCCTTGAATGAGTACCTGGTGCGGTGTGTAAACATCAGCATTGGGGGAGACAAAGGCGGCCAGGCGTGGTGTTGCCCACCGACGACTCCTTCGTGTGCCGTGCTGGCCTTCAAAGGTGCTCACTAACAGCACTTGCTCCAATGTTCCCGCACCTCCGATTAACACGGTTGTCTACATATGGTGCGAAAGAAGTTCAACATCCATACACGCATGAAATGGCGACATGGGGGATCTTTGTGTGTATGTAATAAGTACCTGCAAACAGCAGTCTATAAGGCTGTGTGGTGTATGAGTACCTGGTGCAGTATGTAAATGCCTACGCTGGGAGGACAAAGGTGGCCGGGCTCGATACTGCCCACACCACTGGCACACTAGCATTTAAAAGGCACTCACAAACATTACTTTCCCCAGCAGTCTGCGAGGCTACGAGGGGAAGCTTTGTTTTTTATCATCACGAGCGGCAGTGGCGGCGCTGTAGGTAGCGCATTGCACGATAATCCCAGCGATCCGAGTTGGATTCACGCCTTCAGGTCATATCAATGGCAAGTGTTATAAAAAAAAAATGCCCTGACCTTCCCCTAGGTGGACTCAGCCTAAAACGGGTGGCCGGTGGACGTGATTAAAACATCGACACTGGGAAGACAAAGTGGGTCGGGCGTGTTTTCTGGCCACAGTTGCGGCCTTAATCGGTGCCTCCTAACGGCACTTGTCGCAGCAGCAGCAGCTCTTTGTGTTCTTCTTACTCTTTGACACTTCACATTTCCACCAAGTACTTTCGTGAATACATTTCGTGCAGTTAATAGTGGACCTAGCCTTGCACAAGGAGTCCTGGTGATGCTTTGGCACATGTTGTTGAAAATGGCTCCTGTGTTTTCGTTCTCGTTTAAAAGTGCACCCAGCCTGGCGCAACTTGACCTCATGATGAGTATGTCACTGGGAAAATGGCTGCTGCTGCTGCTGCTGTCTTTTTTTTGACCATGACGTGTCGTGCCGATTCTCGCAGTGTTTCGGTGAATGGCCGCGGTTTCATTCAAATAAAGTTTCATCTTTACTTAGTTGTTAACCAGCCGAGAACTCGAGACCCCACGATAAGAGTTCTCATTTGCAGGAGCGGCCCGGGGAATTGCCAGTAGTGGGCGACGATTTGCACGTATCATCCCATTTGAATAATTTTGCCGATTATTGTTGAATTTTGACACATTTTGGAACGTGACGCCGGCACTTGACGGGTTACTCATCGCGAAAGACGTCACGGGATCCTTCAACGTCCGCTGTGAAGTAGACGATGCGTATTATTATGGTTATTACATCCGCAGTATTAATCAGGGCGGCCACTGGATTTGAACCGTGAACCTCGGCAACATGCGGCGAACGCGCTACCACTGTTGCTGCGGCACCGCCACAACAACTTTTCCGTGTGGAGGTGGCTGGGTGGGTCAGAGGTCAGAGACAATGAGCCAGCACCGCTGAGAATCCTGGATTTTTATTGTGGCTTCAGCCACTGCCTGCAACTAAACCGGGTCCTCAAGTGCAGTGAGTTGATGGTCTCAGCCCAGTCACTTAATGACTGCACACACCAACGAAAAATCCCATGTTAAATTTGGTTCTGCACTTAATTTGACTGAATTCCAGCAGTGAAATTGAAAAACATCAGTTGGACCGTTTTGCGACGAACATTTGTCTAAGTGGCAGGACAGGTGAGAAAGTGCCGCCCTCGCTTAGAAGGGCTCTATGCTATCCGTTTCCGGGGATAGCATTGTTCACGACACCCTCCCCCCTCCCCCATACAACAATCGCGATAACATTGGAAATAAAACTTGTATTTGTCATGCTTCGGTGTGTTTCATCTTTGAAGGGAGCACACGAGACATGCTGGCTCAGACAAGGAGCCAGCAGCGACGCCGATGCCACACATTTAATTTTGAAGCTTATAAACGGATTTATAAAGTGTTACCCAACAATTGTGAGCCACCGTTGGATCCACGTGGAACGAGGCACTTCGAGAAAGGTTGATATGGCGGTCGCTTGTGAGTGGTGCGATAACCGCGTTAGAGTGGGGGGCGGCGCGGCGGGGGGGGGATGCACAAAGCTCAGTGCAGAAATGTGTTTGTTCAATGCACAGCATTTCAGACTTGCTCAAATCGCCGTCAGTCATGGTGAATCCCCACCGCTGGACGGCTGACGATGGTTTGAATGATAACATCCGTAAATGCATCCGCTGCGGGAGGGAGTCCTCCCCAGTCCCGCAGGGTCTCGCGATGCGACAATCCCATCTCCTGCCCGCACGCGAGCTGATTTAATCGCTCCATCTCCTCATTTGACGCGCTGTCGGGCATGTTCCGACCTTTTTTTGGTCTGCCGAAAGATTTCTTTCGGGTGAAAATGTTCACTGATATTAAGTTGTTGCCGTGTTTGAGTGGTCATGAATGCTCAACAAATCACCATGCTTTGTAATAATTTTTTTTTTATTTTTGGGTGAGATCGTGTTGGTATAAATAAAAACGTTTTACTATAACCCTCCACCACCCAACAGAACCAACATAAATGATTTATGTATCATATTGGTTGTGAAAGCCTACTTATAAAGTTCATAAATATATCAAACGTTGTTTTCTTACTCTGTGATTGTTTCGGCTCTCAAGCCCTCTTCAGCCAAATGTTTGGTCCATTTGGGTGACGCAGGAGTCGGACACTTTTATCAGAATCACTGCACTTACACCACTGGCGAACCTGAGTTCTAGTCCAGGCTCAAAACTTCGACAATGAATCCTGGTTTGTCAAGTGCAGCGAGTTGATTGATGGTCTCAGCCCAGCCACCAATGAAACCAAGCAAAAAAGAAATCCCCATCTCGTTAAGTTACATCATTCGCCTAATTAAACTTGTTCCAGTGGTCGAGGATTAGAAAATTATTGTCATGTGAAGGGGACGTCTATAGCAGAGCTTGTGAGAAGGGGGCACCACACCACCTAATGTGTGGATAAGAGGCAGTAGCAGAGTCCTCAGAAATAGCTTCTTTAAATGTCACCTTCCAGAGGCCGTCTGCAATAGCTCCGATTGGAAATGTGTTAATGTCTAAAAATGGCGGGAAAAACAAATAATGCAATCAAGGGGCAAATAAAATACTTTTTTTAATATATACAATCGCCTTTGATCAACAGTGAAAGTACCGAATGTCCTGATGATTGCATGAGCTATTGTTAAATACAGCGGGCATTCATTCACACACTCGTCTCTTTTAGTCACTGTTGTGTTCACGTATTCAACCACTCGCCCATGAAGTTACGAATTCACTCCATTTACTCATTCCATCGCTCATCATTAACTTTATTCATGCATTGCATCGCTTGTTCATCCGTTGACTCATTCACATATGTTCATTCGATTACACGTTGATTCATGCATTTATAATGTATTCACGCACCTGGCCATTCACATAAGTAATTCGCTCGTTCATCCATTCACGTGTTCCATTTTTTCACTCATTCCCTTACCCGCTCACTCGCTCCCCTCTTTCACTGTGGGGGGGGGGGGGGTCCAGAAAACACCACACGCGGACCTCCGGGTCGGCTCAACAGTCGCACGCAGAGCGCGGCAAAATCCGGCACGGATCGATTGACGCCGTTCGGACCTGGAGTCTCGATCCGTGGGCCGCCAGCCCTGAAAAAGGGGTTTCCACAGAGAGGGGCCAGATGCTGCGCATTACGGGGCGAGCGAATGGGCTGGGTCCAAGCCCAGCGAGTCCGTTAAGTTTCCTGGCGAGGACCTCGCACTGCAGGGGAACATGCCGCGCGATGCGCCCGCCCGACCCTCCTCGGTCGCGGGATCCGGTGGTGCTCTGACCGCGGAGTTTCGCGCGGCCACCGCGAAGCTGTTCCCGTGCGGCCGGACCGCTCGCTGGCTCGGTCGCCGGCCTCGACGTGAAAGGATGTACAGGCTGCGGATCAACTGTTTGCCCGCGTTTCGGTTCAATGGGTGTCCTATGCGAATATATATATACACACACAATGAGTACCTGGTGCGGTGTGTAAACATCGCCGCTGGTGAGACAAAGGCGGGTCGGTCGTGCCACCTACCCCCTCGTGTACTGTGCCGGTCTTCATAGGTGCCCGCTAACAGCACTTTCCTCAACAGTCTGGTAAGTCCATACGGGGGATCTTTATATAAAAACAACACCAAACACGCTCGTCAATTACACTGTGGCCTTCAAAAGAAAACTTTATAATAATCGGCGACGTTTTGGGTAATGGGCCCTTTTCCGCAGCTCATAGGCCAAAGCGGTCGAGCGTCATTCATCTCTGCGTGATGTCTATGAGTCTCTTCGAGTGTGGGTCTCCATGCCAAATCTGCGAGTCACTGAGTCTTCCGCATGTGCGTGTAAAATATGTGGTTCTCCATGGGCGTCTCCTTAAGTCTGTGCATCTCCACGTGAGTCCTTGGCTCTCCATGTGAGTGGATCTCAAACCATGGACCACAGTCACCAGCAGCGTTTCGGATGTTTCACCACGTGGCTACTCTGGAAGCTGTCCCCCGGCTCACCCACCAACCTCGACACGTGCTGACCAATTCGGATCTCTGTGCGAGTCTATAGCTCTCGTGTAAGTCCATGAGTCGATCTCAAAACATGGACCACATGACAGAAGAGCGAGAATCATGGGGTGGGATGTGGGCCGGGTCGTTTGGCCCACGGGGCCAGAACAGAGATTGGTAAAAAAAAAATGTAACCTGAGGTAGGCAACGTTTTTAGTGGTCCCTAAATTGTTTATACGGCCAATGAAAGTGAATCACAACGGGAGTTTTAATTAGAGATTGTAGGAATCGCTTCGCTTGTAACGATGGAAGAACGTTTTATCTTATTCACGGCGCCTCCAATGCATTCGTTAAAGAATGGCAATTTTACAATGCACAAGAAAGCCTTGGGGAGTCTCGGTGCTTATTGCTTCAGGAGGGTCCTGCATTTTGGCCAGTTCTTTATAAGCAGCGGT